AAGCTCAGGACTGCATAACCACAAGCTCAGGACCGCTCCGCCCCGTCTCTCCGCTTCAAGTTCATCTCGGAATCCGTTCTCCAAGAAGGTGTTTTCACATACGTCCCTCCGAAGAGAAATGATAAAAAAGAAATCCTGGCAAGAGCGGGAATCGAACATGGACCTACCCTAATAATACAAAAAGAAAAACAAGACCTAAGGTTAGCATGTTGGGAGATACGGGGCCGACGCCACTAGGGCAAGGTTCCTGCTGGTTAGTACAAGCAGGGTTCATTTTACTCGAAATATATGAATTGGTCGAAGTGAGGAGCGGGTTTTTGTTTTGATTTCGGTACTCGAAGGGCACGTGAGTGAGCAGACGCTTCCGGAATGGGCAGCCTCGAGATGTATTATCGCCGGGCCGACAAGATTTACTTTGGGCTCCTCCACTGCTTGCTATCCGCTCACCTTCAGAGATTCGCCCTTCCATCCCAAATCCCTCCGGTCATGATCCCCAAAGACCCCGAAGGCCGCAAAACGGAGCGCGGCGTCACGAGCACTCCTGAGCTCTCTGGCATTTTGCCGATTCTCCTAATAGATGTCATTGCTAGGTTTCAAACCCTGTATGCTCAAGTTCAGAAGCGGAAATATACTTTGGTGAGATCAGTTTCCCCCTAAGAGTACTCCGCATATGCCTAACAGTCATCACGTGACTGCACATCAATGCATCATATGCCTAATAACTATTCTATTGCTTCCAGTACCCAAGCCTCTTACTGTTACATAGGCGCACAACCTAACCCATCGCCTCCCTACCCTAATCATACCAGATAATTTTGATAGGGGCACACGTTTATACCAAGGTCGTCCCAATGGACGCTAACTCATCTAACATACCCAAAGCCCTCGCTAGCTTATCCAAAGCACCCGAGTCTCATTCTCCAGAAACCTAGGAATACTCAAGTAGCACCAGTGCTGGCACTAGCAACCTCCTTCTTCTCAGCACTTGCCTCCTTTTTCTCCGCCACTGCGGATTTGATCTTCTCCAATCCCCTCGCACCCCTAGCGAGTAAGCCCTCTCTGAACCCGACCTTCGCTTCCTTCTCAGGAATAGCTTCTTCAGTCTTCTCTAGGGTCGTTTCTGCGGTCGTTTCTGCGGTCTCTGGAGCCTTCTCAGGGGAGCTCTCAGGCCTTTTCTCAGCAGCCTTGTCCACGACATCCGCCAGCCTATCAGCCTTCACCTTGTGGTCCTTCTCCCCTGACGTTTCCCCACTCTTCTCTCCTGTCCCCTCTTTGTCCGTCGCTAGCCCCCTTAATCCCTTAGCAATCAAGCCCTCTTTCTCTCCCTCACCAGGCTCTTTCTGCACGCTCTTCGCCCTCTCCACCAGCTTCTGGAAGCCCTGCTTCGCGGTATCCGCTCCCAACCGCGCCGTATCGAGGATATACTCATTCTCCCTCAACGCCTTGATCCCCTCCACTCTACGTGTGAGGTACAGCGTCGGCCTGCTCCCACCCTCACGACTCTCTTTCGCTTTGATAATCTTCTGGATTTCCTCCTGGTACGCCGTCTCGTACACATCAATGTCCACGGCCGAGGGCGATTCGCTGACGATGATGTGAGAGTTGTCGGGGGCGAGGCTCTTGTTATCCGGGTCCGCGCTAGTGCCGTCGAGGCCATCGCCTGTGCCGATGTGGAGGAACAGTGTGTCTTCGAGCGGGTCGTGCGCCTGGCCTTTGCCTAGAGCGGCGTGGGGGGCTGGTGGTGGCGTTGGCGTTTTGTTGCGCAGAGGCTTGATGGTTTCGACGGACGGCTGTTCGCGGATGCTGTTTGCTTCCACGGCTTGCTTTGCGCGTGCGGCGAGGCTGCTGGCGCCAGCGGAATGGTAACGAGCGAGGCCGCGGGGTGCCTTCAAGTTGGATACGGACTCGTTGGGAAGTGCTTGGATTTGGCGAGGGTGAGTCCCGTCGGTTGCTTTGACTGGAATGTGGTTGCTGTCGTCATCAAGTTCGATATCGTGATGGATTCCTTCGGCTGCTAAGACGCCTTCAAAGGGTCGGCGATCGTCTGCGTCTTGTGATTTGGATGTGCGGAAATGAGAAGAACCTCTTATTGACAGCGGAGGTTGCACGATACGAGAGCCTTTTCCCAAGATCCCTTCCATGAGGTCTGGCCGTTTCTTGAATAAAAGTTGCTTAAATCGCTTAGCAGCTCGCACCTGGTACTTGTTAGCATATCTTCTTTTAGGAATGGCGGTAAAAGTCGTTCGAAAATATCATTCAGAAGCTACAGGACTTACCACTGTTATCAAGTGATTCATGTTCCCTGTAATAGCAGCATTAACTTCTTGGTCGGTAGGTGGATTGATTATTATGGTGATGTTTTCGTCTGTTGGGAGCAAAGGATCCGTTCCACCTTTCGTCACCCACGGATGCTTCTAGAACTTGTTACTGCTATACCTCAACTACTCCATGGAGATGGCTTACTCGTAGGTCCTCCATCTGGATCCGTTTTTCAGGGACCTTCTCCAGCAGCTTGTGTAGAAGGTCTTTGAGATCTTCGGAGCAGCCTCCCTCGATGTCCAGTCCATCGTTCCTTATTGAGTCGTAGAGCTCCAGTATACCGGTCTTTTCGAACGGGATTTTGCCAAAAATTAAGCAATAGAGTGTTACCCCCATTGACCAAATATCAGCAGCTTTTCCTGAGACCTCTCCGTGTCGTGCTACGCAAAGCTCCGGAGGCATGAAAGCTGGGGAACCTGCTGATTTTGCTGTCTTCATATCCGACTCCTTTTCAAACATTTCTGAGACGCCAAAATCAACGATTTTGAGGACGTCATCGTCGGTGATGAGGCAGTTGTCTGGTTTGATATCTCGATGTATTATACCTTGGGCATGGACTAGAGGCAAATCCGGGTCAGCTTTTAATGTCTTGTCCCTTCGGGTATTAGAACGTACGGTATTCAATGCCCAATATCATGTCCCGGAACCAGCATCTGCATTGCTCCTCGGGATAGGGGTCCGCTCTTTCTTCGAGTCCAACCTGCATCACCACGCCTTTCTTGCACATTTCCATAACCATGTATAGAGAGTCCTCCTCGGGGTCATCCAGCACCTCCACTAGCGAAACGACGTTCGGATGGTCTAGCTTCTTCATGATGGCAATCTCCTCCTTGATAAGGCCCAGTGAGTTTTCCGGATGGTCCGCTGCATCGTCAGAAGAGTGTCGATGTAATGGTGAATTGAAGCCCAGCCTCGCAGGCTGAGGTCTTTGTCGATTTCTGGCACTCGGACGTCGGAGGAGATTGGACTGCGCACGCTTCCGCAGGCGCGACTTTGAGAACTCTTTCACGGCCTGGATGACAATCAGTCAGCCTGTTTCCAGCATACCTTCTCCAGGGTACCCGTATCAAGCTCCACGCATACATCGGTTTCACCCAAAAGCCCGGATTCCAGATGGGATCCTCACATATTCATGTCCATACTGGTCCACGGCCAAATGCACGGCACCAAACGAGCCGCGGCCTATCTCTTGCTTGATAAGGTACTGGTTGATGCGGTGCTGGGCGCTCCCGTCATCTTCGCTATTGCTGTACTCGGAGTGCGCATTGAGCGTTTCCTATCAGAAGACGGCGCGTTAGAGTGTGTTCCCAGGTCCTAATTGTACAATCTGATTGCTCTGCTGAAAACGAGAACATACTTTGACCTGTCTGTTGTGCGAGGCCGCACGACGATGGTGTCGCAGAGGGCTCTGGTAAGCTGGAGCGGACCTGGTGGGGGAGGGGAGGGGGATCAGCAAAGGTCTTGTTCCCGGCGAGTCTAAGGGCAACTCACATGTATGTGACAGGTGGAGGAGGTCGTTCACTCTCTCCCGCAGCAGGCACAGCTAAGCTGATATAGTCGCTAGAAAGAATGCCAGGGACAGAAGACAAGTGCTCTTTCGGCGGGGCTGCGGGGCTCATTGCAGCGATAGGGTCAACCCTGAAGAGCTAGACGCAGAGGAGCGGCGGAAGCAAGGGCGGAGCGGTCTCGGCGGGGTGGAAAGTCGGAGAGGACGTGCTTGAAAGCAGAGGATACGTTTGTAGAATATTCAGAGGCTCTGGCGGCCTGCGAGAAATTGGACCGTCGACGGAGGGGAAACCGGTCAGTAGGGAATTATTGCTGCCAATAAATCGCGTCAGCCTCAGGCGTCGACTATTGGCAGCACCTGCAAGGTTGACTCCAAGGTTGTTCTCGCTTTCACGTGCCGCTTTCACGTGCTGCTTGCTGAGTGGCTACACTTTCGTAGCACTTCACCCAGTTCTCCACCACCTGCTGTCCTCAGGCTTGCGCTCCGATACCACCACGACCCTTTGCGCACACGCCCCTTGCATTGCGTACTGACAGCAGCCATGATTCTCTACTCCTTCTACATATTCGACCGGCACAGTAAGCTCGGCGCACCAATCGGCCTCCTGCAGTAGCACTGACAGATCCCAGCCGAGTGCATATACAGTCGCAAATGGAACACCCGGCCCATATCCTCCAGCACCAAAAGCGCGCGACCGCAGTCCGGCGTCAGCATCACGAGCAATGGCGATGTCGCGCCGGCCACGCGCAAGGCCCTCTCCAAAGAAGACGACGCGAAGCTCATCTTCGGCCTGGTCTTCTCCCTCCGCAACATGGCCCAGAAACTCGGCGGCGAAGACGACTCCTTCCTCTGCTACCGCACCGGCGAATACAAACTCCACTACTACGAGACTCCCACGCGGCTGAAGTTTGTCATGCTCACCGACCACGGCGCCAAGACCCAACGTTCAGCGCTGCATCAGATATGGGCACTTCTCTATGTCGAATATGTGGTCAAGAACCCGCTCTCGCCCGTCGAGCATCCCGGAGGTATTGGCGTAGCAAACGTGATGTTTGAGCAGGGACTGGACGCCTTCGTCGTAAGTAGACGTCTTCGAGATTGGCCAATAGGCAGCATGCTGACAACACTGACAGGAGAGAGTAGTCCTCCCGACTTGATCAGCTTGATCCTAGGTTTTATATTATGCCGTAGTCTGCCCCAACAGCACCGCGTAGCTCCAGTAATCCCGTGCCTGTCAAGTAAGAGAGCGAGAACAAGCCACCCAAGTCTTGTCAGGAGTATTTTCATGCTCCCTCTCAATTATCATGCCTCCTGGAGACGAGCTCACAGGAAGGAGTCGGTACTATAAGCGTTAGCGTAGTAGACGGGGCTAGAGACAACAAGTCGTCACTCTCAAGGGGATGCAGGACGCTGTTTCGAGAAATCGGGTCGTGTATATATGACTGTGGAGGTACTCAGGGGTATGAGCCACCTGTCGATCATGGTATCTAATCCCAGAGACGCGAAATCGTCCTTACTATGAGGCTATGAATCTCTGTTCTCCCAACCGAACTCCACGCCGTAAGATCCCAAGTTCTATCCCTCTTTGAAACGCCTTCAAATGCTATGCCAAAACAAGTTTGAAACCCACGACCACCCTTACAGCATCGCAAGATCGAAGTCGTCCAGTTTGTCCCGATACTTCATGATATTCCTCTTGATCTTCGACGAATCCACCCAAGTCACAAAGTCTTCCATATTCCTATAGCACAGATCAGTAACAGATAAGACACAAAGCCTGCTCTTAAAGTCCACATACCTCGTCACCAAAAACGCCGGATCCGTCACAACCTCCGTCGCCACCCTCACATGACCCTGCTCTATGAATTTGATAGCGGCTTGTAACGTATCCGCCATGCGCAGCCGTGTCATCACCACGCCTAGCCGCCGACGGGCGAAGGCTGAGACTGTGACTTTATGCTCCACGTCGCTGAGTTTGCCGCGACCGCCACCGCCGGTGCCAAGGATGCCCATGTCGAAGAGCTTTTCTAATAGTAGATCCTCATGCTTTCGTCTGAAGGCGTCTGCGGGGTCTAGAGCGGCGAGTCGGTGTGCTAGCTGTTTCAGCGATCCGGCGATGCTATTGTATTTCTGGTAGTCTGTGGGCTTCTGGATCGCATAGCGGCGGATGATCTGGTGCTCGCGGTGGTTATTGTCGCTCTTGTAGGTTGTGAAGTCGACTTTTCGGAGGAGCTTTTGCTCATGATGCTTGAGTTTCTAGAGGGCGTTTAGTAGATGCTGAAGGGCTCTCCATTTACAAGATACTCACTCGAACCATGGTGACTTGACAGTTGTGGTGGATATGTCGCAAAGAAGCGATGGAGGTGAAGTTGCGGGGACCTCGAACTTTTTTCGGCGTTGCCAAGCCGCCGCATTTCATTCACATTTCCAGGGTTCCCCACCAAGCTTCAACTTTCCTCCAAACCTCAATTGCACATCCACCATGACACGCTTCCGTCCCTGCATTGATTTGCATGCAGGCTCCGTGAAGCAAATCGTGGGCGGCACTCTCTCCTCCAGCCTGCCCGATTCCCTCAAAACGAACTACGTCTCGAAGCTACCGGCGAGGCACTTTGCGCAGCTATACAAGGAGAATGATCTCAGTGGTGCGCACGTCATAATGCTAGGCCCGGGGAACCAGGAAGCTGCGAAAGAGGCGCTGGAGAGCTGGAGAGATGGGTTGCAGGTTGGGGGTGGGATTGATGATACGAATGCTGCGGAATGGGTGAAAGCTGGGGCTGAGAAGGTGAGGGTCTATACAGGTCTTTTCTCTCATCGAGGCAGCAAGGAAATATTTGGGTGATAATTGGATAATAAGGCCGCTTATCTTGAAGTCTAGAGCTAATAAGTCGCGTAGTAGGTGATCATAACCTCCTTCCTCTTCCCCAACGGCACATTTTCACTTCCGCGCCTTCAATCAGTCCTCAAAGCTTTCGGAGACAATAAGGAGAAGCTCGTCATCGATCTGAGCTGTAGGAGGAAGGGTGAGAAGTGGTTTGTGGCTATGAACAAATGGCAGACAATCACGGATATGGAGCTGAATCAAGGTAAAATGAACCTCAGGGTTAGGGCGGAGAGTTTCCATTTAACATTTTATCCAGAGTCTATCTCCCTCCTAGAACCATATTGCTGCGAATTCCTCATCCACGCTGCCGATAACGAAGGCCTCCAAGCGGGCATCGACCACGAGCTGGTCCAGAAGCTTGCTGAGTGGTGCTCCATTCCAGTGACATATGCTGGCGGAGGGAGGAATCTGGATGACTTGGAACTAGTCAAGAAGCTCAGTGATGGGAAGGTAGATCTGACAATTGGAAGCGCCTTAGATATCTTTGGAGGAAGCGGAGTCACTTTCGAGGACTGTGTGAAGTGGAACCAGGACCAAGAAAAGGCATGAAAGAAGCACTCGCCGGCATTACTTGGGACGAGATGATCACTGAATTCGCTTCAGGGCTATAGCTATCTTAGCAGTGGTTTGAGTGATTACTTCAAGCCAAAGAGCAAGTCTGAATCGGCGTCTGCTTGACGTTCTCACCGATCCAGGCATGGAATCCATGGAACCTATTCTTACTCTCCCGGCAATGTGATAGGGAAGAGGGCTTTTCGGAAGTATACTATATCAGCTATTCGAAAATGTAGACAAAGGCTCCGACTATTTTGACATGCCGCTTTCACAGCCGACGGAATTCCAAGCCACTTATGCAACCTGGGCGACCAATCAAACTGCTAATTGTGAAGCACGGCACCGCTTCTCCTCCCAAGTCCGACCACGAGTCTATCCCGAAACTCACTCCGACACCTAGTTTATGCCGACCTCCATCCATTAAGCTTCCCCACAAACAGTTCGTTACCTATAAGAGCAACTAGTTTCTTGGAAAATGGCTTGGGAAGCATGTTACGTGTAACTTGTCCCACCGTCCCGCAATACATTATTCCTTTGCTTACTCTCTCCTACCGCCGAATGCCACTGTACGTCTTGCACAACTTAAGTAGGACATATTTTCATCCCAAGTATATCTACCCATGATTTGTTTGATTTTCAGTTGCTAGGCTTCCCCATCGAACAGTCACACATGTCCTCCACTTTCAGGAAGAATCTCTTTGAAGACAACCAGACCTGCACATCAATATGGTCCAACGAGTCGACGTTTTGATCTGCGGTAGCGGGTCGGCAGGCCTATGTGCAGCACTATGGCTTGCACGGTCCGGCATCAATTTCAAGATCCTCGACAAGCGCTCCGAGCGGATGACGAGAGGACAGGCAGATGGAGTTCAGTGTCGCACTGTGGAAATATTTGAAAGCTTTGGGGTCGCCGAAGACCTTCTCAGGGACGCTTACCATGTGCTAGAGGTTGTTTTCTGGGAGTCGAATGGGAAAGGTAGTATCACTCGCACCGGCCGCACGGCTGATACAGCTCCTGGAATCTCCCATCAACCACATGTTATTCTCAACCAAGCACGTCTCAATGGTATCCTGTTGGATCTTATGGCGCGTTCGAATGGGCAGGATGTTGAGTATGGGTATGAGGTTAAAGAGGTTCGGATTGATAGCGCAAAGACGTCTACGAAGGATGAATATCCGGTCACTGTCACTACTGAAAAAGATGGAAAGACAGAAATATTTGAAGCCAAATACGTTCTTGTGAGCACTGCCAAACATTCCAGTTTAGTCGCATAACCTGACCGGCAGCCAGGGCTGTGATGGTGCACATAGTACCGTTCGACGATCCCTTGGATACAAGATGATCGGTGACAGCACAGATGCTGTGTGGGGCGTCATGGACATATACCCAAGAACTAACTTCCCTGATATCAGGAAGAAGGCTCTCCTCTACTCCGACCATGGTAACTTACTAATAATCCCACGAGAAGGCGGCTCGCTCGTACGATTCTACGTAAAGCTCCCCGACGGGAGGATAGCCAAGAACGTCAAACTCGAGGACGTCCATGACACTGCTCGCCGAATCTTCCAGGGCTACGATATGGAGTTCGCGGATACGTACTGGTGGTCAGCGTACTCCATCGGTCAACGACTAGTCGACCATTTCTCTAAAGACGATCGAGTTTTCCTCACTGGCGACGCCTGCCACACTCATGCTCCTAAGGCCGGGCAGGGAATGAACGTTAGCCTTCAGGATGGTTATAACATCGGTTGGAAGCTTGCAGCTGTACTCAATGGAAGGGCATCTCCTGACCTCCTTAAAACGTACAGCCTAGAGCGGCAGAAGGTCGCATCGGATCTCATTGATTTCGACCGCAACTTCATGAAGCTCTTCTCACAAGAGGTGAAACATGAAGACCAAACGAATGCGAACTTGGTTGTCCGACAGTTCGTCGCGACGGGACCCTTCACAGCGGGGATAACCGCGAAATACAACGACTCTGAAATCACTTTTGCTGCACGGAGTAAGCCGGACCTCGCAGTGAATCTTCACGTGGGTATGAGATTCCCGAGCGCCCAAGTTGTGAGATTATGTGACGCCCGAGCGATGCAATTGCAGCGGGCACTGCCTTCGGATGGTCGATGGCGCCTTGTCATTTTTGCGGGCGACATCAGAGATTTGAATTCAGCTAAGAAATTAGATAGCGTAAGTAGGGAGTCTTTCTCCCTGTCGGAAAGTATGCTCACGCGTAACAGCTTGCGAAGTTCCTTTCGTCTCAAAAAGGCCTTGTCCAGAAATTCACCCGCGAAGGGGATGATATCGACAGCTTCATCGATCCGGTGGTCGTCTTGCATGGAGCACGAGCCGAGATTGAGCAAGAACACATCCCATCTTACTTTCAGCCTGTGACTAGTCCATGGGGAGTACGGGGTTAGTTTCTACTGATGTTTCGAAGTATCGGAGTCTTTGATCGCTGACATGTTAACACAGACTTGCACAAGATCTTTATCGACGATGAGAGCTACAATTCTGGCCACGGGAAAGCTTACGAGGCGTATGGTGTGGACGTGCAGAAAGGCGCTCTGGCGATCGTGCGTCCTGATCAATGTATGTTTATCAATATCAGCTTGAGATACCTATACTAACCAATTTATTAGATATCTCGATGGTAATTAGCCTAGAAGACTATGACGAGATAGATAGATTTTTCAATGGCTTTGCTCGGCCTCAAAACTAGAGACCATTGGAGGAAAGTTTGAGTCAGAGACTGGAATATCGCTGAATGAGATTGGTATTTGGATGGCAAACAAACCGAATTAGATCAACATACAGTATGATTCGATCTACGGCCTATCCTATCACTGCTTCTTCTTTGCCTCCTTCTCCACGCCCGTCGCGCCCTCTTTGTAATCCCTCCACACAACAACTCCCAACCTCCAACAAACCCACGCAACTCCCAGCACAACCGCCACTACAGTCCCCCACTCCACGTACCCGGCGCGGTCCAAATCCAACACCGGCACCTCAATCCGCTCCACCAACCCACCCACATCGGTAGGCGGTACGTGATAAAACATCGTCTTGGGCCCAAAAAGCCCATCATACCCCAAATTCACCCTGTCAAACGGATTCACCGCCATCTTCGACCCCTCCTCCGCGCGACACGCCCAGAACACAACGGGCCACGGTGCCGTGGACGACTCGAGGCCGCTCTTGTTGTGGTTCGGAGGTAGGTAGCGGAGGTGGAGGGGGATGGAGACCTCCCAGTCGCCGCTCTGTGGGGTCCCGTTGTGCTGAGGCGGAATGGCGAGCTCGAGAAGCGCGGCTGAACCCCATTGCGAAATAACCCAGTCTGGGGCTTCGAGGTCCGTGGCGCCGCTTATAGAGCGGAGGAAGACGAGGTTAAGCGAGGCGAGGAAGAGGGGGTCGGAGAGTTGGTATTTGTCGATGAAGAGGAAGGAGGGGAGAGTGAGGTATGTGTGTAAAGCGCAGGTTTCGTCGGGAGGTGTGAGAGACGAAGCGGGGAAGGTGAGAGCGAGAGAGGGGTGGAGGCCAGTTGGTTGCTTGAAGGAGGTCGTATAGATGAGTGGAGTTGATGAGGTAGATTGCGGAAGTGGATGATGCCGGGAGGGAAATTGGAAGCGGGTTGGCTCTGCGAGAGGAGAGTCAGTAAGAAGGAATGCAGTCCAACATGAGTGATTAGACGTACTAGGTTTTGAGTCCTCTCCCACGACGGTCAAAAAGCCACTGAAAGCAAGGTCCTCTTTATCCACGGCCTTTTCGGAGGTGAGCACACCCACTTCTATCGTGTCTCCTTCCTTTTGGAGAGAGATTGATTCCGTCCAGCTTCCTTCACTTGGCTCCCGTGCCCAGAATGCGTTTAAAATGAGAGCGTGAGAGATGGTGTCGTAGTCGAAGTCTACATAAGTAGCTGAGCCCAGAGTAGACGCTTGTTGCTGGCATTTGGAGTTGGATTTTGGACATAGACTTTGTTGAATATACGTGACTAAATCGTCCAGCGAGGGAAGAAGCTGATAATACTGCGACGTTGATGAAGATGAGAAGCGTTCGGAGAGGATCGGCATATTGACGAATGTTTCCTATCGAGTCTGAGTATATGCTAGGAATATAAATCAAAGAAGACGAAAGTTACCTTCGGACTTTCACATTCAAGGTTGTCACCGAAGATCTTTTTGAGGGAGGGGCAGAGCAACTCTCTACGTAGAAATATAAGTGTCCAAGCAAATCAAACGACAAAGTGACTTAATTTGGTCAAAAAAAAAAAAACCGTACGGAGACCTGTCTTTCTGAGGGGTAAAGAAGGCATGAAGCCCTGGGGATATATGGGAAACGAAAGGCGGGATTGTAGAGTAAGGCTGTTCCGATGCCCAGCGAATGTGAAGCTCATGACACTGTCTTAGTACTCGGTACAGCTGAACAAGGCTAGGTTAATATAATATTCACGAACACCCAGCCTCAGTCATACCTCTTGAGGTAGTTCAGACAAGCTAAACGTCAACCTATGCTCCTTTGCAGCGTCAACAGAGACCAAACTGAACGAGTCATCGAACACATGGAGCTTGTCAGGGTTGAATTCATCCGGGTTGCAGACGATATATGTTGTTCTCTGCTTCATCTTGAACAGTATTATGATTGATGGAGCCTGGATGGAAGTTTGGAGTTGCTGTTCTGATGTGTTTTGTACTTCGGCGCTAGCTGCCTCAGGCCGAAAATTACGAAAATGACGAAGGCCGAGCACTGCGCCACTTGACAGCTCTTTCCACGTTGTTGCCTGAGCTGGATATCCACGGCAGGAAGGACCACCGTGTCCTTTCACTCTTCGCCGCCGCACATGTAGCCTCTCCCCATTCTCTGCCAGCTTGCTATACCAGCACTGACAGCGACCATGCGTCCCCATACCATTCTCTCCTCCGCCGTGGTGGCAGCCCTCACCATAGCGGGCACCGTCGAAGGAGCTCGAAGGCCCGCCAACAGCGTCCTGCTCTCCAATGTCCAAATCCTCACCCTCCGACAGGGCAAAGAAACAAGCCACCGACGTGTCTCAGCTATACCCCAGGTGCCTAATCTTCCGGCCTGATCCTCTCATCCAAGCTAATCACGCCGCAGCTTGAGTGCGTCGGTGGCAATGCGAAAGGCCTCTACGAGGTCGACGTGATGCGCTGCAAGAACGCAGGCTCCGACTACGACGACGACAACGTTCAATGGACCTGTACCGCGTCCCTCCCCGAAGACTTCAAGCTCGGCTCCACCGACGTCGTCTGCGAGGGCTACGAATCCCCCGACGACCCCTACATCCTCAAGGGCAGCTGCGGCGTCGAATACCGCCTCATCCTCACCGAGAAAGGCGAAGAAAAATACGGGAAGAAGAAGCCCGGGTGGTTCAGTGAGCCTACGAAAGGCAAGCCACAGGAAGACAATCACACCCAAGACAATCACACCCTAGACAACGCCGGCGCCCGTTTCGTCGCCGCCCTCTTCTGGCTCATATTCTGCGCCGTAGTCATCTACATGATCTACTCCGCCTTCTTCGCGCGCGGAGGAGGGACTCGACAACCCGAGACTCATACGCCTAATTACGGCGGTGGAGGAGGAGGAGGCGACGATGATCCACCACCGCCGTACGACTACCGCCCTTCACCAAAGCCTCAGCATAGAACCTATACCCGACCGAGAACATACACTCAACCACAGCCCGCTCCGCAACCGGGAAACGCTTGGCGCCCTGGTTTCTGGACGGGCACTGGCACAGGAGCTGCAGCAGGAGCGGCGGCAGGGTATGCGGCGGGCAGGGCGACGAGGACGGAGCCAGCTCCACCGACGAGGAGCGCCCCGAGCCCGCCGGCGCCGCGGGGTGGTGGTGGCGGTGGCGGATGGTTCGGTGGTGGGGAGAGCAGCTCCACTAGGAGCAGCTCGGCCAGGTCTGGCTCATCAGGCTCGTCGGGTCCTGCTCCTTCGACGACGAGACATGAGAGCACTGGCTTTGGCTCTAGCAGACGGAGATAGGTTACATTAACATGAACTGAATGAATCGGCATTGACTACACTTGTATCACATGTGATATACATTTTGAAAGCTGGAGGCCGTTACCTGCAGTGCTCAAATCAATGGTGAAGCTTGAAAGTCTATATTCTAGCTTGAACATGCCGTGAACTGGGCTGACATCTGAGCTGTCATTCACAGCCGCTTAACACTGTCTGCAGAACTTGAGCATTTGACCACACCATAAATCTGGCCATGTACAGGGCTTTCACGCACGTCTCCTGAGGAACTTCGACACAGAATGCCCGAGATAGCATGATTGTTACTAGACGGACTCGCCCATCAGCCGCCACTACTATCTACCTACGTAAAGCCCTCACAGGTATACAGCCCCATCTATACCCATCCAAGCGTACATTTCGCTGGCCTCTAACTCCTCTCCGTCTTAAAGAAAACAGCGTATTACAAACATCGAACGCCGGCGCGGCAGCAAAAAAGCAACTACAAACATATAGACAGCGGCACCCGCCATGCCCGACCAAGAGAGAAAGCATTGTGGGCCTCGGCTCGAGAATATGGACTTAGAAGCGAATATAGTAGTAAAGCAAGTATTCTGAACGTGAACGACTCCTTATCGCTGCTAGCGCGCAAGCATCGCCGATACAAGAACCCAACGAATACGTACACCCATGCACCTGGAAATGCTTTTGACAAAGCGGAGAAAAAAGGAAATGTAATAGATGTCGTTTGATCGTTACGCGGCGCGCATTATACAGGGGTTAAGCGTGTTTAAACTTCATGGCGGTCGAGGAGCTCGTAGTCCTTGCTGCTGACGCTGCGGTAGATGACGGAGCGGATGCCTTCGGGGAGGAAGAAGGTTTTGCGACCGCCTTTGAGAACGGTGCGGTTGCAGAACCACCAGATGAAGAAGATGACGGTGAAGCCGACGAGGAAGCCCATGAAAGTCAGTAAGGCCCAGTGATTCCCCATCTGTTATGGATTAGCATGTGATCCTTCAAAGCCGAGTTTAAGGGAGAGGAAGCGAATGCAGGGTAAAGCTCATGAGAGAGGATGGACTTACCCAGAAAATTAATCGCACGTCGTTTCCGTGCCAGCTGCTACCGCGGTGATGTGTGAAAAAGCTCCAGGGATGGTTGTTATACTCGTCTGGGAATAGTACACGGACGCGGTCGTTCTCCGAGGGGCTAGGTGTAGCACTGTTGTAATGGCGCCAGATTATACTCAGGAAGAGAGGCCCGGTGGATGCCATGACGGTGATGTAGGGTAGCAGCCAGTTGCGGTTGTAATCCGGGAGAGAGTCGATCGCCTTGAGGAAGAAGGGGTGGTGGGGTACAGCACCCATTGCGTCGTTGGAGATACCAGTGGGAGTGGTACGGCGGACCCAGGCGGAGTAGGCGAGAAGAGGATCAAGACTGCGGTTGCAACCCTAGAGACTCATTAGAGACGGCTCGAGTGAGAGCTAATGTAGGTCATACATCGTCTAGATCAATATAAATTCCTCCAAAATGGGTGAGCACAAAGTATCGTATTGCGTCTGCCCTCTGGATAGGGAATTCATAACCGTCGAAAGGCTCGAGAAACCACGGATAGCTAGAGACAATTAGTATCACTGTCCTCTCCTAGATATAGGCGGGGTACATACTGGGTAGAAATAAATTCGCGCGATTTCTTGTCAGTCCACAACTGTGAGATGTCAGCCTTCGTCCACGGTCGCCCCTGGCGCGCCTACGAACCTTATACTCGTAGTCCGGGTGGAGGTCCAAACAACTCTGCTGAGGTCCTTGCCAGTGTGTGGGTATGCTCTCGTTTATGTAGGTCTGGTGGATGATTTTGGGGATCAATTGCGGCCGCGAGCTGATTGCGGTGGAGTTGGGCGCGGGCAGCTCAGCGCGCGAGATCTGGTCCTCGAAGCCATTGACGAACAGCAGCGTGATCAGAGTCCAGACGCTGTGGACGAGCAGGGCGACAATGAAGATGTTCGTAACCAGGAATATGAGTACGCTCTTCCGCATGGCGAGGGAGGGCTCTCCGGAGCGCGCGTTCGAAGTCAGGGGGCGGTGCTAGAAAAGGCAGCGGGGCGAACAGCGCGCGGGTCGAGGCTGGAGCAGTGAAGGCGGTATAAATTATTGCGGAGGCATGAGAATTAGAAAGTATACGGGGCCACGAAGCGTGAGCGGCAGAGTGTGGGAGGGAAACACGGGTGGGCTCAGCAGTAAGTATAAAGGCAGGAGCCTTGGCAGGGTGGAAATTGACTTGCGCTCAGACTTCACGCCCCGTTGCGAACACCGCCCGCATGCTGGCCCGCTCTCGACAGGCCACACAAGCCAGCCCCGCGACGCTTATCGACGGGATTGCGAGACGCCGTGCCCGTCCGTGAGGTTCGGCCGTACTGTGCTGTGGTACCACAGCGACTCCATCGTGGCCACATCCTCAACATCCTCCACGCGTCCTCAGAACCCCAGACGCCGCAGACACCTCCTGTACATCGCTTCTATCTTTGGAGGGGGGCCCAGGGGGGGGGGGGGGGGGGTGGGGAGGGGGCGCAGCCATTCTGTAGTTGATGACGACGCAGTGCATATATAGTAATTCCTCGCTGCGGCATTCTGATTTGCCCCTCCCTAAGCCGCTACTCTCATTTGAGTGCCATATTGCGAGCGGGAGCACTTCCCTCTTGCACAGTCGAGCCATGGATGGTATCAATCATGTCATCATGGTAGGTACGAGGCGCGAAGGTTGTCGTTGGCCGCAACCATCAACGCATCACGAACCCTTAGCAAGTGGGCTACAGATAAAGAATATGTGAGCTATCACCCGCAGGCGCGGCGTCTGGGCAATTTTGTGACCCCATCAGGCCAGTAGTGTAAATGTCACTAAAATCTGCAAAACCAGACGTCAAACCAGGTGACGTCGAATGTCAGTGGCCAATGGAGATAACTCCGTATGTGAGATATTCTCATTCGTTCGTTGAGTTCTGACTACACCTTGCAACTGTGGTACGCTTCCTGCTCGATATGGGCACCATATACCCAGTGGTGGTAGATGTGGGGTGGTTTATCAGCTTAGGATGAATAGTGCGTGCTATCTCTTCCGAGGCAGAGTCTATAGCCCCGACTCCGTGTCTTAGGGGAATGTACAGAGTGCGCATGGATTTCTTCCGAACAACAGAGAAAGCCCTGCACATATCGTGGTCTGAATGGCTCAATCGAATAGATGGGTGGATACTTCAACCGAAGCAACCGAAGCAACCGAAGCAGCCGAGCTGATACACGCTAAAAAATAACCACATCAACGTCCCAGTACCTTTCCTATCTGCCTACTGAGACATCCAGAACGGGCAACGTAAGTATAATGCGTAGATACCCTTGTAAAACGCGTATCAGTGATACTTCAACACCTCCCCTCCCCAGGCCCACCCTATGCAACAATCTCTTTCCCATCATGCAAATCCAACAACGGAATCCCCCTCTCCCACTGCCCCACCCCACACCTCCCCTCCTTCTTCTTCCTCTCCACATACTCCAGCGCCTTCCCCTCCACCTCCTCCCAGCTCCCCACACACCACTTCCTCACCTCGCCCAGCACATCCCGCGCCCACGTACGGCTCGAGAAGCCGCCCGCGCCATCGACCGGCACCGGCACCATGCCGATGAACATCTTCAGCGTAGCCGTAGACCAGACCTTCCCTACGATCACGCGGACGAGGATGTCGTCTTCGGCACGGACGTCGTCGACGGCGACGCGCTCGTAGCGCCACGGCGTCACGGGGTTGAGGCCCTCTATGGTGAAGGTAAGCGAGTTGTGCACGCGGTGCTTGACGGTGGAGTTGGAGATGAGTTTCTTGGTGCTCTTGGGCGATTCGAACAAAGCGTAGGCGTAGGTGCCTGGCTCTCTGGTCGCGTAGATGGCGAGTTCGAGGCGGGGTTTGTTGCGGGGGCCCATTGTTTGTGATGATCTCGGGATGCGAGTTTGGTTGTGTAAGTATTGTATTGTTGGAAGTCGGTACCGATCGTTGGGGGCTTCCGGGTCTTTTGAGTACGTTTACCCTTGTTAAGTGAGGCTGAGAGTTGGTGGTACGAATACGGAGAGCTAAGTACGTTGTTGGAAGGAGGCCCGTTGCCAAGATGAGGCTATAGCCCAAGAGATATTAGAAGACCTTGGCGACAATGGTCAATGGTCATCTCTTTAGAGCGGTTACTCAGATTCCAAAGACGAAACGTCGAACAAAAGAATGGGAAGAAGTCACATGTTCGATGACTAGCTCGGGGTAATAAATATCTGGAAAGGAGTGCAATCTGTTCCAATATTCACATCTCTGGTCAAGAATTCTTAGATGGTTACATCAGAGCCAGGTGAGGGTGAAACTTGAAAGATGCTTTTGTCCAAATCTAGCAGAGAACACTTTACCTCCGCAACATACGCATAGCCAATGGCCGTAGCCTTGTACTTTGATTCAACGCACACTCACACCTATTAGCAAGCTCTTATGTGAGTTCCGCGACCCTTTCGAAAGGCTCAGGTCCTTCTGTACAGCATTTATGTCCTCCGAATGCTGCCTTAATCTCAGCAGAGAAGGGTCTAGAAGATGGCTCGAAGCTCATCATCGGTATTATATTTGACTGGAGGCACTCAGACCTAAGGAGCTCTTGGCTGAAAATTCGGGTGCTTCGTAGCCACTCTGCTATGGGCGAGATGTTTGCCTGGTAAGATGTGTCTCCGTCAGCATTGCCGTTTCAGATGTCAATCAGGGATTGGCGCTGAGAGCTCAGCACAGCAATGATTTCGGCGAAAACACAGCCAAGACTGAAGATGTCTAGCATGATGTGTCAGAGGTTTGTCCGGCTTGAGGTCGGTGGGAATGGCACGGAAGATTTCTACTGACCTGCACCGAATCCGCGTGTGTCTTGATCAACTACCTCTGGAGCGGCATACATCCTCGTGTATGGTGTCGGAGAATCTGTTTCGGCCTCTGCTGCGCTCTTATATGCTCTCGATATTCCGAAATCCGCAAAATAGACCCTGTATTTATTGCAACCGCGAGGAGTTTGTCGGATGAGGATATTCTTGGGCTTGATGTCCATGTGCTTAGTGAATTGTTGATGTATATAGTCCATAGCGTTAGAGAGGCATCCAATGAAGCAGGACAAGTCGTAGAGATTGCTGAGCTTCTCCGAGAAGTCTTTAAGCTCGTCTGCGAACTCCAGAAAACTCTCTAGACTGTGCGATGCCACAGGATATAACAGTATGGACAGGCTTTTCTTCTGAACGTAACTCCCCACCACTCGGATAATGTGCGAGTGCTACAATTTCTGAAGGTGCTCCACTTCTTTAACGGCATCTTCACGTTTCAGCTTTCCGATGCAGCTGATCGTTTTACGCGCGAGACGGATTCTTCTGCACAGTACGCTCTCGGCTACAGCCGTCCAAGAATGACCCAGAATGTTCTCATGTGTGAGGATTTTTGCAATTTGGCCATCGTCTCCCTCTCCGAATTCCGCATGTCGACCTCGTCCAGACCAATCCATTTCGTCGAAAGGATCTGGAATCAAGCCGCGATCGTCAAGATGTCTCATCCACGAGCTCTGGTTTCTATAAAATACTTCTGCGTCAATCTTTGAGTTGTGTCAAGGATCAGTGTGGGAGATTGAAGATAAAGGATCTTCGTAACTATTACGAGAAAGACCTTGAAACCCCTAAGATGGACTTGAAAAGCGGGACGTTGCAGTGGCGAATGTCGCCCAGCTTGACTCATGTGAACTCTTGTAGCTCCCCAAGCTCTCGTAGCTCTCCGAAGTCTTGAATTGACTCGAATAACTCTTAAAGCTTTGTGGAGAAGTGTTTCTGGCCTCTCCTTGCTCTCTTTCTTCTCGTTTCGGAGATCCTAAAGCCGGAAAATCTGCAAACTGGTATTGTGACACCAATTAAGGGCGGAATCGGCGGCCATCTCCTCTGCTTTTGCTTTCGGGTCATAGGTTTCATATTCTCTGATGCGCCTTTCGTTGACAGAGCGTGTAGTGCCGTCGGTATAATGTATTATGCCATTGACAGAAACACAGTACTCGTATTTCGAGCCGTCCAAGTCATGGTGGGGCATCGGGGAGGTCTAAACCGGCGGTGGCCAATTTCGACTGCGACAGAGACCTATGAAGCGCTTAATTGGAAACCAAAAGAAGTGAACATTTTCATACGCGTTGACAGATGCCGATCGCCTGTATCGGTCTCTCAACAAACTTAACTCGAGGCGAATCCACCTACTTGGTTCACGCTTTTTGATGGGTCTCCAAGGAACAATCCCGAAACCTCTGGCTCCTCAAGATTCACAAGGGCCATGAGCCTAGGCAAGGGAACTTCCATATGGCTATCCAAGCCAGTGTGTACACGGCGTAGGTACGAGGAGAGAGGAGAGCGAATATACTTACTGGCAAGTTGGTCGACGTAAGACTCCTGCTTTTCCTCCATAGCTTCTGTCTGAGGTTGTTCGACTGTCATTGTCAGCGTGTTGCAACTTGCAACTCCTCATGAGGCTGAAGCATAGCCTTGGCGCTCCTGCATATCGCCACAATCAGGGCTACCTTAGTTACTGCAGGGAAAGACAACAGCCTATCAACGGTGCTAGAGTGCCGGGTTGGTCTCTGGATGTCCAAAACGACGACAGCCTTACTCGGCCTCTTGCGCATCACAGTATCATACGACGATTCCAAGCCCTCGTATTCCGATCTATGTCTATAGGTATTATACAAGCACTCCCCAACGCCACGTCTACATACCACGAAATGTGGCATCGCAAGACTTGCAAGGAATCACTTTTAGACCCTTAGAAAAGGATGAAGACTTATAAGGAGAGGGAATAGGATCTCACTAATACCATCTCACTACAACGCATTAGGCCTCTTGGAAACGCGACCATCGAGATCGACGCCACCAGCACCACCGCGTCTCTTGGGACCCCCTCGCGCACCTCCTCGCGCACCTCCACGACCACGGCCATTGCCGCCATTGCCTCCTTCGCTGGAGCCGAACTGAGGACGGGGATCTGTCTCTCCTGCTCTGGCACCCCTTCTAGGACCGCCGCCAATTCCGCCACCACCTCTGCCGTTAGCAGCAGGTCGTCCACCTCTTTGCCCACCACCGGGTGGCGCATCCCGAGTAACGGTGCCTACATTCAAGCCACGAACCCCTTTCAATCCCATCTTGCCGACTACTTTCTTGTCGACCATAGGTGGTTCCGGGCAGCCCATCGCTTCGGCATAGTCGTTTGCCGTCTGTACCAGACCTCCGACATCCATGCGAAGATTCTTCATGAGGGTTTTGTGGAAGCCGAGCCAAGCCTGGTACGCCTTGCCCTTGACAGACTCGTCAACGGATACGAAGGCTCTCTCAACAACCGGAGCCGCAGATGCTATGCTCGGAGTGAGGTCTGTTGTGTATGGTTTGATTGGGAGCTGCCTGTTCGTATTGGTGAAGTAAGACTCATTCTGGGTGAGGATGATGATTGCGCGACCTTCGTTTCCGGCACGCGCAGTTCGTCCAACACGGTGGACGTACTGCTCGCCGGATGCAGGCAGCCCCAGCTGAATGACGAGACCGACGTTAGGGAAATCCATGCCACGGCCGATGACATCGGACGCGAACATGAGCCCTGCAGAGGCCGCCTTGAAGTCGTTGGTGGTCCTAGTTCGAACATTTTGCGTGAGGCGAGAATGTAGCTGGTAGATTTTCAGCTCCGGCATTGCCACTTCAAACATGGCCGCCAGAAGAGCCACGCCATTTGCTGTCGTGCCGAATATGATTGTCTTGAAATCTTTTGGATTTTGAGCATGCCTAAAAAGTTAGCAAATCGATGCTGTAAGGTTGAGGAGTACTCACTCAAGCTTTACCAATGCATATAGTGCATTGAAGACGTCCTTCGCTGCCGGGACAATGATGGAGAACTGTGGCACTCTGTCTACTGTCGGTGGCTCGCTCTTGTCGATAGTCGTCAAGTGTGTGTAACCAGGATTGAGCACAACGCTGATAACGTCCTTGACCTTATCGGGAACAGTAGCAGAGAAGCACATGCCCTGCCATCCATTCTTCTTCGGCGGTAGCTGCCTCAGAACTTTCTTGATGTCCTGAAGGAAACCAGCCTCTAGCATTGTGTCCGCTTCATCAAGGATGACGGTGCGAATGTTTTGGAACTTGTGTCTCACTTCCTCCTCTCCAAGATAGTCATTGAGACGTCCTGGCGTTGCGACTAGCACCGTGGGGTTGCCGTTCAGGAACTTCTTGAGGTTGCTCGCTCGGGCAGTTCCACCGAAGGCGGTATGGCATTGGATAGGCGTGGGAAGGCAGGCAGTGATCTCGTCACATTCTTTGGCAATCTGAAGGGCGAGTTCGCGAGTCGGTGAGATGACAAGAATTCCTACCTGTCCCTTTGGAACAGTCTTCTTTTCTAGAAGGGCGTGGAGGGCTGGTAGAAGAAAGGCAATGGTCTTTCCTGTACCAGTCTTTGCTTGTACTAGGCAGTCGCTGGAGTATGATGGAAGGGCGGTTAGGACCTTGTGCTGAACGGGGGTCATATATCTGCAAAAGTACATTAGCGAAAGTTTTGTAAGATTGGTTGGTGGTGATTTGGCGGCTCGGAGAACGGTAGAAGCTCTACATTCCGTGAGACTTATGTGAAGCATTCGTGAAAACGTTCGTCAATCAAGATTGAGGCTCTCTGCATCCAAAAAGATATGTAGCTCCACGCATTCGAAGCGTTAAAGTCATGGTAACCATTCTGGTCTGCAATTTCATAGCGCCATAAAGCGCGACAAGACCTTTGGCTGGGGATTTCTTACTCGTAGCCCATTTTATCCAGAGCTTTCAAGAAAGATGGGTTGACCTTGCCCTCCAAGCTCCGATAAGGTTGCGCATGCGCTTCCTTTAGAGTCTCTGTGCTATATACAGCTTCCGACATTGTGGCTTCGGTTTCTGTGTGGGTGTTGTGAGGAGGATCGGTAGATGGCTGCTGAAGCGCTGGGGTGAGGTGTGTTGTTGTGGTGGTATACGAGCGGGACAAGAGGCGGCGGCGATGCCCTAGCAGTGAAAGTGCACGCGTGAGGTCTCGTCTGGCGAAGGTCTGGAGCCTCTGAGAGATGATGCCAGGAGAAGAAAGACAGCTGGGAACAGTCAAGGGGAAGGATCGTTTTGATTCAACTATCTTAGCTAGCCGTTTTGTTACTGTACAGAAAGCCGACATTCAGGATCAATTCACTTGTTTGGAATAGGGAACAAAGCACACTGAAAGCAACTGGTGGTGGCAAGGGGAAACGCGGCATCATCAAGAAAAAACTAGGGCATGAGAGAAAGCCCGCAGTTTTGCCGGACCCCCTGCCTTTCTAGGCTGAGACGCACGTGCTTCGACTCACCTCCGCTCCAATTTAGCACCTTCGTGGCTGCCCATCATGATCTCTTCACAGAAGCTTAATTTGACGTCCTCACCCTCACTCGGTCGGGAGATAGGCAAGAGCTGTGTTCGGTGACGTTGTGTGCGACTTTGACACGTCGTTCTCTCCTAGTCTCCTTCAGATATCCTGGAGTGTTTCCTTTTTATGATTATCGTTGCCTTTCTTGCTCGTCAGGCTTTTCAGATCTTCGATACCCCAAACTATCCAATCTGATCATCCTCCTTCAAAATGCCCCAATCGCCGACGCCACGGCCCAAGAGGCCTTGGCAAGAGGTCGCCCGTGAGGCTCAGGAGTACAGAGATGCTACCATGAAAGATTATGAAACGAGTCTTCCGGAACCTCTTAAAAGTAATATGCCGAACAGCGTTATGAATATACCTGGATCTCTCCTAGGCGGTGACGACCTCCGAATCACAGAGCTTCTCCCAGAGGAATTGGTCTCACTGTTGGCGTCGGGACAATTGAGCTCTGTTGCCGTGACTGAATCTTTCCTAAGACGGGCAGCGCTCGCACAGAAGCTGGTACTTGTTGGTGATTTCCTTCTATTGTTAGAGATATTAAACATGATCAGGCAAACTGTGTAACAGAATTGCTCCCAGAGCGCGCATTGACACGGGCTAAATTTCTCGACGATCACTATGCCAGATACAAGAAGCCAATAGGACCTCTTCATGGACTACCAATCAGTGTGAAGGAGCATATCGGTATGGACGGGCTGCGCGTTCATTGCGGCTATGTATCATGGTGGTATAAAATTGGCAAAGAGGATGCCCATGTGCTTGAGATTCTCTGGAATGCCGGCGCCGTGTTCCATGCAAGAACAACGGAGCCACGTACGTTCTACTAAATTATTGCCACTTTGAGTTTTGCTAATTTGACAAAGAGAGCATGATGCATCTTGAAACTGACAGCAATCTTTACGGAGTTACCGTGAACCCTTACAACCGCGACGTCACTTCCGGGGGCTCATCTGGCGGCGAAGGCGCTCTTATTGCTCTCAGAGGTAGCTGTTTGGGAATTGGATCGGATGTTGGAGGTATTTCATTATTACTACATATTTAAAACTAATTAAGTAACAAGAATCAGGAAGCATCCGAAACCCGGCTGCTAACAATGGCATATATGGGTTCAAGCCAACCGCCTTTCGTATACCGACAGATGGCTGGGGATACGCCATGGCCGGAGCCGATACTATCGACAGCGTTCCTGGACCGTTGTCAACTAGTCTTTCCGGAATCAAGCTTTTCATGAAAGCTGTGCTCGACGCAAGGCCGTGGCTCACCGAACCAGCGATTGTACCCATTTCTTGGGATTCCAATCTCGCTCTTACCGATAGGCAACCGCTCAAGGTCGCAGTGATGTGGCACGACGGGGTAGTGAAGCCTCACCCACCCGTTACCCGAGCCCTCAGCTCCGTCGTGGAGAAGCTGAGGTCTCTCTCCAATGTCACAATAGTCGATTGGAAGCCTCATCTACACGATGAAGCCTGGGCTATCATATCGAACTTATACTACCCAGACGGAGGCGAAGAAGATGCCGCAGCCATCGACTCATCTGGCGAACCTTGGCGTCCGTTGACCAAGTGGATCATCAAAGAAAATCCATGTGTGAAGGAGCTCACCCGGGGAGAGCTTAATTACTGGCTTGAGGAGCGGGAGGCATATCGAAAAGAGTACGCTAATGCCTGGACCGCAACTGCCACTGGAGGTAATTCTGCTACGGGAGACCTTGGAGGCATGGTTGATATTATTCTCTGCCCAGTCGGCCCCGGAGTTGCGCCAGAACACGGAACTGCAAAATACTGGTGCTATACTAGCCAGTGGAACCTGCTCAACTATCCTGCGGTAGTGTTTCCTGTGAGCAAGGTGGATGCAGGTGTCGATGTAAAGGACGGAGCTTACGAGCCGAAAAGGGGTGTAGACAGAGACAACTGGGACCTTTGTAAGTGACATAATGCTGAATAGAGTACTCGCCTGCTAAACTTTCAGATGATCCGCACAAGTTCGACGGACTTCCAATCTCTTTGCAACTAGTGGGCAGGAGATATGAAGACGAGAAGGTGCTTGCAATATTGGAGTATATCAAGGAAAAGATCGGACTCCCGTTTGCCAAGTTTCCATAGTGTGGGCCACTTCATCCCACTTCCAAAATCAAGACGTGCTGAAACCCACCTCCAAGGCAATATCGAGGTGATTTCCTGCCAATCACAGGTGAACAGAATAAAGCTGTCCGCTTCGGTACTAGTATGCATTCCAAGCTTGCATAGCGTATTTCCTCCGCAGAGCTCGGCATCACCACATCCCGTCGACATTCCCATCATCAGCTAATCACAACAACCCCTCTTTTGATGGCTTATAGTTTATCGACAGATCCGGCGTAGTAGCAGTTCTCGCAGCTGCCACTCAACTGGATGCGCTCGAGATTGTCGATCTAGGAAATGCCATCGATGGCGCAATAACATCCCACGTTGTCACAACGCTGCCTTTGAAGCGGAGAACTGTCTCGGAGCTGGGAACAATAAATCAGACCACTTTCCCAGCTGCTAATGTAATTGCTAGCACATCCCAGCAGCTCAGAAACACGAAAACCCACTGTACCATACAAACCCCAGACCCGTCATCATGTCTACCCCAGCCGTGCAGAACCTTATCGATGGCAACAAAGCTTATGCTTCGACTTTCACCGAGGGCCATCTTGCCCTCCCCCCGTCCCAGAAATATGCAGTTGGTGAGTTGCTATCCTCCCTAGCTTGGAAGCTTATCCTAATTTTAAACAGTAACGTGCATGGATGCTCGCATCGACCCGAAGAGCGCTTTCGGAATACCTCTCGGTGCCGCCCATATCATTCGCAATGCCGGCGGCTCTGTCCGCGATGCCTTCCGATCCCTCGTCATATCGCAGCAGCTCCTTGGCACGACCGACGTGCTGATCGTAAAGCATACTGGGTGCGGGATGTTGACCTTTGATAATGCGGTTGCAAGAAGTGCCGTCGCAAAGAACAAGGGGGATGCGGCGGCGAAGGAGGTTGAGGACCTGGAGTTCTTGACTTTCCCGGATCTGGAGACTGAGGTGAAGAACGATCTGGAGTGGATCAAAAGCAAAAATGTCGAGAGCGGCATTAATTTCACCGGATGGATTTATGAGGTTGAGACCGGCAAGGTAAGGAAGGTTGAGTAGTGAGACGTGGGGTTATACCAAGGCGTATACGGTGTCTACGACGTGTGGTTTAAGGGAATTTTCTCTAATATCTGGCTGTTGGCCTCGAGCTAGTAACGATCTCATATAATGGCACCTGACCTCCTATCTCGAACTCACTTTCATGATACTCCCTGCGTGTGTATACACTTGTCTGGCGCTTCTTGCGGTATTTGTTCAAACTTTGAGGAATCTGAGGTAAATTCAACAAAGTCACTGTCTGAGATTTTGCTGAGAGAAAGTCTTATTCAAGATACTTATTCAGTTTAATTTCCTTCGACATCCAATATGGCCTTTACCCACTAATCATGGGCAAGCGTTCCGGCTTAAAAAATCTATCTATTTGGGGAAGTGGTTAGGTTTCTCGTTGCCAGCTCACATAACCTGATCTTCGGAGAGGGCGTGACGCCTATCGTTTTGCCCCCGTGAGGACCTGGTTCGAGTGCTACTGGGACTTTTCTTTTTTGCTCGTTTTCAACCCTCTCAAGACAGTGTTTTCTCGAGGATTTCACATGACTAGCCTCTTAGATGAAAAATTCGCTTTTAGTTCTTGCATCACCGGAGCTCCATACGCCTATGGGCGGTGCTTTTGTTGTTCCGCTCGCTTCCACCAACCACTACTTCTTCCACTCATCGCGCGCGAATCACCACAACAGGGCGTACAACAAAGCGCATCCAGAACAATATATTCAAATAGCCTAACGCGCGACTCGTCTACAGATAACCTTCAACAAACAAATATACTCCAGCGACTATGGAAATTCAGAACGAATTCTCGAACGAACACCGCCAAGCTCAAGAAGGAAGAAGGAATGGGGGTGATCCACCAGACTTCTTAGCTCAAATACGCGCACACGAAGCAATACATGGACGAGCAGATCTTCCCGGCCTGCCGAGTTGGCGCCTAGGTCAACAGCAGCGACGCGAAGAGACGCGCATTCAACCGCATGTGCGGGCAACGAGGCAGCTACCGAACAACGGCACGAACGAACAGCCGCGAGCTCAAGAAGAAGGGGAGGAGGATTTTCTAGCTCAGATATTGGCATACGAAGCAATATTTGGAAGACAATATATCCCTGGCTTACCGCCACTTCCACCGCAGCAACGTGAAGAGATTCGCAATCGGCCGGACTACGAGATGGACGAACGCGAGCCGACACCTCCGGACTCTCCGCCCCTCGGGTGGTGGCTCCAGAATCACGACTTCGAAGGAGAAGCTGGTCAAAATACCGCGGAGGCGAATGCGGATCGCGCTGCCCATCAACCCTTCGAGCCGACCTCACAGCGTCACAACTTCGGAACAGAAGCTGGACGAAACATCAATGCATCTGATCCAGGTCCCGCCATTCGATCAGGACGTCCAGATCATTTGCAACGACCAGGTCTAAACCGAGATAGAGCTAGAGCTAGGAACAACGCTGAGGGGCGTTATGCAGGTCCTGCTGGCCAAGTCGTGGACCGCAACCTGCGGGGCTTGATCGAACCTATGCGTACAAATTCTCTCGGCATACGACATTATCGTCCGGGGATACCGCCAGATGATGAAGCAAGTGGGCAAATGCTAGCTGAAGCCGAAGCCTACGCCGGCGTCGAGAGGCCGTATGGGGGTCCTGCCATCCAAGCCAGGACTCAGAACACACGGAACCGCGACCATCTACCCAACGCAGATCAGGCCATGGGCACCGCGCCACGGTTTCACGAGCTTCAAAGGGTCCGGAGCGATCGAAAGGATCTGAATGACCCCCCCAAGCGTCAGCGGCCGGCAAACCAGAGAGCTGAGGATCAAATTGGCCACGCACGTCGCAGATACCTACAGCGACAGGCAGGACGGGGCACACTGCCAGACCCAGTAGACCTAGCCGACTTCGAGGCAGGGAGAGCACCACCCAGACCTGAAGCCCAGCGTCAGAGAGCAGATCTAGATGGCAGGAGACAGAATGCACAGAGAGCATTAGAGAGACTCCGCAGAGCAGAATTCCAAATGGAACAAGAATTCCAAATGTTCATGGACGAAATCAACATTGATCGTGACGATTATACACACGAATACCTACCAGATCCGAATAATCCGAATCCTCCTCAAGGCTTTCGCGGCCGGCCACCTCCAGTCACGGACCCAGACCATGACATACGTATTCCGAAAGTAGGCACAACAACCCAAGTCCCCGTTACCCTCTTCAGCGAAGACGGCTACGCAACACACGTCTTCAGTCTGACGCTCGGGAACACGGACCCCGCCGCTGTTGCGCTAGACCAAGAGGTCCATGAGCGTGCGGTGGAGAAAAGGAAGAAGCATAGACTATACCACTATCCCGCAGATAAGATAGTGAGGATAGCCTCTGAAAACGGGACCTTTACTCACTTCTCTGGCGGCCCGCGAGGTGGCATCTGGGTCATCAAAGCCGGGAGAGAGGATGTGCTGGCGGCGTTGGAGGAGCTGGGAGAATTTGGAGGGGGTAGATGGCAGTTGCTCGGTGCAGGGATTGAAGGGAGTGCGGGGCTGTTGTTCGTGGTCCATCCGCCGAGAAAGGCGGAGGTGGTGGAGAGCGCGGCTGAGGAAGGCAATAGAGGAGGAATGGAGAACTGGATTGGGTACGGATGGGACTACGACAGCGACGATAGTGACTTCGAGGAAGGGGACTGGGACTTTATCGGTCGTCATCTCTAGCGGGCCTAGATGCTACTCTAGGCCGATTGTGAGGTTTCTAAAATTGGTCTGCTTAGTCTTGAAGCCACTGTAGGATCAGCACAAATTGTTGGAAAGACTCCCAATGTCCATCAGTGCTTTTGAATTACTCAAGCTTATCTCTCTAATACATTGGGCTTAAACAAATGACATAAAATAGTCTGGTCCATGGTGGCAGTACTCCACGAAGGTAATGATACTTGTCTGATCGCTCGTATAAGCTGATGCCTCCCAACTCTCCATTTCAGACCTGAAAATCACTCGTCCGGCGCTGACGGACTGTCCGATAGTCAGTTTTGATTGCTTCAGGTGTAATGGGAAAGAAATACTCCACTCACATTGGACACTTGACTTTTGGAACAGAGTTCGACAGCGGCACTTCGATGTAGCAGTTGTCAGGAATATTAATGCAGCTGTTCCCACCACCCGGAGATAGCCCTTGGCAGAACTGATTCGGTCCAAACATTAACCTGAAACAAAATGGTCAGCTCGTCCAAGGAATAAAGTATCCCGATAATTAGTTAGGAAGAAGAAGGGAGAAACATGGGCTTACTTTTGTTCTTCAGCATCATACACTTCTCCAGAGGGATCATTCAAGTCATTGTGATATATCGATACCCAATACCACTCATCGCCCACTCTCCACGATCCGTTTGGGTCGCCAGTAATGCCTGACCCAGATGAGTTATCCAAGCATTGCTTTATGATGTCTTCCGTGGCAGCCCAGCTAGGAATCCACGTTAGCGACGAAGATCCAGATCTTTCTGTCCCTACGGAAGATCTCCCACATACCAGTTTCCGTACTTTCCAGCCGGATCATTCCGTTGGATTTGGACTTGAGATCTTCCACCGTTGAAGGAGGTGTATAGGGAGCAGTAGTGGTTGTCGCCTCGCGCGGCATCAGAGTTGTCGCATGCATTGTTTCCGCATATTTGTTGGCGGAGTTGCCAGGCATTCGAGACATCGGGGTCTACTCCCTCGCCTCCGAAGCAGTCAGCGGCGAGGATTTGAGGTACAGCTGACAGAAAGTAAAGAAAAGTAAAAGCGGAGGAGAAAGTTGACAACATGATGCCCGAATTCCCAGTCTAGTGGCGGGGAACTAGATGCTGAAGGGATCAATGGCTTTTTCAACAGCTATGAACGTCAGATGTATATAATAGCTACTCAACTAGCTGAAAACCTATCTCCAGTATGATCGTTACGTGAGGTATGACAGGGGCATCGCTTGTAAGAATTTGAGATGGGCACGTCCATTGGTCAGCTCATGAATACGGACCTGTACGACGAGTACCTTCCAAGGTTGCATGACTGCCAAGTTCTGATGTTTCACGATGCCTTGAAGAGTTGTAGCTAGGTAGCGCATTAGGGAAACTGGTTTTCGGTACGAGCACAAATAGGCCGGATGCGGCGAAAATTTCAGTGCGGCTGTAATTCTATTGAGACCTGCACAAACCCGATCGTGACCAATGTCAGACTTGGCGAGAAACTGAACCCACGAGAGACCTTGTGAGGTGCTTAATGATCCCGTGGTTCGCAATCTGAAACTCATCACGGCCATGCCACAGTCTCTTTGGTGCTCAGCCCTGACCGGCTTGAGATTTGCATCCCTAGTATCATCAGCCAATCTTCTAAGATGCATATTAATAACATCTTGGATCATGTCCCACTTATAATCGAGCACCATAATGGCGCCCGATATATAAGAATGCGAGAGTTCTGATCACTCCTTGAGTTCACTGGCCGCCGTTCCCTATCGTCGAAAAGGGACATATTCATCTCATAAGCCGTCATGGTTTCTTCCATTCTTTCTTTCATCCTCTTCGCGCTACCGGTCTTGTCGTCTCCATTACTCGAAAAATGAGCCAGCTATCACATCGACGGATGTGATGCGTCGCTAGGAGATAGAAAACCTACAAAAGCCCAAGTCCTTGATTATGTCATCGATGACATGCAGTTGCTCGCACAAGCGGCTGTAGGAGCGTCCGAAGCGTCTCTGAAATCAGCTGCACAGGTGGCGTGGTTCGGGGCCGAGAGCGGGCAAAGAGTGTCGATGGAGAAGATCAACACCAGGTACCACAAGATGGCGAGATTCAAGTCCAACGTGCCGATCAAGGATGTCCACTTCGATTGCTCCAGCCCAAATGGATGCTGTAGAGCGGGACAGTGAGTGCGAATCTCTATCAGAGTTGGAGTATTGCTGATATTTACTAAAGAGGAGGTGTGCCTGCTTGTCAAAACAGTCGCGGAGATGAGGTCATCTACATTTGTCCCGCATTTTTCAACTGGCAGAAGCAAAGAGTGTACGAAATAGCACCGCCCACAGACAAACGAACTCGAGTAGATCTCGGACATCGAACTCAGGCTTATATTCTGTTGCACGAACTCTTCCATTCTCAATACGGTGGTGAGTTATCTATATCTGCTTGCTTAGCAATTTGAAACTGATGTTTTTAGCGGTTGACGTTAAAGAAACAGTGAAAGGCGAGCTTGGGAGGTCGTTTGCGTGCAGTGGCTATGGACAAGAGTGCATCATGAGAATCGCTTTGAAGAATCCGACGGAGGCGAGACGGAACGCGGATACTTTCGCCCTATTCGCTACCGCAGCGTACTACGGGATTGAAAACTGGGAGACAGACCCGAACGATCTTAACTAGCGCAGCAATTTCGTGGTTGTTGTTTCTAGTCTACTCAAAATATCAGAGCTTGATAGAGTCTGACGAAAACGAGGAGGGAGAGAGTCCTCGATCATTCATCACTTACTGGAGAGTGTAACGGATAAGACATTTAGAGCCTACTTATTTGTGACGCAAACTCGCGAGTGCAACAAATTTTCAATTTTAATTCACATCAACCTCTACTAAAGTAGACCGAACAATGAACAATGGTTATGATTCTCGTGTCTTCTCGCCTAGTGGTGCTAGGTCATATATCATTAGAGAGCTCAGAAATAAACGTCGTGAATACTTTATCTTGGCACAGCTACGTGCGAAGCGTTTGGAGAGAGAGGCAGGACACTTCGACCCAAGTTGGCTACCTATGGCGGATGCCATTTCATGTGGATGTCTCTGAAAGGGGCGGAGAGAAATGAAGAATGACGAGACGTCAGGATGTACTTCGTACCTACACCCTGGGATCACGCCAAGACCGAATATGTTCCGGCGCCAGGACGAAGCTCCGATGATGCTCACCTAGGCATCTGCTTCAGCACAGGCAATGCTACCACTACAAGAATGAATACTCCTTGCGAACCTTCTGCTCACTGGAGCTGTCATACGGTAGTTGGATCATGATAGACGGGCCAGAACCGCCAGAACCTACACGACCTGCCCAGTATGGCCTTCGACGCTGGAGGCTATGTTGCTCCAAGCACGAGCAATATCCAGGACCTTGATGCCGCCCTTCCCATGTTCAACGTTGAGAGGGTGTCTCTCCAGTTTGCGATATCATCCGACTTTGTAGCTGCTGAGGTTGCCAACAATGTGCTGATCCTCGCGCTTTCGACGGGCCGCATTCTGCGAATCGACCTTGACAGCCCCGCCGACATTGATGGTTCGTTCAAGCACCTGATAGAAGATCAAAGGGCATACTGATCGGGTACAGACATTGACCTACCCAAAAAGCCTGGCGAAATTGGGGTGATCCGACGACTATTCCTCGACCCCTCTGCGTCCCACCTCATTATCACGACCACGCTCGGCGAGAACTACTACCTCCATACCCAAGCACGGACACCGAAAACACTTTCGAGATTGAAAGGGGTTGTGATAGAAAGTGTAGCATGGAATCCTTCCCAACCGACTGCGTCAACAAGAGAGATACTGATTGGAGCATCGAACGGGAATATCTACGAAGTGTATATCGAGCCGTCTTCGGAGTTCTATAGACGGGAGGAGCGTTATCTGAAGGGAGTATATAAAGCTCCGGACGGGCCCATCACAGGCATCTGGGCAGATCTGATACCGGGGCGAGCGGACCTCCGACGAGTCGTGGTCGCAACACCTACGAAGCTGCTACATTTTGCGGGCAAGATTGGCCGACATGGAAACGAGGGCAGTGGGTCGATATTCTCGAAGCTGTTTGAGAGTGAATCGCCCAATGTCCACGATGTTTCAGGGCCACAGTCTTCCTCTCCATCGTGTCTGGCAGTCTCGCCGGAGCTCGAAGAAGCGCCATCATTAGACCCAGTAGGATCCGAAAAGGTATTTGCGTGGTTAATGTCACAAGGCGTTGTGCATGGCAAGCTTCTGACTTCGGCGGATACATCCGAGCTGGGCAGCAAGGTGTTCTCAGAGACGAGAATGTTCCCTAGATCGCAAATTCCCCCGTCCCAGACTGCTGGGGGTCGGCCGCGCAAGAGCCAGGATCCAGTAACATCCATGATTTTATCTCAGTGGCATGTTTTGCAGCTTGTCGAAGGCCGAGTTGTTGCTACCAACAGGTTGGACGACACAGTAGTGTTCGACCAAGCTATCCTAGAGGCTGGACAGACTGCACTTGGCTTGGTAGCTGACTTAAAAAAAAACACGTACTGGCTGTTCACTACCCAAGAGATATTCGAAATCGTGGTCACGGACGAGAACAGAGATGTTTGGAAGATCATGCTCAAGTCTCAACAATTTGAAGCTGCCTCTCAATTTGCCAAAACATCAGCACAAAAAGATGCAGTAGCCACTGCCTCTGGAGACTACCTCGTCGGCAAGGGACAATTTCTTGAAGCTGCGGCAGTTTACGGACGCAGCACGAAGCCCTTCGAGCAGGTAGCTCTCACATTCATTGACAACGGCGAGTCAGACGCTCTTCGAAAGTACCTCTTGACCAAGCTATCGACAATGAAGAAGTCAGCTGTAATGCAGCGGGTGATGCTGGCTACATGGCTTGTCGAACTCTTTATGGCGAAGCTGAACACACTAGACGATACAATCACGACGAAAGCGGAGCTCTCGGAAAGTATGAATGCCGCTGAGAGTCAAGACCAATTATCTACGACTCGGCGAGAATACCAGGACTTTGCATCTAAATACAAGGCCGACCTTGACCGGAAAACAGTCTACGAAGTTATCAGCAGCCACGGGCGAGAGGAAGAGCTTCTCTATTTCGCTACTGTTGTCAACGACTACAACTATGTTCTCGCGTACTGGATTCAACGAGAGCGATGGCAGGAATCCTTGAACGTATTAAAGAAGCAGACCGACCCTGAAATCTTCTACAAGTACAGTAGTGTTTTGATGGCAAATGTACCGTTGGACCTCGTAGAAATCATGATGAGGCAGAGCAATTTGGATGCTCGCAAACTAATACCTGCGCTTCTTAATTACAACAAGATAACAAATGTCCCTCTCGCACAGGTTCGTCTGTTCGTCATATCGTGATTTCAACCTGCTGACTTGGCTACTCAGAATCAAGCTGTGCGTTACCTGTACTTTGAAATCAATCAGCACCAATCCACGGATGCTGCTGTCCACAACACCTTAATATCCATTTACGCATCTCATCCCACTACCGACGAGTCCGCCTTGCTTTCCTACCTTGAGTCTCAATCGTATGCAAACGAGCAGGACTATGACGCGGATTTTGCACTCCGTCTTTGTATTCAACACAAGCGAGTACAGAGCTGCGTCCACATCTACAGCTCCATGCAACAATACGTTCAAGCAGTCGACCTAGCCCTCAAGTACGATGAAGTCGAACTTGCAAGCAATGTCGCCGACCGCTCCGACACAGACCCGGCCCTTCGGAAAAAGCTGTGGCTTGCAGTCGCGAAGAAGGTCATCTCCCAAAGCTCGGGGATCAAGACCGCCATCGACTTCTTGAAGCGATGCGATTTACTCAGGATCGAGGACTTGATCCCATTCTTCCCTGATTTCGTCGTCATTGACGACTTCAAAGAGGAGATATGTGCTGCTTTGGAAGAGTATTCGCGACAGATTGACGAATTGCGGAAGGAGATGGATGAGAGCGAGGAGACGGCTGCGCATATCAAAACGGATATCAAGGCCTTGGAGCAGCGATACGCGATTGTGGAACCGGGGGAGAGGTGTTACGTCTGCTCACTACCACTCTTGGCTCGCCAGTTCTTTGTGTTCCCGTGCCAGCATGCTTTCCACAGTGACTGCCTTGCTAAGAAGGTGGTCGAGCTTGCGGGATTCACGAAAGGAAGGAGGATTACAGAGCTACAGGTGGAAGTCAGCAAGGGCGTCAGCGTTGGCTCGAAACGAGAGAAGGCTATCAGGGAGCTGGATGCTTTGGTTGGGTCGGCTTGGTACGTGTCCCGCTATTCTTCCTCTTGGAACCCTCGACTAACTTTGATATGTTACAGTGTGCTATGTAGTGAGATGGCAGTCAAGCTCATAGATGAGCCGTTCGTTGCGTCCAATGATAACAAGGAGGAGTGGGCCTTGTAGGCTCTTTCTCAGTAGCGGCCTGTATATAGGAAACCCTTTTCAACGAACGAGAGTGGAGTAGATATGGTGTGGCATAGGGCTAGATGAGGAAGAAGTTTAATACAAGAAAGAGTAATTATCATTGATGCACAATTAGTGATTAATGTGGGATAGAAGCGTAGCTATGTCTAATACGAGATCTAATGAACAACGATGTGCACACTGAAATGTCACGTTGCTAAAGACATCTTGGACACTATCTACAGTCCTACGGTTCACAGTGGACCCCTGCACCCTGGTATGTGGGTAGAATGGGAATAGTTGAGAACGCTGTAGTCTCAGGTAGAGAATTGAAATAGGAATTTGAGTTTCTTGAATTCTTCACGAAGAAGTAGTCTTTTTGAGTAAAGTAGAGTTTGGGTGTAATTCTCTAGCTACGGCTGGGACATTATATCGTACAAACAGCTTTTACCTCATCTGTAAACAGACCCAGAAGTTAACGCCGAAGCAGATAATGCTCTCCCTCTCACAAGAAGTACTTACGTCGACCGTTGTGGCCGCCTATAAATCGCGATGAGGCGCACGAAGAGGCCCTGAGGCGCATGCAGGAGCTTGGATCAACTTCGTCATGTGAAAAGGCCCTCGAAGCTAACCAACCCGCTAACACCATCCAACGACAACGAGATTGTGTGTATCTCGAGACACCACAGGAGGATCAAGAGATGCCGTACCGTCCGCGCTCTATATAAAAACACTGTCGCACATGCCGCCGTCACGAAGCCCTCCATACCCTCCCCGCCGCAACAGAAGCTCCTCTACCGCATCGCCAACCGGGGAGACCTCCGGCCGCCCAGAAATCCCGTCGCGGGAACTGTACATTAGCAGATACATAAGAGGTGGAAAAGACGCGAGTAGGATATGATCATACCCACATCTAGCAGCAGCTATGCAGCAGTCAGCGGTACCACGACCTTCGGAGCCTTTAGCCACCATGTCTCCGCAACTATATCAGCGTCTCATACCTTCTCAGCGCCATCCCCATCTTCGACAAGCATTATACCGGGTATCGGCCGCGAGAACTGGTCGAGCTTGATAGGAATCATGACGGCGATTGTCGGCAATATCCTCATTTCGTTCGCGCTTAACCTGCAGCGTTATGCGCATATACGGCTGGATCGGGAACTGGAAGAGAGGGAGCGTGACAGGAAACAAGCGCGGAGAGCTGGGGCCGCGGAGGCGGCACAGAAAAGGAGGGTGGGTTTCGAGAGGACGGAGGAGGTACGAGACCCGCACATCATACGAAATGGGCAGCAAGCAGATGGAGTCGCAGAAACGGAACCTCTCCTTGCACGGCCGCGAGCAGCTGGACGCAATTCGAGTGAGACGGCATTTTCTCGAGACGGCGAGCCCGCGCTGAAGGAAAGCTATTTGCGTTCGCCGTACTGGTGGACCGGCATCATCATGATGACGATCGGTGAGGCTGGCAATTTTCTGGCATACGGATTTGCTCCTGCATCGATTGTATCTCCGCTCGGTGTCGTGGCGTTGATTGTGAACTGCATCATCGCCCCCTTCATGCTAAAAGAGCATTTCCGAAAACGGGACGCATTTGGCGTAGTCGTGGCAGTTGCTGGAGCTGTAGTCGTAGTGCTAAGCGCTAGCGACAATAACCCGAAGCTGGGACCCGACGAAATTTGGGATTTAATCAAGAGATGGGAATTTGAGGCTTACTTGGCCATCACAGCGGTCGTGATTCTGGTGTTGATGGCAGCAAGCAAAGAGTACGGGGCCAGGAGTATCCTGATTGATTTAGGGCTAGTGGGGCTGTTTGGTATGTTCAATTCTATGTTTGCAAAACCAAGCGCGTCTGCTATGCATGGTCTATCAAGCAAAGGGGCAGAGCTAATTGTGCATATAGGAGGCTACACAGCTCTTTCGACAAAAGGCGTCGCCTCACTTCTTTCCTATACCCTCTGGCGCGCTCTCACGTTCCCCGTTTTCTACCTTCTAGTTGCTGTCTTAATCTTTACCGCCATCATGCAGATCAAGTATGTCAACCGGGCTTTGCAACGCTTCGACTCTACCCAAGTCATTCCAACACAATTCGTCCTCTTCACCTTATCCGTCATTCTCGGCTCAGCAATCTTGTACCGCGACTTTGAGAGGACCGCGGGTGATGATGCAGGGAAATTTGTCGGAGGATGCTTGTTGACCTTCTTTGGCGTATGGCTCATTACCAGCGGCCGACCTAGGTACTCCGACGACGACGAGGAGGACCGCGAGCCAGAACCTGAAGACGCTATCAACCTCCTGAACGGTGAGCATTACCACGACTCTGTGGATGTCGAAGTCGGTAGCAGCACCCGCCGTTCCTCCACTATCCGAGCGTCATCCCCACCCATCAGGATCCCCGATCGGGCTCATAGCCCTTCGCCACCACAAACACCAATCATTACGTTCACACCACACGATGGCACTACACCCACGCTACCATCATCTATCCCTGACGCACCTTCTCCGCTTATCGAGAACCCATGGGAAGCAGCCCTGGCGGCCTCGCCCTCGCCGGTCCCATCTGTCCGTTCCGTTCCAAGCCCCCTTATCACCACATATTCCACCCCCGTACTTCCGTCCGAGCACCAAATTTCCTCTCTCTCTCCATCTCGTCCTCAAACGCCGCGTGTCCCTTCAGAAAGCGCACTTCTACCCGGAGTCTCTCCGGCGACACCAGCTACTGCTGGCCCACGACTACGGCGAGCGGGTACAATAGAGCGACTTGCCTCGCGCAACTCGATCGCCGGACCGCTACTCGCTAGTCCGCTGAGCTCGAGTCTCAGCGCGGTGGTGGCAGAGCTTAGGCGTGGGAGCTTGAGGGGATCTCGGGAAAGTGGAGAGTCGAGCGCCGCTGGCCGGCGGCGAGGGAGTCAGGTGTTTGACGCAGAGGGCAATGGGGATGGAGGGGCATTGGAGAGAGCGCGGACTTCTGGGGAACCTGAGACACGGACTGGAAGTAGAGCCGGTCGAGGGCGGAGTTTCAGCGGGACCCTGAACGAGTTATTGAGGGGTTTCCGAGGGAGTAAGAATAACAGTACAGATAGCGTAGATGCTGAGGAGCGGGAGGAAGGGGAGAGGTAATAGTAGAAGGATGGAGGATGGAGTTATTTATAGTCTATGTCTCCAGCGTTTGTTGACTATGATACCGCGCGCTTTTGGGTTGCATAGTTTGGCGTCCCTCGCTTTTGATATCAAATATATTACATATTTGTTGGGGCTAGCTTGCCTCCTTTTGGGCCTGGTAGCCCGGTATAGGAGCATGGACTCATCTGTTTTGAAAACTTCATGCTTATGTGCAAGAAGCAGAAGTCTGTTGGTTGATACTTGATATTGGACAGTTCGGCTTATTGTGCATGCTTCCCTATCATAAATTTCCTGGCCTGGACTATTAGAAACTCCCACAACGAGCCTTCAAGCAAGTTCAGTCTATTGTTGCGAGAGTCCATGAGAGTATGCAATACTTCAATGCAATGCTGCTACCTAGGGGTGCTCAAATATCACGGTGATTTCTGAGGAGGTTCAGTCACGTGACTAGATTCTGATAGTGGCTTCGTTTTTGATTGGTCAGATCTGATCACGTGACTGAATCTCCTCAGAAATCACCGTGGTATGTACGTGGCTTTTAAGTTGGAGACATTCCGGCTCTTGATGCTCCTCGCGGCTCACGTTACTTCCACTACTTGTGGCACCGGTGGTGTAGGCATATACGCCACGACGCGGGGATGTTGTTGGTGTTTTGAGTCAGCCAAGACGTGCATCCTTTCCCTCAATGTTCGTGTTCGGAGAATACCGCCTCCTCCCCCTGAGCCTGTCCCATGCCCGTTCCCAAGCCTTGCGCTCCGTCGGTCGGATTCTCGCACCCATCTGTCCTAGGGCTGGGGCTGAGACCGCGAGGCCTCTAAGCCCCACGATCATCCGTCTATCACTGGTGATTCCATAAACAAGACGCTTGCGCCGCATGGGGGCCAAGTCGCCGTGTGAAACAGTGCCAGCAGCGTGCCCGCTACGCCATCCTGCGTTTCCATCCGCATAGCGCGAGCGGACGCGGCAGCACTGTGCTTATTCTTATATTTCCCCCTTGAAGCTCCGAGTCCTTTCTGTCCCTTCTCGCGTCGTCCACTTGAGATCCCGCCGTCAACATCAAACCCAGCGGCTACGCTGCGCCACCATGGTCGACTACCGGCACCTCGAGGACCCGCAAAGCCCACCACCAAGCTACCACGCGCGATGGGACGAACTTCCCGCCGAGGATGTCAAGAACGAAGACTCCAAAGAGCCCGAAGCCAATGTCTGGGTGCAGCGGTTCCAATTGGTGCGCCAACGGACCATGCCAATGGTTGAAAAGGTCCATCCGTACTTGAAGAAGGATTTCCTCCCCACTGTTAAGAAGATGCGGCTCTCGAAAAAGCAGTGTTGCGCCTTCTTCCTGCTTGCTGTCTTCGCCGTCTTGCCATGCGTGCTCATGTTCAGTCTCGATACTGGAAGTGACCCATCCTCACCTAGTGGACCATTTGGCGCCAAGACACTGCTGTGCGGACAGCTGATCTACGGCTACGACGACTACAAGAACAACTCGACCGTAAAGGGCATTCAGGGTCTCTTCATTGTCGATGCAGCCTACGGAAACATGTCTTTCTCGCTCGTCAAGTTCATCGACATCCTGTGGGACCTTTTTGTTGGCCGAGGCGTGCAGTTCCTTGCGTGGTATGTCAGCTACGTTGTCTTCACCGACGCTCTACTCCGGGTGATTGAGCGGCATCCCGCTCCATTCCGAACCTTTACCCACCTCACTTTGGAGGGTGCCAGTCTTTCGTCAATGGGAGCTCTCGTCCGCGACATGAAGCGGTATCCAAGCCGGAGAACTAAGTGGCTCTTCGTGTACATAATCCTGTCTACTGGCTACGTGCTGTCCCTACCGACAATCCTGGGTGCCATGACGGGCTACGTCAGTACGTCGAAGGCTTTCGTCACCATGCAGGACGACGATTCGAGCCAAATGGTCCCACTGGCCGACTTTACCTACGGATTCCAGGTGTTTGATGCGTATAAACTTGGTCAACCGAATGGCTCTTGTATGGCACAGAGCATCTTCAATACCTACGATAACCTGGTCAATGCGCAGCTCGCGGACTGTATGGGTTCTCTTCCCTTCGATCTGAGAGCTCTACTAACGCTTTGTGAACAGGCGATTGCAAGTTACCCAATGGAACAATCGTTCCGGCTGAGACCAATTATTATGGCTACGATACGGGAAATGGCTACTCTTATGGAACACAGTGTACGAGAAGTCCGCCTCAACCCAAATTTGATATACTCATTAACGTAGTGGCTCAGGCACCTTCAACTACACGAACAACACTCAGGAGTTCACATATCCTCACTATGATCGCTCCTACTACTACGACCCGACCTACGGATACAACAACAACGGCCAGAACTACAGCTGTAAGACTTTCTCCCCTCCGCCATATCATCCGCCTCTCTAATCCTAACAAATAGGTAACTACCTTTATAATATCACCCTCAACGGCCATAACTACAAATTCGATCACCTGGACCTAGCTAGCGCAACCTGCTATAACGGCACCGCCTACGACGACGAATATCTCTCGAAAAACGCCCAGTGCATGCCAGACACGACGGTGAACACGTACCAATGGGGCTTCAGCACCATGCTCTCCGCCGTCTTCGTCATCGTGCAACTCATCTGGGCCTCCTCCATGTACGCCGTGTGGCAGGACGCGCAGTGGAACAGCGCGCTAGTGCGCGCCGGGTACAAGATGACGCAGCTGCGGGCCGTCTTCTCGCTCAGCGAGGCGGCGCAGCAGCGCACGGGTATGGAGAATGAGGAGCTCATGCGCATGGAGTCGAAGCGGCTGGAAGAAAATTTGTATGGGAGGAAGACGTTGGTGGATTATGGCATGTGGGAGCGGAAGAAGCTGCCGTTTATGAGAGAGGATGAGGCGTCGAGTTCGAGGTCGTGATAAGAGCGGAGATGAAACGGATGAGAAAAACATACGAGGTGTCTGATACACCGAGGGAGGGCGCGCGATTCCCTCGACTGGATTAGAGCCGCACTGGATAGACGCGAAGAGAAGCCGCCGCTACCGTGTACGAGGATTGCACGAAAAGACACCTAACCACGCGGAAGAGGATGTGGATGGCATGGAAGAGCTCCGAAGCCACGACACCAGTATGCGCAAGCGGTGCTCAGAACGACGTTAGACGGATACACTGGGCGGAACTAGACAGGAAGACACGGAGAGAAATATTAGTAGTCCATCAATACGAATCGCAGATTCTATCAATCGATATTTACATCGTATTTGGACTTCTTAGAGCCCCTGGAGGTATCCCAAGCAGTGCCAGCAATACTGCCCAAAGCTGTACCAACGATCTCAGCCTCATCTCCCCCCTTCGTTTAATCAAATTACTTTACCCGACTTTCTGCTTCCTACCTGCTCGTCGGCCCCCTTGTCCCCTTCAGCCTCCAGCCCGAATCCTTTCTCGCTTGGCGTAGCAAATTCCCCGAGCAACGAAATTCCCTGCGCCATGATGAACGCGAAGCTATCCGTTCTAGGCTTTTGACCCGCAAGTCCTGTCCTTGGCCGCGGAGTCGCTGGCGTTATTGCGTCGTCATTTCCCAAAGTGGTGTGGCGAAGGGCTGTCGGTGATATGAAGAGCATGCCCTCATTACTAAGGGACACGTACTTGAACTCGGTGGGTGAGGTGATAGGTTCTATATTCACGGGGCGCCAGGTTCGAAGGTATTGGAGGTCTAGTTGGCGTTAGCTTTCATTGGACGAATTCATTTGGTAATGGAATGTGAAGATAGGGTAGGACTATCAGAAGTGGATGTGAAAAGTAAACTTGGGAAATAAAAAGTTAACGCAGGAATAGTAGTTGCATACCATGCAAGAGTTTTGCTCCATCCGGTTCAGTGTTAGAAATTCTGTCCTCCCACGTCTCCTTCCGCTTCGTGGCCCAGACCGTCTTCCTGCCGTTCAGTTCAAAACAGATGCGGAGGATACCCCCTACCTGGATGTCTTTCAGGAGATGGACTAGGCCGAGGACTTCTCGCAATACCATAGCTCTTGAACTCCGCTTCACCAAGATGATCTCGAGTAGCTTCAATGCTCTTCTCTCGCCGCCCTCGTTGCTCTTCGTACCCCTCGTGCTTTTTGATCGCCTTAAACGCCCTAGACGGCTGCTAGATGTGCTGGGAGCCGTCGATTCCCGCTCTGGTGCAAGTACCATTCTAACGATAGACCTTAAGCACTTTTGAATGATCAGTGAATCTTCCACCTCCTCTTTGAGAGACTTCATCCTGTATCCGCCACCTCCATGTCCATCGCTCCCATCCATCCAATTTTGCTCCTCGCGGCCTCTTCGGACGGCCGCTTCGGTACTAGGCACCGGCAACCGTAGGATGAGCCGGGAGACTCGGCGGAGAGATAATTGGACCATGGCTGGAGTTTCAGTGATCCAAAACTTGTGCAGCCTTTTGATTTGAAGGTCTGTGTAGGACGCAGATGAGTCGTAAATAGCGGCTAGATCTACGATGAAGATGTTCTTCGAGAAGAAGACATCGAGAGCTCGGTTTCTGATGCTGTGCGAGACGAGGAAGAGCGGGCAATCTAGGGACTGCCGGAGCGTAGTATGGGCGTTACGACCGGGTATTTGCATGATATCGTGGAGCTCGTGGCCGATTGGTATTATCAAAGGGACGGTAAGCGCATAGCTGAGAATCTGATTAAGAATAGCAGATGACAGAGATAGAAGAGAGGACGAGGGGCGGTTCTCAGGCCATGGATTGAGGGAACGGGGTGTGCTCGATGTTGTGCATGTCGTGAGATCTGGGACGGAAGACACATTTGACTTTGTGGTATTCGAAATGCTTTTGCACGAGTGACTGGAGATTGGCGTGTTGCTGTGCTCATGATGGAAGTATTGCCAGGGCCATTTTAGAATGTAATGCCTTGCTATTGGATGTGCGTCTTCTCTTGTAGTGTCCTCGGTGCGTCTCTCGAGAAGGGAATGCGCATCACATGTACAGTCTTTGGCCGTACATTCTGTTCCACAGCTACCGTATCCTTGAAAAACAGATCGGTACGGCGTATGAAGATTTCCTTGTTTGGTACCATGATCAAATGAACTAAAGTCGAAGTCGAAGTGTGAAGTCGGGAGATCAACCGTTGATTGTGGGATGAGGCGAGTAGCTTCGGCCATGGAATGCTAGATTCGATATGGTCGGCTGAGTCCCGTAGGTAGTATGGGATGAGAATTAATAGCATCAAAGGACTGAATGCAACGTAAGAGCTAGTTTGGCGATACTCAAAGCGTAAGAAGCCAAAGAAAAATGTGGGGAGGACGTTGATTGATGGCAGATCAAAGATTTACTACTCGGCCCGGTTTGCTAGAAAGCTTCGGCAGTAAGACGACTCGTATGCTCTACGTTGTGTAACAAGAGACCAGCACCGTTCTAATCCAACCTATAAGAAGCTCACCATCTTGTGAACAACACCCCGTAAAAGATAGTGCATAGCTCGTTTAAAAGATCCCAGCCTCAGCATAAAGTCGCATAGGACTCCCAGCTGTCAGTTGAATCAAGCGGCTAGTCAAAGATGCTCGATACAAGGGCTGTCCCTAGATTAAGTTCGCATAAGTAAGTTCTAACGCATTGCTTGGCCTTCAGGTGTGCCTCAGAAGAGGACCTGGCGGCCGAAGCATGTCACGACCTCATGGTTCAGGCCACAGAGGTCACTTCGTTCATACGGAAATTGCGAAATCAGGGTCGAAATCAGGGAGCGGTTGCGTATTCTTGGACACGTGAAACAGTAGAGAGATTGAGATGGATCACCTCCTGGAAAGATGGCCAACAGAAGATGAGAACGTGGCGCAAGAGTCGCCGGTACGATAGAAGCTTCTGGGATATGAGCGGCCACAAACCTTGGAACAAGATGCATGAATTCGCTGTTCTTCCTCTCCTTCAACAATAAAACAAGGGGCAATAAGGCACAGACAACGCGAGGCTTGCATCAGGCACGAGTCGTTTCATTGTACTTCTTACCCCTAGGGTCAGCTTAGGCGATGAGCTTGAATCTAAGAGATACCAAAGTGGAGATCGAGGTACTCTACCAACGAGATGTTTGAGCAGCCAGAGCGAAGTCCGAAGTTGATGAGGATGGAAGTGAACGGACTTCGATCGAAAGAAGTGGGCGTGGGGCAGAAAGACAAGTGGCATCTAATTTGTATACAGTAATGCCACTTTTCTTGCTTATGCCATCAACTTCTAACTTTCAGCTTTCCAACATAGACATAGAGGAAGTTCAATTCTACAGAGCGACAATAGACTGCGTATCTTGCGTATTAGCCTAGGTATTTACTGGCTTTCCCTTTTTCGAAGCTATCTACATCTGTACATTTAGTATGAACGGTGGGTATTAAAGCGGTATCGCACAGCACGCCTCCCTTTGTAAAAAGCCTTCAACTTATGTGCACGTTCAAGTATATAGAAACGCTCTTCCTTCCATACTAGAGTTAAGTATGCCCATTTTCGAATCAGTAAACAATCTCGATCTAATCCAAAGGAAGGTCGATGTCGCAACTCTCAAGGTAGTTTGCCTGAAGCATAATTATTTCTTGGACTGCTGGCCAAGGTAGCCGAAACTATACTCTGGGATACTCAGGATGACCACAACAGTTCCCCTGGCCTCCTATCTCTTCACTCGACTCCGCCAGCTCGGCATAGGCGCAGTGCATGGCGAACCCGGCGACTACACCCTCCGCGCTCTCGACTTCATCCGCCCCGCAGGCCTCCGCTGGATAGGGAACTGCAACGAGCTTAATGCCGGCTACGCCGCTGATGGCTATGCAAGAGTAAAGGGCATGTCGGCATTTTGCACGACGTACGGCGTTGGCGAGCTGTCAGCCATCAACGCTGTCGCTGGCTCTTATGCTGAGTACTCGCCTGTGGTGCATATTGTCGGTTGTCCCGCGAGGATGGTGTATGGCTCCAATAGGTTGGTACACCATGCTCTCGAGACTGGGAATATGAGAGTGTATGCGGATATGTATGCAAGGGTGACGGCAGCGCAGGCGAACCTCACTGATGCTAGGACTGCTCCTGGCCTGATTGATCGCGTGTTGGAGGAGTGTCGGATTCAAAGTCGACCTGTGTATATTGAGCTACCTTCGGATATGGTAGAGGCACAAGTTGACGAGTCTAGATTGAGTGCACCGCTCCACATCGAACCACCTACGAACGCTCGAGATCTCGAGGATGCAGTAGTAAACGAAACGCTTGAACGGATATACTCGTCTAAGCGTCCGTACATTCTTGTCGACGGCCTCGTTCGCCCGGATGGCATTGTCGATGAAGTCAACGAGCTTGCTCGCGTGACAGGCTTCCCTACCCTGGCTATCACCTTTGGGGGAGGTATCATCAACGGAAGCTCGGAGAACTACCATGGTGTCCACGCTGGAAAATTCGGAAGTATAGATCACACCCCCTATACCGACTCCGCAGACCTCGCCCTCCTATTCGGACCACTTCTCAGCGACACCAACACCCAAGGCTGGTCCGTCGTCCCAAAAGAAGACATAACCATCTCCTTCCGCCGCAACTCCATCGACATCGGTTCCGCCTCACACGAACTCCGAATCAAGAGCTTCATGCGATCTCTCCTCTCCAAACTCGATCCATCTAAAATTTCCGCCGGGGCGCCAAACCCACCTCTTAGTTCACCCCGAGACCTCCTCAAGAGCCTCCCACCCCCAGACCCCTCTGCCCCCGTAGACCAAGACACCTTCTACCTCCGACTCTCGCCTTTCTTCCGCCCCTACGACATCATCATCTGCGCAAACGGCACCCCCCTCGTCGGCGGCCGCGACTTCATCCTCCCACCCGGCGCAAGACTCGTCAACTCTGGCGTCTGGCTGTCAGTCGGCCACATGCTACCAGCAGCCCAAGGAATCGCCGTCGCGCAGCGCGAGGCTCTCGAAGCCGGGCAACAGCCTGGCAGGACGATCTTATTCGAGGGCGACGGGAGTTTCCAAGCCACCGCGCAAGAGCTCAGCACGATCATACGCTATCGACTCGACGTGACGATCTTCATTGTGAATAATGATGGGTATACCTTTGAGCGGCTGATTCATGGGTTGGAGGAGGAGTATAATGATGTCGCGCCGTGGCGGTATCCAGAGGCGCCGAGGTTCTTTGGGGCGCCGGAGGATGGGTCCTATGCGGTTGAGACGCATGATGCGAGGAATTGGGGGGAGTTGCTGAAGGTGCTGGAGAGTGAGAGTTTTGGGGATGGGAAGGGGCTGAAGATGGTTAATGTGTGGATGAGGAGGGAGGATGTGACGAGAAATTTTAAGGCGGCGTTGGTGTTGGCGGGGAAGCAGTTGCTCGCGGGTTCGGAGTGAGAGAACATCCTGTACGGATAGAAACAATCTTTGGGACTTCGGTCAAGGGTTCTTCATTTTGGAAATATGATTCGTCTACGCCTGCCATCGAGGGCAAGCTGTATTGAATGCTCCCACGGCCTTGCTACCCAGATTCTGTGGTCGTCTCAAATGCATCCTCTTTGCGCGGAAATATATTACGACCTGGACCGCAAGAACAGTCATCAGTGCTCCAACGAAGATCGTATAATGGCTCCTATAGTTGACATCTCGAGTACACGCAGCGAGGGAAAAAAGCCTTCTGAAGGCGTTGGCGGCTCCGTAGCCGAATTCGATTCAGCGGAGATATCGCAAGTACTGTGAATTCGTGAAAATCTGACTCGAACGTATAATTGTTGAACAATTTTACTTACTGCTCTCCAGGCTCCCGCCACGTTGTTCGCCCACACGTTTAGGTGTAGGGTTCGTAATACGATAGAAATGTGTGGTCATCACAGCGTGGCGGGGTTCCATAACATCTAGATAAAATTGACGCATTGGAATCAAAAAACATGCTAGGAACAATGGTTTCGTACCCTATTATGGAACCCCAGGCGAAGCATGGGCAGTCGACGTTTTCCGCTTTGCAAGACTGTAGCATTGCTTGATGAGAGGCAATGCAGGAGTCATATGTTCTACTGGGCGTTAACGGTATGCTTGGGAATAGAAGAGCGTGTACCAGTACTCACCTGCTTCTAATCTCTATCATCTCTAGTGATAGCGAAATTCTTGCTAGAAAGAGTACGAGTATCCACCTGAGCTGAGTCATCCTTCAATATGCGAAAATGTGACTTGAAATATGAGTCAAGCTCCGACTGTTGATGTTGCTAATTCGGAGATAGTGCGCTGAGGCAAGCTATTGGCGTCCTTGGTTGCGAAGAGATACGGAGGTATAAAGTTAATACGTCATGAAACGAAGAGAAGGTCCTGAAACAGCTACGAATGCACGTCTACGGCTACCAGGGACACACACACACAGAACTGAGCGCGAGAAGAGTTGAGAGTTCTATTAGTGAATTTTAGATGGGATACGAAGTGAAGAGTAATAGGGGGTGAAGAAATTAGAACAATTCTCTAGGATGCGAGTGGCGTTAAGGGGTTGGCAAAAGAGGACTACTGATAAGCCTAAGTGAACTGAGCGGTTGGTTACACATCATAATATCTTTCAAGCTTTTGGAGCAAGCATATTTTCTAAGTCGGGCTTGTACGTATTTGCGGCGAGTAAACTACCTACATAGGTAAGGCGTTCGTGGCTTTTTTGAGGCCATGGCTCGACGAGGTGCGGGGCCTCATCAAGTGGTGCAAGGATGCCAGCTTGGAGGCATTTCATGCGCTAGAAGCTTTCACATATGCGATAATGGCGTTTACGACCTGCAGACCTTGCACATAATCGTCTTGAGCTATAAAGAGAATAGCTGTTCACCTCATCAAATCTTTTTACAAGATTTTGTCGCTGGTGAGCTCTGAATGCCCCCAAATGATACTAATTAGGCTTTGAGGACAGGGTGAATTTACTAGGGATAGGTTTTGCTCGGTCACCGAAGAGCTGCAAGTCTGTCCGCTTCAGCTCAGCGTACAGAGTTCACGAATGCGCCAGAATTCTCAAAGCTTAGGGCTCTTTTCCGAAATAGAATCCCGGGCACTCGTTTTGCCATTATAGATCCTAGACCGCGACATGTTGAAGAGAAGTCGGAGGCTGAAGTATGTGGTGTCGGTTAAGGAGAGAGAATGGCTCGCTAAGCGCGCTAAGCCATGAAGGGTCGTGGACTAGACGACCTAGGCTAAGGCAACAAGGCATGGAGAATGTGCCAGCAGGGACTAGAGCGTCATTAGGTCATCCACGTGAAAGCTTAACGTTATCAAACAGGCGGCTTTGTAAGGCGCCACAGCGCCTTCTCGAAGGCGCTAGCAAAATCGACGTTGAAATTTCGCTGGTTGATCAATGGTGCCGTCGCTTCCGTGGCTTGATCGATGCAGCTTCTGGTGACCAGCTGGACACTACTTTGGTTCTGCTAGATAGCGAGCCTGTCGATGCGATCGGCGAGAGTGCCGCAGACGTGATCTATGGATAGGCATAAAAAGGATCGTTGCGCCCTCGTTGTGATATTTGTTGTTTGTTACCTAAAGACGCAGAAAAGGCGCCCTGCAATCCATCTCAGCCTTATCGGCAATTCGGCCTTTGGACGCCCAGTCTCCTCCGTGGCCAAGCCGCTAGAAACATTCGCTCCCCGCCCTGGCCGCCCTGGCCGCCCTGGCATGTGCGGTGCCGAGAGACGGTGTCGTGACTCTCGAAGCCTCCTGTCATTGTCGATTGTCATTAACGAAACAGTGAGGGGGCCAAGCAGGACATCGTTGCACTTTCACAGTATTTTTCCGCCCGGCGAGTCACTGAGACAGTCACAGGGGGGATCTTCCATTCATGGCTGATTCCGCGTCTCCCACGCACAGTTCAACAACCTCAACGCCGTCGGGAAAGGTCCACACCGGCCGACAGCGGACCATCGCATCGTGCTTAACTTGTCGAAGACGCAAGGTTCGCTGCGACCATGGCCATCCCATATGCGGAGCTTGCCAGCGTGGCAATCATATATGCACATATGCCACCGAGCAAGCTGCTCTCCATCACCAGCCCTCCACGGGAGTGGGAAAAGTATCTAAGCTCTCACCGCCAGCATCATCCAAGCTCGCGCGGAATTCCGATGTTCAGGCCCGACTAGATAGACTAGAGGCTCTCCTGGAGAAGGCTGTCACTGGGGGCCAGAATGGCCAGAAAGTCCCATATAGATCTGACGCCGAGTCTCCTCATGACCGGCACCTAGATCGCGAGCCTCCCGGCCTTACGCCTTCCTCCAATAGCGGGAGCACTCATGGCGCCGGTATCTCGTCCGATGGCCATGATGGCACTTTGCTCCTCGAGGACGGGCAATCTCAGTTCGTCTCCTCTCTGCATTGGGCTCTTTTAGCGGATGAGGTGAGTTACGGCTTTGCCCTTTGAAGCCATCTCTTAGTTTTGTCAAATTCAGTCACACTTTGGGTCAGATATGAGCAAAAAAGTGCCCCACGTCTTATTTCCTGACGGCACAGAGTTCTGTGTTTCTGAAGAGTACATCCCCACTGACGTTTACTAGATACAAGACATCAAAGCCCTTCTTGGAGATGGATCTGAGCAAGAGACGGCGAATAAGCACCGCCGTCCTACCCAGACATCCTTAGGGACGCTGTTTGCCTTAGGAAGCGGCACCCACGGAATCGATCTGACCAACTTCCTACCAGATACGCCGGAGCACTGCGAGTCTCTTCTCGACACCTTCTTCTCCAATGTTGACCCAATGACGAGGATTATCCATAAACCGACTTTGTTGCGTCAGTTCAATCATCACGTCCGTGATTCCACCCCGCTTGCGTTTGCAATTTTCTTCTCCGCTACCAACAGCATGACTTCAGCAGCCGTTAAAGAAAAGTTTGGTGTTAAGAGGGATATTTTAATGGAGCGCTTTGAACAAGGCCTCGAAGTGGCTCTCGCACGGGATAATTTCTTGACTAGTGCTAGCCTGGAAGTGCTACAAGGCTTTGTTTTATGGCTTGTAAGTGCCCCTAATGTCAATTTGGTGTAATATATGCTTACAATTCAGACTTGCATCACCAAAGAAGACGACATGAGTAAAGCGTGGACGTTGCTGGGGCTTGCGATTAGAATTGGGCTAAACCAAGGTCTGCACAGGGATCCATCACTATTCCCTGCTGGTTCCATGGACACTGTCACTATAGAGGTCCGCCGACGCCTTTGGCATCAGATATGCCACCTTGAATTTCGTGCCGCAGAGTGTAAGGGGCAGGAGCCTACAGTTTCCGATGACGACTTCACTACCATGATGCCCCGAAATGTGAATGACGAGGACTTGGAAGAAGGCTGCAGCCCAGGCTCGGCCCCTTACGATAGAAGCTCATTCACCGACATGGCTTTTCAGCTTGTTCGTTTCACTGGCATGCGCTGCATGAGAAGAATTATTCAGAGTACGTATCGACTAGAACGCAGGATTCTGTGGTCCGGACTTCGAGGACACTCTGCCCCTGATCCAGTGCTAGAGCTTCAGATCCTATACAAAGAAATCAAGACGTTGGTGGATGAGATGGTTGAAGAGAATCGCACCAAATACCTGCAGTATTGCGATATCAACGTTCCAATGCAACGGCTTTGCTTGGGCCTTGCATCTCTAATTGAGTGGAGACCCTGGGTATTGTTTTGGCTGAGGATACCTAGAGCCTATCGAGACTCTGTTTTCTCTATAGACATTCGGAGAACGTAAGTTCGACCCCTTTCACACTGCTGTCATTAGCTGACTGAGAACTGACTAGGATATTCTTCAAATCTGTGAATCTCATCGAGACGATCAACGGCGCAACGGCAGACGCTGAAGCGGAGCGATTTCATTGGCACATTGGCGGCCATGCATCCTTCCAAGCAATCATGCATGTTCTCTCAGAACTGCGCAACCCGGAGTTTGAGACTCCAGATCGACTGCGAGCTTTGAGGGCCCTCCAAGTCACAAGGACTCTCAAGGAGGGGCTTACCAGTAAACCCTGGCTAGTGGTGAAGTCCATGATTGACAGGGTGATTTCAGACCATTTAGCCACTCAACTGAGTCGACCACACACGGCAGCTACTTCCTCCACTTCGTATCCAAGCAGCGAACCCATGGATTTGTCAAAGCAACTAGCTGAAGTAAACATGGGAGCAGGGCCGCCTTTCTATGTCGACGAAAACCCATCTTACACCCTTCCCGAGCCCACTAGGGCTCCTGGACAGTATGTCCAGGTGGATTTTCCCCAAATGAACCTGAACAACATGGTTGGATTGGACTTACAACAAGACGTCTCAATGGATTTCGATTGGGTAGGTCAATGTAACTTCATGGCTGCAACGTATTCCGCTGACAATGCCGTAGGGATTCTGGGGGGATCCGGTGGATCTTGCGACCGTCGACTACTCCTCATGATGCCTTTCTGGTAGTATGCATTTTATGTATACTCTGACCCTATCTGAAAGAGCAAGATATCGTATAGAGCTTGACAGAGCTGGGTCAGGAAATCGTCTTTGAGTAGAGCCAGCAAAATGCGACTTACTGCCAAGGGGTCTCCAAGGCTTTGCTGCAATCCCTTGTTCGTCCCTGTTTCCGACATGCAAGAAGTTTCAAATCAGCTTCGGGAATGCAGAAAACACAGATGAGAATGACGATTGTTGCGAGCCAGGATTTGGCAAAAAGCTATCAATGGGGGTCTTCGCCAACAGTTCCGAAGGCCTTCTGCCTCGGCCGAGAACCGATTCGCACGACAAGAGGCCACAGTTACATAAGGAAAGGTTTTCACCTTGCGAACCATCCCTAAACTGTGTTTCGGCGTCATTTTCGTAAACTAGAGAGCCCGTGATTGGTTGCTATATGCCCGGCTCAAAAAGTGGAGCTGAGCGTGGCAGTGACCAAATCGGGCGAGGACAACACGCGCCCCAATCTGGCGAGTAGGATGGTGGTCCAGAGCCTTTTTCATGTATATGATGTTAGATTTCCTGTGCAATACTGTCTATATAGAACTTCATTCAACTTTCTCGTTTAATTGTCATTGACCATTACAATCACTTTCTCGTCGAATGTCAAAATCATCATGCCAACCATCGGGATTTAGAAACAAGTCATCTAAAAACAATCTTCAAAGGAAGCACGTAGCTGCCCTTAGTGAAACGTCAAAAGTGCAGATGGACGCCGAACTAGATGAGGAGCGACAGGGGCCCAGCACCACCGCGCAAAAGGCAAAAAGAAACGCCACGATACCAGGGATCAATCTTGCGGCCGCAAAGAAGACATCAAGCAATTGCCACCTGGGTTTGATCGCACCCCACTCCACGGGCTACTACTGTGACCTGTAGTAGCGGGCTAGCCAGCGGCGCCCTGCAATTGTCCCACTGGACAATCTTAAGCTTGCCTCGCTTCCAACTTGGAGGCCGCTGATAAATAACGGGTATATATGGTGTCAGTCAGGTAAGAGCAGTGTGGGCCTTCGCAACGATGTCGGAGGTGGCAGGAGGGGTGATGCCTGGGAACCAATCAGCGAAACTGAACACGTAGAAAGACTGCTTTTGAACCCCAGGACCGTGCTTGATATCCGATGTGGTGGGTTTTACATCAAGTATGCCAATTTCTACCAGCGACAAGGGACTTTAAAAGGTACCATGATGCGTTTACTAAAGACTAGGTATCAACTTCACAATTGCAACTTTCAATTCGGACCTCAACCGGAACGGACATGGCAACAAGATTTGCGAGATCTGTAGAAGAGCTTCGTAGCAGTGACTGCGCCATCGAGCCCGCGTGTGATATACGCTGCAACGAAATTTACATTATGTTTGCCAATTTTTGCCAGTGGCGGACGGTTTCAAACGATGTCCACGATTCAATCTCCAGAGACCGGACGACTGTCGCGGTAGTTTCAGCGTTCAATTTGGACTATTAATTTGGAATAAACTGAGTAATGGAATAAGCATTCCTCTTAACTCGTCATAGAGCTTCGTAGCAGTGACTACATCGTCAAAGACCCGCTTGATATATGACCCCGGAACGTTCACATCCTGTGTGTGAGCCTTTGACGGTGACGGAGGAATTCAGATGGCGCCAAATATGTAATCTGCTAGAGACTACAGATCGCCTCAACCCAAAATTGGAATGGACATGATCATCATCTTCTATCTCGCGCGTTCTTTTTTTTCAGCGAGCTCGGCGAGAACAGCCATTGTAAGGAGGGGCGAGAAGAATAGCTAGGAGGGGGCGTCGAGCCTTCCTCGTATATGTTGTGAGGGAAGAAGAAGTATTGAGTGCCATTCGACAATATGATTGTTATTTCTCTCAACCTGTGAAAGTGCTTCGTTATGGTGACTATATTTTCAAATCCAGACTAATATGGAACGCGACGGTCTTTATTTACATCACGCGTATGAGGCTTATGGCCTTACGGGGGTAGTCTTATGGTATAAAGAGCTTTGCAAGACTGAATTCAGGAAATTTTCATGTCTATTTTCAAGCTCAAGTTGCGTTTTGAAAGATTCAAATCAATACATCATGAGCTATTATCGTGCTAATTATGCATGGAAGCCGAGAACGTTTTATAGCAGTGCCTAGGCTGTCAAAGGCCTCTATAACGACTCCGGAATCTTTATATCATGTTCAAAACCGTGAAATCTCATTGTAATCAGAGTTCACAAAAGGCCGGACTGCCCCTGGGAGGTTGCAAACCTCTTACACGGAATATACACATACACGTCCTCGGATCGTAGATCTAACGAGCCTTTAATAGTATGTTCATTGTGACGAAGCATTCTTAGCTCACCCACATGGTCAGGGCAGCTATCGTGTGTGATACTTTAATTTCGCACATTAGAAACGCAATTTGAGCTCTAACTTTGAGATCGCATCTCTGAAACTCGCGTTCCGCATCGTTCTCAATGCCCTTTGACTGGCTCTCTGAGGTTGTAAATCCCTTACAGGTAATGTGAAGGTCGTCGGGTCATATATCAAGCAGCTCTTTATCAGTGTCTTCACTGCTACGAAACTTTTGTCGACACTGCCGAGGCTCTCCAGCACCGACCCCTGTCTTGCCATCAGATTCAGCACCAGTTTCGCAAACTTTGTTGAGACGATTGAGGCTGCAAAGGCACGTCGACTATGTCACTTACGTGAACGAACTGAATACGCGTCATAGGATTGAATGGGCTCTCAAAATGATGTCTAATATACGGTGTGAGTACCTTTACATCTTGTATTGAGCTATAACGGCCTCACGGGGGCAGTCAGGAGGTGGGATGAACGTGTAGCATGCAATTCTCAGAGCTGTGATACTGGACGTACTTCTCATGTTGAATTTATGATGGCTTAGATTCGATAACAATGCAGTGCTTCTATGTTGACCGCGTCCGTAAGCTTTGGATGCTTCGTAGCATTACATATAGCCTCAAAACGATGCCTAATATGAACTGCAGTGAGCTTTAAATTATGTGTTTTCGAGATTCAAGACCTTAGAGGGGCATTCAGACGGCGCTAGGAGGGCTGAAATGCCATTTCCAGAGCCGTGATATCGGGAATGTTACTCCATGTCTCAATTCCGAGACGCTCAAATTAGAACCCTACACAATGATACAGCACTGACCAAGTTAGTGTCTGTCTTCCCCTGTGAGGTTGTAAATCATCTGCATAGGATGTCAAGATCACTCCGGCGTATATTAGGATAGATTCTGGGGGTTTAGTTACTGCTGCGAAGCGGCCTCAGCTCGGCTTCTAGGATATTCGAACGTAATCTCCGGGGCCATGGTATCAAGCATATTGCTTCATGTCTCGTCCTGGACGGCTTGGTTTAGAGTGGTGCATATTACATGTTTGCGAACCATGTCAAAAAACTGAAGACGCTTCGCAGCAGCGACTACCCCTCCAAAATTGAGGATGGAGGTGAAACAATGCATTGAACAAGGCAAGTGATGTATTGGATGAGCATCTATCTAGGCTACGTACGCCGTATATATACTCTGTGTGTGTGGAGGCTTACGTAGCCGTACCGTAGAACTGTGAGGGCTAAGTATAGGAACCGTGTTCTATATCAACTCAGGTTGCAGCACTACAACCTAGGATCAACAACTCATATGCCAGAAAGCTACTCTCCGAACATCAGCTGTAGAGAACCCAGCTGAAATCTCAGCTGTAGAGAACCGAGCTGAAGCCTCAGCTGTGCAGGGCTCATCTGAACTTACTAGCGCGCCACCCTGGGGGTGGCCCCCTTCCTTCCCCTAGTATATATACAACTAGCTAGACGTCTATAGAAATCAGAGTTCACATCAATTTCAACCTGAGTTATCAAGGTAGCCGAGCTAACCGTACCATACTCCGTAGACTAGCTGGCTAAGAATATGTACTCCGTCAAAAATGCATCCTGATATATGCTGGAGCGATCTTTACATCCTATGTAGATGATTTACGACCTTACGGGGGTACTCAAACGGTGTCAAGGGCATCGGAGTGTAATTTCCATAGGCCCAATACTGAGTATACTGCCGTACGTTCTGTTTCGAACATTCAAATCCAGAGGATGCATACTAGCACACTGCTGTTCATCTCGGAGCATCGAAGAAGCCTCGTGGCCGCGTCCATACCCCCAAATTTACGTCTAATGTACACTGGAGCGATCTTTACATCCTATGTAGACGACTTACAACCTCACAGGGGCACTCAAACATTGTCAGCGACCTTGAAACGTAATCTCCAGATGATCAATATTGATTGCAGTGCCGTACGTTCTGTTCCGAACACCTCAATTTAGAGAACGCGTACTAGCATACTGCTGTTCATTTAGAATCATTGAAGAAGCTTCGTAACCCCGTCTACCCTCAAAAAACCATGCCTAATATGCGCTTAAGAGATCTTTACATTGTATGCAGATGATTTATGATCTTACAGGGGCGCTCTAACGGTACCAGGGCCTTTGAAATGTACTATCTAGACGCCTAAGATCGAGTGTACTGCCTTACGTACCGTCCTAAGCACTCTCATCCGTAGCACACTTATGGTCGTTTTGATATTCACCATAACGCGTTGAAATAGCCTCGTAACCGCGTCTATACTCCTAAAAGTACGTCTAATGTACACTGGGGCGATCTTTACATCTTATGTAGATGGCTTACGACCTCACAGGGGCACCCAAACGATGCCAGGGACCTTGAAAAGTAGATTCCAGAGGCCTGCTATTGAGTGTTCTGCCTTATGTACTGTCCTGAGTACTCTCATCTCTAGTGCAGTTACGGGATTGTTTTGATATTCACCTTAATAGGTCAAAGCAGCCTTATAGCGGCCACCATACTCCCAAGACCGTGCCCAACATACGCTCTCAAAAACATTACATCATGTATCTCAACCTTCCCAGCACCATGGAGGCAGTCAAACGGTGTCAAAGGTCTTGAAACGTAATATTCAAAGGCCCGATATCGAGTGTACTGCCTTACGTATCACCCCTGAGCACTCGCATTCGTAGTACGTATACAAATGTTCTGAAATCTGCCATAACACATCGAAGCAGCCTCGTAGGGGCAACTACAGCCCCAAGCTCATCCTCAATATACGCTCTCACGAACTTGACATCATGTAATTCACTTTTGAAACACCATGGGGGCAGCCAGACGGTGTCACGAGCATTGAAACGCAGTTTCCTGAGGCCTTATATTGAGTATATAACTCTACCTTCCGTTTCGAAATTCTCAAACCGGTGTACGTATTCTAGCGTCTTGCAAAGCAGCCTAATAGGCACCACCATACCCCCAGAACCCTCCTCAATATACGCTCTCACAAACTTGACATTACGTGTTTCCATTTTGAAACACTATGGGGGCAGTCAGACGGCGTCAAACGGGTTGAGGAAGCAATTTTCAGAGTCATGATATTGATGGTATTGCTTTGAGTACCAGCCCATGGGAGAAGACATCATGGGAATACGAGCGATGTGTACACCTGCTTGAGGTGCCCAGCGAGTTATCAAGCAGGTCAAAACGAATGACTTTCATTGAACTCAGAGGTCGGAAAAGCTATCGAGGGCTCTCAGACGCTGTCAACCCATAGTACGCACTTGACATCATATGTGCATATGAGCGATGTGTACACCTGCTTACCACTGTATGAGGTGCCCTGGCGAGTCATCAGGTGAGTCAAAATGACGAAGTTTCGTCGATTTTAGATGCCGGAAAAGCTATTGAGGACTCCCAGACGCCGTCACCCCACAGTACACACTCAAGAACCCATGTGCATACGGGCTATACGCACACTGGGTTGTCACTGTATGAGGTGCCCCAGCGAGCTATCAGGTTAGTCAAAAGCATGGATTTTCATTGAATTCAGAGGTCGGAAAAGCTACTGAGGACCGTCAGACGATGCCAAACCACAATATACACACCTGGGAACCAGCTCAGGGGAGAAAACATCATGTGAATATGGGCTATGTGTACACTTGGTTGTCACTGCAAGAGGTGCCTCAGCCAGTTATTAGGTCAGTCAAAACGATGATGTTTCATCGCATATTGATTGATGAAAAGCTATCGAAGACCCTCAGACACTGTCAAACCACAGTACATACTTGGGAACCAGCCCAAACCCCCATCCCTCCTACTCCTCCTTGAGCTCCTTGAGGTGCTTCGCCGCCTCGATCATGCTGACAAAGTCCTCGAAGGACGAGCTGCATCTGACGGTCAAGCAGTGATCAGTACTAGTCAGCCCCTTGAAGTACCCCCAGAGATCCTCCATCTTGGCAGCAGGCTTCGATTCAAGCAGGCGGATCTTCTCGTTTGCCTCGGCAAGTTGACGCTTCAGGGCACCCTCGCGCGTCTCCCCAGCATTGCCAAAGTACTCGCAGCTCAGGCCTGATTTGGCGCATCGAGTGCATGTCGGGCGGTCACCAGAGCACTTTCACGCATGTCAGCAGTGTCTTTTGGCAGCAGGGTGGGAATCAGACTTACTCTAGCCTTGGCTTGGCGGCAGCAAGAGCAGGCAATAGGGACCTGGGACTTCTTGGAAGACTTCGTGACGCGACCGGAGATGACAGCGGGCTTGGGGTGCTTCAGCTCGGTTTCGGTGGTGGCAGCGGGGATGGCGTCGGAGGGGTGATTGTGGCCTTTGAGGAGAAGCTTGACGCGAGTAGGGGCCATTTTGGAGGGTGTTTCGGATGGTTTTGATGAAGTTTGATGACGTCTGAAGGAGCGCGCAGCGCTGTATAGGACGGAAACGTGAAGGAGAATCGAAGTTGAGATGGGCGCGCAGCGCAGAACAGATGGTGATGATGAGACAGGAGACAGGAAGAAAAATTCTTGCTGAGGAAGGAAGACAGTCGAGGGCGGGCCAGCCCTATATACCAGAAGTGAGTGGCAGCCACCGCCTATTGTTGATTTGAATAGGCGATGGCTGCTATTGTTTTGGCGTGGAAAGTTTTCTGTCGCGTTCCATGAGAAATAGTCGGGGGGCTGGGGATAGGATAGGCAGAAAATCTCAAGAGCGGCGGGGAGAAAAATTTCATGCTGCGCTGCCAGGCGGCCGCTATGCAGCCAGACCGCCTGGCCACCACAGGCCTTTGGTGTTGGGGTGTATTGTAGGAGGAAAAGTGGAGTGTAGGAGGGAGGGAGGAGGAAGACCAGCGACGAGCTTATGTAGACGACAGGGCCACCAGCACATACGGGGCAGGCTAGTCAGATGCCTGCCCTGTATGAAGAAGAGCAGTTCGCTGAATGGTAGTCTGATATGGAAGAGCAGGTCATTGACTAGTCAAAAGGGGGTGCTCGAACTCTGCTTTTGATCACGTGACACCACCGTCAGGAGGCCTCCTGGGAGCAGGTCACCGGCCAGTCAAAGGGACGTCCAAGTTACACGACTCCGAGCCATTCCGAGATGTCCGTCAGTGTACAGGTGTTTGGCGCTGCATTGAGTGCTCCAATAGGGTCTCCCAGACCGGAACATGACGGGTTTGAACGGCCTGACACCTCCACAGGGAACCTCATGCGGTGCCAAACAGGTGTACACATGACCACTGGAAGGGAAATGGAGGGGCATGTGATAGCCTGGAGCATTCCCATCGGTAGGTTGGGCAAATAACAGCTAATTGGCGCTGCTTGGAGTGCTCCGATAGGCTTTCGAAGATCGGGTCATGATGGAATTCCATCGGTTTGAACGGCCTGATACCTCGACGACACACCTCAGGCAGTGCCAAACAGGTGTACAGATGACCCTCGGAATGAGAAAGGGGAGGTCGGAAGAAAACCCGTTGCGATATTGGGCCACGGCGCAACCGCCTGACGAAAAGGAGGTGTTACGAAAGGCATGTGATGACCCGGAAGAGTCCAACAGGGATGTTGGCCAAGATGCACGCATCTGACACTGTTTGGAGTCCTCCAATAGGGCTTCGTACATCTGGCAGTGACGGGATTTCATCGCTTTGGCAAGCCTCATACCTCGCTGGGCCACCACAGGCGGCTACAACGCAGTGTACACACATGACTACGGGAAGGGATAGGGAGCAAATAGCGAGAGGTTCCCAGTGACATTTATTTTCGATGCAAATATGTGATAGATGACTGATGACGGTGGAGACAGAATACTGTACCATGTCAAGCTAATCACTTCGACTCGCCACCGTCTGTGGTTCTCCGACAAGTTTTCGTGAATCTGGCGGTGGCCAAGAATCGTCACTTTGCCTGGCCCGATAGCTTGATTAGGTACTACAGCCAACGGTAACCAGGCGTACACATGGGGGAAGAAAGTTCCAGGAGTGACGTTGAGCTGTGAAAGAGTCACGTGACTAGGTTCTGAAAGTGAACGGTCGTTAAAGCCTTTACCTCGCAATGAAACCGCCAGAGCGACATAACATAGGCAAGCACGTAATCATTGCTAAGAAGAGGAAAAGATGAAGCTTTGATGAATTTTCGTGCTGAATAGATTGAAAAGAAGCCCTAATTAATGAAAATCCAGAAGCGCCTTCCAGAGTACCAACGTGCGCCTACCCAACAATACCGCTTCAAGCTAGTCATCAAAGCTGTATAGCTACGCCTTCTCTCCTTAACTTACATATGTCTAAGCATCTACGAATCCTGATGATGACGGGAGGACGAGGAGTGGAGGTTGCATCAGACTTCCACAATTTTCGCTAGCGGCGATCGTACCCAATTAGCCCTTCATCTCTACTAACCGCTTGTGGCGCTCGAAACATAGCGTGAATGGAGCAGATTGCAATCTAGATACACTCCTCTATCACCATCTGGGGCGGCCTAGCTCGCCAACCAGCTGCCCAAAATGCTGCAATTTCATCTCATTCATACTTCAAAAAGATACCCCAAAGCACCACAAGCAGCGTCAAAATAGTGCACATAAACTTCTCATAAATGTCATATCATACACATTAGCCCTTTTGACCTTGACCTCTGCAACCCTCTCGCCGCCGTCTGACTGGCCCCAGCAGGTCGCAAATCTACTACACTCATCGCCCCCTCCCCTTCCTCCCCACCACCCACCGAAACGGCGCCACCCACCCCTCCACCTCGCCCTCGCCCTCGCCCTCCCCTACACACGCCCTCATAACCTCCCTTTTCGCCTTCTCCACCTGCTCCCGCACCTCCTCCTTCCCCCACCCTGCGTGCCGCGTTAACAGCCTCAAGCACACGCTCTCGAACCCCTCCATCAAACACACCACAAAGAGCTTCCCCAGCGCTTTCTGCCGCGCATCGCTCGGCCACGTGCCTACCGGCACGTTGACTTGTGTGGCTCTTACTTCCACAAACCCTGCAGCCCGCAGCATATCCGTGTCTAAGTGCAAGGTGCCTAGATTGATCCCGGCGCGCAGGGAGGCGAGGCGGGTGGACTCGAAGAGGTGAGTGAACGCTTCGAAGTTGGGAGAGGAGGCGGTGGTGGGCGCGAGGCCGCCGCCAGGAGCGAGAGTTGGGTGGGCGTAGGGGGGCGGTAAGGGGCCTTCTCTGAAGTTTGAATTTGACGGGCGGTTGAGAATATTTGGTGTATCTGGAGGCGCGAAGCTGTAGTCGACCACCTCGATCAATCCCCCCGGAGCGAGGTTGGCGTAGGCTTCGGCGTAGAGGGCGGACCAGGAGGAGAAGGCACCCTTGAGGCCGCGGATGTGGATGTAGTCGAAGGGTTCGGTGAAGTTCCAGCCGGGAGGGGGTGGTTGTGGCTCTAGGGAGTAGAGATTTGTGGGTGGGGGGTCGGCTTGGGGCGGGGAGGGCGAGAGGGTTGGTGAAGGAAGATCTGGGGCTTTGCCTTTGCCTTTTTGATTGGACGTGTTGATTGTGAGAGATGGGATATGCATCTCAGAGCTTGTTGGGGGCGTGCTGTCCTCTGCCGTAATGGCTGTAGTGGCGGCTCTCGTTGAGGCGGTTTGTGAGGTGTTGGTTTGGCCTTCGTGGTCGCCTTCGGGGCCGCCGAAGAGTTTTAGGCTTTCCATCGTTTTGGAGACTTCTGGTTCTTGCTCTGGATTTAATGGATCTGCGCGCCATATGTTTAGGTCGTCAATCTCCCATTGCACGCCTCGCTCAGATCCGGCGCCGTAACCCCCTTGCCGCTCTGCTTCGACGGCTTCGACGTCCCATATTGTGAGGTCAATCCCTACTACCTCCGCGTATGGGAAGCGTTCCGAGATGCTGACAGCCCAATCGCCGGGTCCAGCGCCAACATCTAGAATTCTAGTGGTAGCGGCGGTGATTGGTGCGGTAGTCAGCTTGTCTCCAAGGGCGGCCAAGTAGACTCGATGAAGGATGCTCAGTCGGTCTTGCTCGACCGCATCGCAGGGCATGAAGTAATGCTCGTCTGGGTAGGTTCGGTCATTCTCCGTCACGGTAGTTAGGTCGATAGACTGGAGGGTGCGGGTCGAGACACTAGCCAGGAAATATTAGCACTCTCCAACATTTCAGATGAAGGTGTGGTGGTCGGTTCGGATCGTCGCCTGCGGGAAGATGACACAAAAGTAAGACATAGCCTCAGCGCAAGGACAGTAGAGCCAGGACAAAACAGGGCTAAACTAGAGCCAAGAACAACAGCCTTACATGGACCCTGACGACGCATTCGACGAGTTCGAATCCCCTCTCGCCCGCAACGGGGCGGCGGCTGTGTGAGGCTTGGCCGGGTTGTCGGGTTTTGGTGGCGGATCCTCTTCCATGGCGGCGGGTCGCCTGCTCCCACAGGGCGGTCGGTGGAAGCAGCTAGTTCCACGGTTCGTCGAGGATCGGCGTATACAGGTGGGAGCGTGGTGGCGTCGAAGTCTGGCGACACTACAGACTATATTTTACTAGAGCGACGACAAGCTCCTAGCCAACGATAACACTTGCAGCTGTAGATGGGCAGGCATTCGACGCTGCGTGATGCGCTGCGTCTTGTAGCCTGCAGGGTGCTCGTTCTGATCCTGGACGGGCGAGGTACGGGCTGAGAAGGGTTCCGTTTGTCGGCGATATTGGGCGTTGCTTGGTCCCGGATGATGGAAAGGGTATGGCGAGTTATGCAGAGTAGATTGTATAGATACGAGTGTAGAAGAGCGGTCATGCAAAGAAACTCTCAGGCTGTATGCAGAGACAGATAGTCCTGATGGGAAGCCCCAGACAGACACGGGCGGACTGGAAAAATGGAAATGCACGAAATGCAAGGAATTGAATGGCACAGCCCGTCGAGCAGGAGAACACGCTCTGCATCCAAAGGATCACCCGTTACCCAGGTCCCAGGCGCCCGCGATCAGCAAGCTCGGCGGCATACATGCAAGCCTAGCATATCATTCACGTGAAGACGGAGGAAGGAGAGACATGAGACAGGGGAGAACGGTGGACGCAGGGTAGATGAGCAGCAGCGGGCAGTGCGACCCCGTGCGGCAACGCGAGGCGCGAGCAATATGAGGCCGCGTTATCTGGAGAGAAAACGGCTCTGAGAGATGCACGTCCGGGGCAGCTGTCTGCGGCGGATGGTGACACACGGGTAGCAGCGAGAGGGCACAGAAGGGTCGACAGCCGCCGCTCGAGGGGGAGGGACGCGGGCGACGCGGGCGACGCGGGCGGAAGGCGGAGGATTTTGCTGCAGACAAGACGAGCCGGCGCCCTGTCCAGCTTGCCAGCTTGCCCACAGCAGTGCCCGGGGCCATGGAGGCTGCTGGAGCTCTCGTTCGGGACCTGCTGGAGCGAGGCAGGGTTGCGGTGCCAGCGCGCCGCTGCATCCCATGCCCAGCCGTCGCGCCACGAAGACCGTTCGCACTCGCTGTTGTGCTCGCGATACCCCTCCCCCTCCCCCGTCCGCGGCGGACACGCCGGGACCAGGCCCCATGCTTTGTCGTCCCGATCTCAATCGCCAGGGCCGCCGTCGCTGGGCCAGTACTGACTTTGGCCCTCAAATCACGGCCAGCGGGACCGCCGGAACAGTCGCCATCGCGCGCGATTGGGGCACCGCGCCCAGGAACAGGGACGGGGACGACGGCACGGCTGCAGGACAGAGACAGCTGCCGCTCGGCCCGGAGCGAGGCTGCGATCGGTGAAAGGGGAGGTGCAGCTGGGATCCGTCCAAGACCTCATGTTATACCAGCCAAAGGAGTAGAAGATGCGCTAACGTCATGGGCTATGTCGTGCGTTCGTGGCAGAGAATTGCGTTCAACAGCGGCAACGGCAGCGGCACGGCATGTTCTGCATCTCAGCTGGACGGGAGCGGTGCAGATCAGCCGCCTAGACTGTCTGCCCAACGCTTTCGTTGCATGGTGCTCTATCTAGGTGCCAACTCTGTCCAACACCACGACCCTAAGAAACCCATGCCACGGACTCGTACGGCGAGCGGAAGCACCGGTGCCAGCGCGTCTAGTCCACCTCTTGGCCCTCAAAGGCTGGTAACCGCTTGGCCACGTCCTCCCACGACTCCGCGCCCTCTGTGAGACTCACGATCGCCTGCAAGATCGCGTCCTCGCCTGCCCTGACCTGTTTCGTCGTGTCCCTGTCGCGGAGCGTGTACTAATTGCTGTCAGAAAAACCTGTCAACTGTCTCAAGATAAGGGCTATACCGTCTTGTCCTTGACCGACTGGAAGTCGACCGTCACGCCAAACGGCGTCCCGAGCTCGTCGTTCCTGGAGTATCGCTTGCCGATCGACGCATTCGAGCTGTCCACCCGGCTGGAGATCCGCAGAGTCCGGAGCTTCTTGCTCAGGTCGTGTATCAGAGGCTGGAAGTCCGGATGCGCTGACAATGGTACGATGAGAACCTTGGTCGGCGCAATCAGAGGCGGGAACGACAAGACACCCCTTGCTTCGTCTCCAGGGCGAGTCCAGTGCACGTGTTCGCACAGGGCGTACAGGATGCGGCCGATACCAAACGACGGTTCCTAGTTGTGTCGGAGACGTGAACACACGCAGGGAAATGGGCTCCACTTACAATGACGTTGGGCGTGTACTCCCGCGTGGACTCCACACGGGTCCGCTTTTCAATCGCGACAAGATCCTTGCCCACATCTACCCTGCCATCACCAACACCGCTTACCTCTACAGTGATCTTGCCGTTCTCCTTGAGTTCTAGGGACAGCTTTTCTCGCACGTCTTGGGTTAGAGCCTCGATAGCAGCCTCTACGGCTTTGCCGTCCTGCAAATCATTACTAATAGTCATTTTATAATCTAGGCAGCGCTCATACCTTCTTGAATTTGGGACCAAACTTCTTTTTGTCGAGGTCAATTTGCCACTCTTCTATCCGGAGAGGCTCTTTCAGCGTCTCTCGCACGACAAGCGGAGCACCGGTTCGCTTCGCATGCACAGTGAGGTCGTACGCCGATCGATCAGCGCAGCCAACACATTCAATCCAGCCGTAGCCTGAAGCAATATTAGCACTTGTTTGAGTAGAGTTAACGTGAGACATACTAGTCAGAAGTTCTGCATCCCAGCAGTCTGCAGCGTAATGTGCCATCTCGTTCCGCATATGCTGTCGGAATCGGATCTTTGACTTGTCGACACCAAGCTTCAACAGGAACAGCTGAATACGCGCGAGGAAGTAGCCAAGCGTCTCGTTGTCCACTACACCCTTCTCAACAGCCTCTCCAATAGGTGTGGTCTTGACGTCCTAGAGAATGTTCAGCATAATCAACCCATGAACCAAGGCGTTAACACTCACAGTCTTGCCAGATAGCTGAACTTCTCGGTTCAACAGCTCTAGCTCAACGTCCTTGACTTCGACGAACCGAGGGTGCTTCTTGCCACTCTGGGGATCAACGAAATGCTCAATTTCCGCCATTAAGAATTCTCGGACTCGCAGAAGGCCGGCTCTGGGCGAAATCTCATTACGGAACGATTTTCCAATAGATGCAGAGGCAAATGGCATAGCTTGTTGGTTGAACTCGAGGAGCTTCTGGAAATTCAAGAATTGGCCTTGTGCTGTCTCAGGTCGGAGGTACGCGGGGGAGTTGGCAGATGGGCCAATTGAAGTTTGGAACATGAGGTTGAAAGCCTTGGGTGGCTCCAACTCTCCATCGTTCGCCGGGTTCCTGATGTTGTACTTCTCGATGAGCTCGCCCAGTTCCTCGCCATTGTAATTATCGATCTGTTGGTATCGTTAGCGTACGTAGTGTAGTCGTACTTGAAGGCGAAACCTTTGCGAGAACCTCCTCGTATTCTTTCACAAGCGCATCATCAAGCCTCTCTGCCTTGATGACCTTGACCTTCTTCTTTTTTTTCTTGGGGTCTTCCTTGTCTTCGTCGTCCACCTTCTGCCCTCTTGCCTCCTTGTCACCCTTGAGCCTAGCCTCCAGAATCTCCTCTACGATATGATCCGCGCGGAATATCTCGCCAGTTTTCGGGTCTTTGGTCATCCAGTCCGCGAATTTGTCCACCTTGGCATCATGTTAATGTTGACCCAATATAGTAACCTTGCGGAGGTGCTCACATGGCCGGATGTCTTGAGGACCTCATGAGGGGTCAGCATAGTGCAGTCGACTGAAAGCTGTTAGCCTTGTCCTTCGTATAGAGCCTCTGTGACTCACCCTCCAGCATGTTCTCCTCCAGAACGAATTCCTTGCGCCATGTATCCACGATATTAGCTTGCAGCGCACACCCTTGCAACCTATATTAGCTACTCGTTGATATATTTCGTACTGTAGACTCACCAGAAGGGCCGTAGTCGTACTGCGCTCAAGTTAGCATACATTCTAGAGCGTGAAGAAAGGAGAAGACTCACAAGACCAGAAACACCTCCATATATTTCGACTGCAGGCAATTAGAATCTAATGATCGTATAGTTATATTGGTGACTTGCAGGAAGGCGTATAGAACAGGCGGCGGCGCATGAGCGTTTCCACTGTAAACCTGTCAGAGTCAATCAAGTTAACCGGGCCTGGAGACGCACTGGCAGCTCTGTCAAAGGGCGCGCCCTTCATCGTGACTGTTGGATGCGCCATGGTGATGTCTTTCTTTTCGACTTGGAATTTGAAAGTAGGAGTGGTCGAATTGAAGCTCCGTGCTTGGATGCGGAGTGCTGGTGGGGTAATAAAAGGGCTGGAGAAGAAATAATTGAGGCGACGCAAGCTACGGAGCTGGCGCATGTACGTGTGGTCCTCCCGGCAAGGAACGAAGGGAAGAGCTGCTCATATAGGGGATGCGTGAGTCTTGTGAGAACGCGTTGTGACTCTTCATCAATGCCCCAAATTGACTGCTTCTCAAAAATGTCAAAGTTGGCCCGAGCGCTCTACGGTCTTGCCAAGGCCTAACTCGAAACTGGGACTTCTGGACCACCCCGCGATGTAGCATCGCAAACTGATATTCCAGGACGAAACTAACATCTCGTCTTCCACACTTTATGGTTTTGCTTCTTCGGAGCTTTCTGTAGATCGTCATGATCTTGCTCTATTCCGGAATACGGTCCCATCCATCTCCGTCAGCTTCCCTCGATAGGCACGTAAACTCAAATCACTCACCAAAAGATCCTCTCAGCAAGCACCTTCTATATTGTTCTACCTTCGTAGGGGCGATTGAAATAGTAATATAAGAGTTTCCGCCAGCGTTTAGTCATAGTTGATCGCCAACCACAGCCCTCATTTTCGGCCCCCACCTGCAACTCTCAGCCATCAATCTAGCCGGCGCGCGCTATGCACACGACATGCAGAGCGCGAATGTCCATTCAAATACCCGCCATGCCCCATGATCGAAGTTCAACACCAGGAACACTGTCTGTTGTGCAGTGTTTCCCCCCTTGACTACACAAGTTCCACCGAGAAACCGTAGAGCTGACGACTTCCCCACACTATCATTGCGTATACTACCGGGAGGATTCTCTCGTCCGTTGATGCTTACAAAAGCTTGAAGAAACTATAAGTGAACGCAGATGTCGCGTCGGAAAGGGTTGCCAGTTCCATTTCCAGCGCTAAATTTTCCAGAATCATACTGATCCCACTCCAGAGATCAGAACGCTCTCGACCCTACTCGCGATGCCACCATCAAGGACTTCTTCGATACCCTAACCGCAAATGACAAAGCCTTGTTCAAGGCCACTACTTTTTCGGAGCAAATACTAGCGGATATCACAGATGCGGACGCGAAGCATAAGGATAATGCCAGCTCGAGAAAGATCTCGTCTGCGTTGAAGCGGTTCGTGGCTGGGGTCGAGATCTATGGCAAAGCACTCGATGTTTTCGCCAACAGCTCAGAGTTCCTCTGCCCAATATGGGGTAGTGTGAGGATTGTACTCAGCGCAAGTAACACCAAGGTTTTATCTTGCACGCAGTATGCTAATCAATCTATAGCTCGGCTCTGAGTTCGGGACCTACTTCGACAAGCTCTCCTCGATGTTCGAACAGATTGGACGACATCTCAGTGCTTTGAGAAGATATCCTAACCTCTATCCGAACAACAAGATACTCCAAGAACAGATGGTGGCGATATACCAAGCTATTTTCAAGTTCTGCTGCAAAGCAAAAGATGTTTTTAATCAGGGAAAATCTAAGAACCACTCGATGCTCTCTTTACATTCGGTCGGATTGCAGACTGCTTTAAAGCTGTTATGGAAACCTTTCAAAATTCAATTTGGCGGAGTCATAGAAACCATCGAGAGCTGCATGGATGCTATTGAAAGAGAGGTGGAAATTGCAGAGAAAGAGTTGGCGGGAAAAGAGAGAAAAGCTGCTGAGGTTGAGCGGCATCTGGATTCATTCCGATGGACCAAAATGGACACCTCGCAACGAACTATAACGGATTTCATCGACAAAGAAAGCATTGCCAAAGTCAATGGTTGGCTAGCCCCCGCAAATGTTGCTTCCAATCATAATGCCGCAACCAAGCTCCGTCAGCCAGGTACAGGCCTTTGGTTTCTCGAAGGAAAGCCGTTCCAACACTGGCTTACTACCCCAAACTCCTTATGGCTCCACGCTATCCCTGGCGCGGGCAAGACTGTTCTAGCGTCAAGCACTATCAACTACCTACGGGATAACGTTCAGAGCAGCGATACCGGAGTGGCGTACTTTTATTGCGATTATACCGATCCTTCAAAACAGTCACCGTCGAAGGTTCTTGGTACTCTATTATCAATGTTAGGTACCCAGAACCGGGCAGTTTTCTTGGAGATGCAGTCATATTTTGAGCGGCAGTTGAAGGAAAATCCTGCATACGTTCCGGAATTCGATGAACTTCTGAGTAATTTCAACGCCTTTATATGTGATCACTTCCGACATATAAATATCGTGATTGACGCCTTGGACGAATGCGCAAATCGCGAGTTATTAGCTGGGGCTCTCAAAACTTTGGCAGCTCGGTGCAGCACAATCAAGATTTTGGTGACAAGTAGGAACGAAGTCGACATTTCTCGAACTTTTGAAGGTCTGCCGGATTCTACGATTGCACAAGCTGATGTAGCTGGCGACATTGAAACATACATCAACGCCGAACTGGACAGAAAGATTTCCGAAAAGCGACTGAAACTTCGTGACCCTAAGCTAAAAGAAAAGATATGCCGAAGCCTCGTGAAAGGAGCACAAGGTATGTTCCAGTGGGTTAAGTGCCAAATCGAGCATCTTTGCAAGCTTAGGAACGATAAGGCAATTCGGGGAGCGCTGCAGGACCTACCGAAGACTCTTTACGATACTTATACCCGTATCCTGCAGCGCATCGAAGAAGAAACAGAGGAGGATATCGAAAGTGTGCAACGGCTACTCCGATGGCTTGTTCGTGGATGCCGAAACCTGTCGCTTGACGAATTGGCCGAGTGCATCTCGATAGATCCTGACGACGAAGACATCACCCATATGGACTTTGACGCTGTTATCACCGACCCGGAAGATATACTGGAGCTATGCGGTAGTCTCGTGGTGGTCTCCGCAGATCGTCACGTTGCGTTAGCGCATTACTCGGTGAAGGAATTCCTAGTCTCGGCGAGTACGAAAGAGAAGATGTCAAAGTTCTGGGTCGGCAACGAACAAGTAGAGTCTGAAATGGCTACCGTCTGCCTGAAATATATCTGCTTTGACGATTTCAAGGACCCCTTCTTAGAAAATGCCGAAGTCTTCCAGCGGCAACGTGAGCAGTACAAATTGCTACCGTACGCAACCCAGTGGTGGGGAATTCACGCGTATCGAAGTCAAGTTGACGATCATGTCGATAAAAGAGTTCTCGACTCCGTTTGGCAGCTGTTCAATACGTGGAACGGCCCCCGCCAGAATTTTAAACACTGGAGTCAATTCTATCACAAGCGTTTCAAGGGATTTCACGATCTCGCCCAGAACAACCCGCTGCATGCAGCGGCGGATTTCGGATTAACCGATGTCGTCAAAGGTTTCCTTGACAAGGGTCGTGGGACTGGTCCCGAAAGAATTTACGATGAAGCACTCAAGGCAGCGGCTTCTGGAGGCCATGCTGCAGTTGTTTCATTGCTTCTCTCGCGGGATGAAATCAAAGATTTTTTGACCCTCGGCCCAGCTTTCTACAACGCAGCTTCAAAAGGGCAAGCCGCAGTCGTTGAGATATTTTTGAAACACGGCGTCGATATCAACATTAGAGCTGGGAAGGATGGAAATGCGCTTCAAGCCGCCGCTCTTGCGGGTCATTCCGATGTTGTGTCAGTCCTCCTCGAGTACGGTGCTGATCACAAATTTCCTTGCAAGAGATATGGCACTGCTCTTGCTGCCGCTGCCGAGAGAGGCCACCAAAAGTGTGTTCAAATCCTCCTAGATCATGGTGCAAACACCAATGGAAGAGGGGGCTGGTACGCCTACCCTCTCGTTTCGGCCATCGTTGGAAAGAACATGAACATCATCAACGCTCTACTAGACCACGACGCCGACGTGAACGCCCTTGGCGGGAGGCATGGATGCCCGCTGATGGCAGCCGCTTCGTTTGGTATGACCGAACTGGTGCAGCTGCTCATAGACCGCGGAGCGCAAGTGAATGATATGGACGACAAAGGAGCTGACGCCTTGTACGCAGCTACTGTATCAAGCCATCTACATCTCGTCAACTTACTCCTTGACCATGGCGCTGACGTCAATGCTAAAGGAGGGAAGCACCGGTGCGCTCTCAATGCAGCCAGTTACGAAGGCCATCTGGACATTGTCCTACGCCTCATTGATGCAGGCGCCGATCTCGAGTATGTCTTCGATCATTACGGAAACGCTATGCAGGCCGCAGTACGTAAGCCCCGACACAGATAAAAAGTTTCCCAGCAATCTGTCTGTTTGAAAGACTACTTAGGGAGTATTTCGAGACAACCACAGTGGTGTCTTTGGATCCCCTGAAGAAGCGTCTCACGCAACAGTTCCTATTGCAAGAAATCGATAACGGTTTCCTCACTCCGGTTCTGAATGATTTGCTAACCTTATTGCCACCTTTAGGCCCAGCGAGGACATGCGGACGTCGTTGCAACACTGGCCAAAGCAGGAATGGATGTAAACGCTGAAGGCGGTGACAAAGGCAGTGCCTTGGTTTGCGCAGCCACCTACGGCCAAGACGAAATCCTCGAACTCCTCTTCGAGCTCGGCGTCGAGGAGGGAGGAACCGGCGAAATGACAAATGCCCTGGTACTCGCATCAGCAGAGGGTCGCGAAAGCGCCGTAAGGCTCCTAGTTCAGCACGGTGCAGATATCAACTCTGTCAGCAATATGACTTCTCGGTTCCTCTCGTCTCCCCTAGAAGCAGCAGCTGCCCGTGGCCAGCTAGATGTCGTCAAAGTCCTGATCGACCTCGGCGCGAATCTGGCTCAAATCAGCGACGGACACTATGGCACCGCTCTCATAGCCGCTATCGACTCTACCTCTCTAAACGAGGAAATGGTCAAGCATCTTCTGGAGGCCGGAGCTGACGTCAATGGCACAGTCGAGGACGCTGAAGAACCGAAATTTGGATATCCCCTAGCTGCTGCCACATCTCTAAACAATATGCCTATTACCCGCCTGCTTCTCGACCGCGGCGCTGAGATTAATCTCGTCCACGAGTTTTCCGTGACAAGCATGCAGGGTGCTGCCCGCCACGAAGACATGGGGATCCTTGACCTTCTGATTGAGAAAGGCGGCGACGTTAATCTAGAGAGCGAGCCTATGAGTCCGTTTGGCGATGGTCCGGTAAATCCACTACAAGAAGCTGCATGGTACGGCAACGAGAATGTGGTTCGGAAATTGGTCAGCCTAGGAGCAACCCTCTCCCTCGAGGCGGACAACACCAGGTTCAAATCAGCACTTCAAGTAGCGAGTTTCCGCGGACATACTGACGTTGTGAAGGTACTCCTCGAGTTGGGGAGCGACCCAAACGAGGTTGGAGGAGAATTTGGCACCGCCTTGCAAGCTGCGGCGTCTCAAGGCTTTGACGAAGTCTTGCTCGTCCTGCTAGACGCTGGGGCAGACGTACACTACGCACACGTCGGAGAGTACTCGACGGCCCTCTTCGCAGCCGTAGAAGAGAATTATCCCACCGCCGTCCGCGTGCTCGTCGAACGCGGCGCGGACGTCAACCAACCCGCTGGCAAAGGGTACCAATACCAACAGGTGCTTCAAGCCGCCGCGATCGATGGCTCCGAGGAAGTAGCCAAGCTCCTCATCGAGCTCGGGGCCGACGTCAACGCAACAGGCGGCCGCTACTGGACCGCCCTGCAAGCCGCTGCCAGCACAGGGCAGTACGAAATCTGCGAGGCTCTCCTCGAGCACGGCGCGGACCCGAACATCCAAGGCGGCCAGTATAGCACTGCACTCCAAGCCGCCTACACCGAAGGCTACTACTTCGTCATCGCCCAACTATTCCGCCGCGACCCCGCTCAGCACTCTCTCGTAGGCGGCGAATTCGGCAGCGCAATGGGCGCCGGGCTCGCGGGCGCCTGCGCCGGCCTGGTCAACTCCCTCATAAACCAGCACAAATTCGACGTCAACCTCAAGTACGGCAAATTCGCCAACGCGCTACAGAACGCCATCGCGAAGGATAGAGACGAACCGGGCATCATCACCTCCATCATCTCGCACGGCGCTGAGATCAACGCTGTGGGAGGCCACTTCGGAACAGCGCTCAACGCGGCGGCGTGGAGGGGCTACACAGAGACCTTCGCGCAACTCCTCGACGCCGGCGGGGATCCAACCTTAGGCAGCAAGAACTTCCCCAATGCCCTCTATGCCGCCATCATCGGCAACGAGAAAGACATCTTCGACCGCATCCTCAAAGACAACCTCGTCGACGTCAACGCGTGCGGCCACAGGTTCGGCTCCCCCCTCATGCTCGCCGCGCGCTGGGGCAACCTCAGATTCGTGCGCGCCCTTGTCCGCAAAGGCGCGCTCATCAACATCTCCAACTGCGGAGAAGACGGCAGCCCGCTGCAGAGCGCCGTCCTCCTAGGCCAAGTGGAGATCGCGCGGTACCTCATCAACCGCGGTGCGGACGTCAACGTGCGCGGCGGAAAGCACGGCGGCGTGCTGAACGCCGCTGTGCTGGGCGTTAACGCGCACATGGTCGAGTACCTCCTGCGGAAAGGCTGCGACCCCAACGAGAAAGGCCGCTTGTACGGCTCGCCGCTGCAGGGCGCCGCGGCATTTGGGGATATCAAGGCCGCCCTCGTGCTGCTGCGGTATGGCGCGGATGTTAATCAGAAGGGGGGGAAGTACGGCACGGCGCTGCAGGCGGCGTGTGTTACTGAAAACCCAAATGACCTCGTTCAGCTGCTCGTCGACCGTGGCGCCGAGCTCGACGCTGTGGGCGGGCTGCATCGGACGGCGCTGCATGCTGCGGCTATCAGGGGCGATGAGGATGTTGTGAGGCTGCTGCTGACGAGTGGCGCGACGTACGCTCCTGTTGATCCGGAGAAGGCGTATCGCAGGTCTGCGGAGGCGGCGAATGAGCTGTTGGAGAGGGTATGGGATACGATACACGAGGATCCGGAGTGGGATGATGACGACGACGCAGTGGAAGGTGGGGAAGAGCAGGAGGGAGAAACCGACGACGACGACGAAGAAGAAGAAGAAGAAAAAGAGGAGGAGGAGGATGTGGAGGATGAGTGGCCCATGCCGTGGAACGTCGAGTCTATCCCCCTCTTCGATCGGCCTTACAACCCACCTGACCCGTGCGCTGTTCAGACGCCAGCGGATGAGAGCTCGGCATCCGAGGGGAGCGAGGATGGGGATGACACGTCGGTCCAGAAGAGTACGGATCTGAGCAGTGAGGGCAGTATGGGCGAAGAGACGCCTCACAGAATCGACTCGAAGATTGAGGGGGCGAAGACGCCGAAGAGAGTTGATTCGAGCGCGGAGAGCAAGGCAGGTGCTGAGGAGGGGAGTAAAGACTGGGAGGCGCTAGGGTGGTTGGACGGGGAGGATGTTTTTGAGGACTAAGGGGAATGTGCATACGCATAGGGCAATATGGGAGCGATTGAAGCATTTTGGATCGGGATCAAAAGGAGTTAATCCATATGACAGTCTATACATAACGAGAGGAGCACATATCGCACTTATCCCACTACTCCCTCAATGAACCGTACAAGCCCCACGCTTCTTCCTAGAAGTACCCCCATATCCATGCCGCATGAGATACGAAACTCCCGAACTCCCAAAGCCTTTCACGCCAAAATGAGTCGCTGTGAAGTAGAAATCGGGCTCCCTCGGATCCCGCGCCGGCCTAACCTAAGAAATAAAAACCTTCTTAATCGCCCTATCCTCAAACACAACGTTCAGATCCGTCGGATCCCGCACCTTCCCCTTCTCCGTGCCAAACTTCTCGTTCACGCGCTTCAATCGCTCCCATCCGTAGATCCGCCCATTTGGCAACACCACCGGGTCGTTCTCGACATAGCTCTTCGTGTGGTGTGCATATGGTACGTTCCGCGCGAGCTCATTGAGCTCGGTGCTGCAAATCGGGCAAACGGTTGTGGTGGATGATGAGGCGTTTGCGGAAGATGAAGCGTAGGCAGAGTGACAGGATGGGGTTTTGAGAGCGGAGAGGCCGGCGGAGAGGGCGATGTGGAGAAGAGGCCGCGAGGGGAGAGAGTAGAGGGCGTTGTGGGTGGTTAGGAAGAGGGAGGCGAGGTGGGAGTAGCGATTGGGGGAGTAGAGGGACTAGAGAAGTGTTAGCTTCGATTGAAGGATAATGAAAGTCTATTGCTACGGAAGGGGTTAGATATACCTTGTATGGCTCTGCTTCTGTCTCCGGCGGGAACGCGAGCAGTCCAGCTGCTCGAATCGCAAAGTTGGTTTCAGAGTGCGATGCTAGATATTTCCGCGCGTGTGTCCGGGCCTCGATCAACTTCTTCGTGTCGCAACTGCGGACCATTTCGATGTACTGCTGTAGTCGAAGCTCGAATTCGAGGTTGCACTGTTAGACACAGGGTCAGCATTCATTCACAGAATCAAGTGTTCAAAGAGAAAAATTGACAGCACTCACCCCAAGCTTCTCCAACCCCTTCCGGTTATCCGCACACCACGCCACCGCCTCCTGCGTTCTCCCAGCCCTCAAACTCCTCTCGATCCGCGCACACTGCCCCCATGCCTCCAAATCCACCAACTCTTCTATCCCCTTCTCCCGCGCTAATTGCGCTGCACTCTCTCCATACCCACTCCTCAGCAGATAATCCACCAACAACCTATTCAACCGCACCCGGCTCCACTCCTCATACTTCACATCCGCCAGACTCGGAATCGTGTGCAAGCTCTGCAAATGCGCCAACCGTGCCTGAGTCGACGCATGCGTGGCGAGCTCGGCAGTATTCAAATCCACGAGCTTCCGCTTGAGTGATTGCATCTTCGTTATCATAGCATCGAGGTTGTTCAGGACGTCTGCTGGGGGAGTGGATGAAGGGTTTTGCGAGGCTTTGAGGGCGGCAGAGGCGGTGGCTTTGAGGGTTTTCTGGACAGAGGTTTGTTCGTGCTGGATATATTTCCGGGCCTGGTTGAAAGTTTTGCGGGATTGTTCGTAGGGCATGCGGAGGAGGGGTTGGTCCTGTAACTCGGATGTACGGTTAGTGGCGTGAAGAGGTAGTTATAGTGGAAGTTTTGAGGCGTTTGGCTGGCCTGGAAGCTCGATGGAGCTGGGGATCTTTGATAGATGGACGTACGAGCAGCAGGTGGCTCTCAGCGTTTAGCTTTGTGGTTGTGAGTTCGGCCATGGTGTTGAGCGAGTGAGTAGAAAGAGTCAAAAGAGTATTTGTTGCTACCCTCGGCGTGTAGAGCTCGAAAATTAGAGCTGAGGTTGGACAGTTCCAAGGTTGAGGTCGACCCTGGTGGGGCTGTTTTAGAGCTCGTGATCGGCCCGCGGCGTGGACAAAGTAAGTCTGTCTCTCCAAGGATTAAACCCCTTCAACGTCATCCAGAAGCCCAAAATCAATATCAACAACGACTGTCTGATGTACGCCGTTCATACCCGAAACTTAGTCCGTATGTTTTGTTGACAAGCTAAGGGACCCAAAGCAGTGGCAAACACGTGTCAAGTCACAAAAGCTTCACTAAATCAGTGCTCCAACGAAGTGACCATGAATCATTCATTGTGTTTTACCTATTACACTAACGCCTCTAAGCCCAATGCAGTCAACCCAAACCAAAGAAATGAATGGTCTAATCTATCCAGAACTAAACAGCACCAGTCGAGACCATCTTGTTGCGGAGATGCTTCTTGTAGTCGGCGATGCTGCCATCCCAGCGGCGAATAGTCTTGTTCTCACACACCATGATGTCCTTTGCAATTTTATCGAGCAACCTATGGCACACATATTAGCGATAATACTTCGGGAAACGAGGGGGTTGAAGCTTACCTGAAGTCGTGAGAAACAACCACAACACCACCGTTGAACGCGTTGATAGCATCGGCCAAACTGTCGATAGTTGGGATGTCGAGACCGTTAGTAGGCTCGTCTAACAACAGCATGTTAGGGCTCTCGATGGCTAACAGCGCAAATACGATTCTGCTCTTCTGTCCTTCGGAAAGCGTGCCCATCTTGGCAGTCTGCGACTCTCCGCTGAGGCCGTACTTGCCTAGCTGCTGGCGCCAGTACTGGTAGTCCTGGCTCTTGTCCGAGTATTTGTCGCGGACGAAGTCGAGGGCAGATTTGGTGAGGTCGAGTGACTCAGAAGAGTGCTGTGTGTAAACACCGAGCTTCAAGTGAGTGTGACGAGATACGGTTCCTTGAGTTGGGGAGAGCGCGCCGGTGAAGATACGGAGGAGGGTCGATTTGCCGACACCATTAGGTCCGACGAGAGCAGTCCGGGAGTCCATGTCGACACCAAAGTCCAGGTTTTCGTAGAGGTTGTCTTTCTTGTTTCCAGAGTACGAGAATGTCACGTCGTCTAGCGACAAGACAGGAGGTGGGAGCTTGTCGACGTCGGCGAACCGGAAGGTGAAGACACGATCCGTAGCAACAGGTTGGATAAAGCCGTCGGCCTCCATCTTGTCTAGGATCTTCTGTCGCGATTTCGCTTGCCTAACCAAGTTGGCATATGTACCAGCGGAGGCGATGAACTTCTTGATGTGCTTGATCTCGTCCTGCTGCTTCTCGTAGGCCTTGCCTTGGTTGATCTCCTGCTCAGTCCTGGTCTTCATGTACGAGTCGTAGTTACCACCATAGTACAGAAGTTGCTTCAGACGCATATCGATCATGTTTGTGCACACGCCGTTCAGGAAATCCATACTGTGCGACACCAAGATCAGAGTACGATCCCACTTCTTCATGTATTCTTCTAGCCACACGCAGGCCTCGAGATCCAAATGTGCGGTGGGGTCGTCGAGAAGGAGGAGGGAAGGCTTGACGAAGAGAGCCTTGCCGAGTGCTACTCTCATTCTCCAGCCACCGGACATGTCCTTTGTCTTCTTGTGAATGGTGACCTTGTCGAAACCGAGACCGGTGAGAATGAGAGAGGCGCGGGTGTGGAAAGTCGACGGGTCCATTCCTTCCATGCGCTATACATGCGTTAGTTTCGTGATAGAGTCCTTGAGTGGGAGACGACGTACCTCATAGAGCTCATCCAGGATCGGGCTGTCAGGCCCATCCCTGTCCAAAATGTCCTCAGCCAGCTTCTCTAGCCTCGCCAACTCGTTTTCGGCCTCCTTGACAACCCATTCTAATGCACCCAACTCGGATGGCGGGGCACCCTCGTTCAGTAGGTAGATGTCGATGTGCTCAGGGAAGGGGTACTCGCGCTTGTCGATAGCCTTTAGGAGAGTCGACTTTCCGCATCCGTTCTCACCGAGGAGCCCGTACCGACGGCCGTAGTTGACCTCGAGAGTGGTGTCGTTGAACAGAACTTTGCCGTGGAACACGAGCGAGGCGGACGTAATCTTCACATCGCGGGAGGCCTCGAGGGATGACAGCACACCTGTCGTCACCCGGTCTGAGATGCCGTCTTTGTCTTCTTGGAGTTTCAACTTCTGGAGGACCTCGCTGTTCTCGTCGACCTCGTCGTCGTCGTCGCCGTTGACGGACGAGGCAGTGGATGCGTTCTTGGAGGCAGCGCGGGAGCCGACCTTGGAGGCGGCGGTCTTCTTGGGTTCCTTGCCGTCGGCGACCTTTTTGGCCATGCGGGCAGCTTTCGATGCGGAAACCATAGTGACTGATGGGTGAGATATAAGAAAAAGCGGTGGGGAGGAGTGCACTGGAGTGCTTTGTAGAGCCTGGCGAGGAAGAAAAAGAGTATTAAAGGTGGGCTGTGGCGGGGCATGTGGGCCGTTATCGCGACGCACCAATCAGATAGCCGTCTAGACAGTCGGAAAACACCTTCACCGTCGTGGCATTGTAGAACTGTCTACTCCGTTATACCTGGGTATCGCCAACGAAGCCTCTCACCAGTTCCGAGCAGATAGAAAAGGTACGCGGTGCTTACTCCAAGTTTGGCTTGTACATTCTTATCTCTTCGGGCTTTTAGAAGCTATTGCTCAGTCCTCGTACAGTCCCTCGCTATAGTTTTCATACCTCTGTAAGTGGTATGTAACTGACGCAGCATCCTCTGCGTTGGCCTGGCGAGTTTCCAGACTGTGAAAACTAACGGATGTTCGATTCAGTTCGGATCCTGGAAAAAGGAAGCCCCAATAGCGGCAGAAGAGTGTGCGGAAACCTGTGATGAGGCACTGTACATGCAATACTATACTGCATCCGGAGACTGAACTTAAAGCATCAGCAAAAGACGGCAAACTGACGGTAGTCGAAATGGTCTCACGGGTCAGAGGTGGATTTTGAGGTACAAAACTCAAAATGCAGGGCTGAAATTTTCCCAACCGGTCCATAAGGGGTCAAGATCGGCGCTAGTGAATAGGGCTGAGGCAGTCCTCGCTCCCCCATCACGGCGACCATCGCGATTAGTAAGACCCTAACTGTACTCAAGTAGGACAACCAGTGTTGCTCGAGTAATCCTCTCTTTGAAAACTATCTCTATGTTCTCTCACACGCTTTTTCCACCACAGTTGGAGCGATCTAACTTGCATCCATCACATCATCTCTGTTTAGTCAAAGTATGCGTTTCTTCTCAATACTGTCTCTTCCATTGTCAAGACATCCATCTACGTGCCGTGCTATAATGCATATAGATTCCTGGAGTCCCGAGGAGATGCTTCACCACGATGGCTCTTTGTACATAATCGTTACGTTATAGCGAGCTCGGCCCCCTCACGATTCTTCTTCTGGTCAAATAATCTTCGTCATACCGCAAGACGTGCTCTGAAAGAAGCCTCAGCATCACCATGGCACCCGTAACAGTGGATGGCGTGCCGGTGCAATCTAATTGCTCTAAAGACTGGCTGTGGTCACGTTTCATATTGTACCTCTATTTCCGCTTTCCAGGAAACATCCTCGCTGCCCCGAAGTTTAATGACTCGCTATACTCCTGTGCACCCGTACACAGTGCTATACCGACTTTTTGTGAGAGGATCGAAGGTAGTACGCGACTGGCTTCATTAGTGACTTATGCGCGAAAGAGGGGGAGCCGTGGGCTACCGGATGACTGCTTGTTTCTCTTCCTGACAGCCTCATGCCATGGGAATCCTTGAACCATATCCCCTCTGGAGCAGTCCTCAGATACCTCTCCAAATTTTCCTGCGTCCTTCATTCAGGTGCGCTCAAGCATGTCTTCCTCACCACGCACCTGGAACTTCAACACCGACCGCTACCTCAACCGCCTCATACCCCCCTCGCCCCTTCGTAGCATCCCATATCCAATAGCACACTTCCTCGGCTACCGCAGAACGCCTCCAAAAGACGTCGGGAACATACTCGGCGCCGTCTTCGCCTTCATAGGTGCATTCGTAGGCCTACTCGCGATAGCTGGCCTCTTCAACTACACTGCCCTCAAAGACTTAGATGGCCCAGTGCTAATCGCCTCCTTCGTAAGATCTCCTACTTCACTAAACCATCTTCCCCCAATCTCCCTAACATCTCTTAGGGCGCTTCCGCAATTCTAGAATACAACACCCTCTCCTCCCCCTTGGCTCAGCCCCGCAACACCCTCCTAGGCCACGCCCTCTCCGCTACCATCGGCGTGGGAATCACAAAACTATTCGCTCTCTCCTCCCTGTCCCACTCCTTCTCCCATAGCCTCGCCTACATCCCAGCCGCCCTCGCATGCGCCCTCTCCTCCGCTGCCATGCTGTTGACTAATACCGTCCATCCGCCTGGTGGCGCCAGCGCTGGTACATATACTCCAAATCATTGTTCCCTCTTCACACACAACTGCTAACCGTGACTATTCTAGTCCTCGCCGCTACGCTCCCCGATGTCATAAACATGGGCTGGCCCTTTGTCGGCCTCGTCACGCTCGGCAGCGCGGTTATGCTCGCTGTCGGGCTACTAACGAACAATCTCATGCGGCGCTTTCCGGTGTACTGGTGGACGCCGGATGATCTGAGAGGCGGCCGGGAGGAGGAGGGGGATGTGGAGAAAGAGGGAGAAGAGAGGGCTGCGGTGACGGTGACGAGGGAGGGGATGCAGGTGCCAGAGTGGTTGGTGTTGGATGTGGAGGAGATGGGGCTGTTGGAGAGGTTGAGGGAGAGGCTAAGAGGGGGCAGGGTTGAGAGAAGGGTGTCTGGGGCGAGTAGTGCGCAGTGTAGTGTTGTGTCGAGTCATGAGGAGGGCGTGATTTGGGGGTTGGCGGGGAGTTCGAGTGAGGAGGGAGTTTTGAGGGGGAGGGAAGAAGTTTAGAGGTGATTCAGACGTTCTCAGAAATAATTTGGATTAGCAATGGCGTTGGTGACGCTTATGGCTTTGTATGGGAAGTACAAATTAATTGCCGTATCAACCGTGACCATCACGATTGAGCATGAACAGCTATACATCCCTATCTCAACATGGGTATCATATCGTCCTCCTAGCATCTACGATCTATCTCTCCACATGAGGCTCCAGCACATCAAACCTACCCTACCCTTTCTCCCCCTCATCCCTCATCCCCACTCTCACTCTCGCTCTCCCTCCTCCGTCCCCGTTTCCTCTTCACCCCCACCGCATTCGCGCCCGTGAAACTCGCACTCCCATCCTCCACCACCTCCTCTTTCAACCCAAACACATACGTCCTCGCTGCCCGCTCCTCCCCTTTCCACGCACTCCCCTTCCCCTCTATCGCCCCAACCGTCCGAGCATGCTCATACCCCGGATACGCCTCCCACGGAAACGCAAACGAGGTGATCGACTTCAGCCCCACGTGCCTCGCGAGATCTTTAATATTCCACAGCGTGTACGGCTCCGCATCAAACAGCGTGACAAGAATCGTACTACTCTCCTTCGCTAGCTTCGATGTCGGCGTCTCTTCTACCTCCACCCGCTCCTCAGGGTCTTCCGGGTACGCATCCTCATCGTCATCCTCATCTAGCTCCCGATTGCGGCGGCAGGACGACGGCGGCGGGGCGGGCGACAGCAATTTCTTCGCCGACTGCAGGAACTTGACCAAAAGCTCTTGGTTGTATCGCACCTGGCGGTTCACGTCCGTGGAGAGGCCGCCTGTGTGCGGGAAGTTGAAGACGACGCGGTCGTATTTGTAGGTTCTGGCGGCGCGCGGGAGGGTTTTGGAAAGGCTGGTGGCGTCGATGCCGTGGTGGATGCTGCTTGTAGGCACGGCGGTGATGGAGGAGAGGTGCGCGGTGCAGTGGGGGTATTTGGAGAGGAGGGCGGGGGAAGAATCGAAGCTGGTGGCCGTGAGGGAGGTGCAGTGGTGGTGGGTTGTTAGGGAGGCGGCGTAGGAGAAGTCGCCTGTGGTGGGATAAAAGTTAGAAGCTGCGGTTGAGGCATTGGGGGGGTACGCGCCTTCGCCGACTAGGAGTATTCTCTCGTGTGGGTTGAATGGGATCGTGGGCTTTACGATTTGGGGAGAGGGTTTTGAGGCTTTGGCTTTCTTGGGGGTTGGGCCGGTAGTTGTAGGTGGGAGTTTGCGCTTTAGGGTTTTGGAGGCTGGGGGGGCTTTGGGTTTTGCGCTGTGTTTTGAGGTGGCTTTAGTCGAGCGGGCAGCCTTGCGGGCCTTTGCTTTGGACATTGTGGGTGTTCGTTGTGCAATTGTGCGGCGGAGATGGATCGTGGAGGTTGCGGAGAGGTGTCTTGGCGGGGCTTTTGGTGTTGAGTTTTTCACAGTTCTTCATACTCAACTCCATCTTGCTATCCAAATATTACTGTTCATTTGTTCAAAATAGGGTTTGAAAACTTTTGCTACATTTTGATATTCCGATTGAAGCGCCCCGAACAACGGGAACGTATGTCGGTTAGAAACTCATAATGCACCGGAGGACCTCAGACAGTAGTGAGTAATTGCGCAGAGATTTCTGTCCAGATACTATACTCTAGCTGGTGCTCACACAGGCAGGCAGGTCAAGGTCCAGAGGAGGTACTAGCTGCTCATTTACTTGACTCCTCAAAGCCGTTCCATCCTGCTAAGCTTACGAAAAGCAAAGTGTAAAGTTTCTCAATTCTACACTATCAGACAATGAGTTGCCTCCAAAAGTTTTACACCCGAACTTTGCCCTCCTTCCAACTCCCCATGAACCCATCTCATGATATGTACTTCACCACGCCCAGCCCAATCACCATGGAACTTTGAGACACTGGGAAGGTTCGAGCGCTAGTTTCAAACCGTGAAACTCTTCTCAATCTAGCAAATATCTATTGCGACTCTTCTTCCTTCACATCTTCCTCCTTCAGCTTTCCTTCTTTCACCTTCCAAGCCTTTCTTTGAGCCTCAGTCTCTCTGTCGCAATTCTGCTCGCACAAAACAGCATGCCAGTGACACCAGTGTGCTAGGACGTGTGTCCTCGCATGCTCTGCCTCCTTCGCGATGACCCACTCTAGATCCTGTGGAGTGGATACTGGACCCTCCAAGAAAGGTCCCTCGGAGCGTTTTCGAAATTGGGTATACAACATGTGAGCGAACGTCTGATCGTGCTTCGTGAGCTTTTCCCAAGCCTCGAAAGAAAGCTCGTCCATGAAGTATAATGCCATGTGAAGCATGAAATACCAAAGCGGATCCTTATACCAGAGCGCATCGTTACACCAAAGCGGATCCAGATAATAACATGGATTCTTACGTTCAAATAACGGCTTGGGCTTTTGGATGAAATACAATAACTCTTCCTCGCTTGGGACTTTGGCGTCTTCGAATCTCTGCAGAATGCAGTTCATAGCATCCCGGCGAAGCTGCGGAATGGTGTAATCGAAAGCGAAGCAGTAGAGCTTGATGAGATCAATATTGCCTTCTGGGCCGTTATGATCTCTGTATAGATCTGTGCCGCCTTCGTGCAACCAAGTTCGGAAACGAGAAAACGTTTTGTGTGATGTTATTACGCAGAACGAGGTCACAGGGTTGATCATCCTGCGCGCAAGGATTTTACGAAATGGGGCCGAGCGCTTCCATATGATGTGACGACTGACCGCGAACGTTTTCTGACCGTGGGCTTCATCATTTACCCTGACGAAGACAGCTTGTCCAATTTGGCCTTGTGGGTCTTCCTCAACATCAGAGCTGATGTCATCATCTTCATCTTCCCATTTGTTAATATCTTCATCCGCTTCCTCGTCCTTCACGTCTTGGTAGTCTTGGTAGTCTTCTTTCGCTTCACTATCCTCTTCCTCTTTTATGTGATTATTCATCTCGTCGTTGTGTTCCACTTTCATTCTGATCTTCACTTCATCATCTTCGTCTAATTTGGTAGCCACTTCGCCGCCGCCTTCGTCTGCGCGTCGACGTTTCGTCTCCTGGCTGGACTGATAGTGTTCCATTTACGGTACGGAAAGTCGTTGGACAAATGGCCGGAGATGAATCCGATTGTGGGTGTACAAGGTACCCTATACGTCGTGATGCGGATACAAATATATATCGCACCAATGTTAGCGAAACGACTGACGAGAACAAATAACGCACAATAAAGAGCACTTTGCAAACACAAATAGAAACAGAAACGGAACTTCTTGGGCTACTGACTGCTGTTTCTGGCGACAGATAGCAATTACAGCGTAGCACGAATGAGATGGGAACTTGTCTCTTTGACTTTGTCTAAATGACTAATGTAAGGACTGGGCACAAAGCGTGGCTCTATCCCGAAAGCTTGCCCATTCTCCAAGCCTCCCTTTGCGCTAAAGTTTCCTGCTTGCAACGCCTTTTTTCTTCTTCAGGTAGATCATCACACTCATTCCAATCGTGCCACAACGCAAGGATCAGTTCTTTCGCCGTTGCAGCGTCCCTCACAATGAACTCTCTATGACCCTGAATATACGCCTCTCTTGACCTCATATGGTAGAACCAGTAGATATTGTGGGTGAATTCCTTCTCAAGATCGCACCAGCTTTCAACAAGCCCGTCCTTCATGAAATAAACCTCCATGTGAACCATGAACCAGGATAGTGCATCTCCAGAGCCCATTAATCTAGCAGTCAACACGAGATCATTCTCGCTTGGAATGATAGCATCCTGAAACCGTTGGAGAAAGCAGTTCATGACGTCGCGTTGAAGACGGGAAATGTCGTACTTTTGGCCCAGTTCATAGAGCTTGATTAAATCAATTTCATATCCCTGATCCTGATGGCCCTGGTAGATGTCGCCGCCACAAAGCCAATTTTGGAATCGACGACAGGTACTTTGCGATGCCTCTACGGTAATCAATGTATCGCGACTTAAGGATCTTAGCCGACTGGTCCGATCTACGTATTTCTGGAACCGTTGCTTTTCGACACTAAAGATATAGGAAAAATTGGTTCGTCGTCTTTCACACAGACTTGCAACGTCTCGCGAGAATCTTGCATATCGTCTTCCATCCCGGCTGCAGCTTTGACAGGTGGCAATGCCATTTACACGAGAGCTCGATTTCACAGAAGTTGGTTCCCGAAAGTATGAATATTCGAGCAAGGTCTCCCTCGAGCTTCATCTTATATGGAGACCAGCAAACTGATTGACAAGAATAGGAGACCTTTGACGTAGGCCTTGTTAGCAAATGGGATGGGACCTGCCTGCTCTTGCCAGTGGCAAAACAACTCGTGCTGAGGTGACAGTCCTTTCTCACATAGTTTTCTACCTAAACAAACATTACCGAAAGCACTTAGAAGAAAATGGCCAACAGTGCAAGATATGCTCTCTCCACGAGTTGACGTTCCTCACTAGCGCGCCAAAATAAGCCTAGCCTCTCGACAAGTCTTGGCGCGCCCACAGACAACCGAAATTCTTGCCCGCGGCCTCAGTCCGCTTCATCGACAACAATCCCATCTCGACACGGACATTCACGATGCCGGTAAGTTTGAATCTGAACCCTCGAAACTATTCCTCCATGTCGGCGACTACGCGGGATTGATTCTGTCGGTTGCGGAAGTGGATGAAGTTGTCGAATATGGATGCTAATGGACAATCCACAGAGCCACAAGTCATTCCGAACCAAGCAGAAGCTTGCGAAGGCGCAGAAGCAAAACAGACCTATCCCCCAGTGGATCCGCCTGCGGACGGGCAACACCATCAGGTACGGCGATTTTAAGAACCCACCCACAGACGAGGACCTGCGAGCGGAGGATTGAGGGGCTGGGCGACACCAAGACCTCACCGCGGGCGAGATTACATGGGGATCTTGGGACTCTACGCATGAGAACAGCCAGCTGACGAGACTCTTCTCTACAGATACAACGCCAAGCGACGACATTGGCGCAAGACCCGCATCGGCATATAGACGACTCGCCCCTCCGACCTGTTCCTCATACATCGATCCCTTGACCAACCTTTTCGTCAATGACAGGGGAATGAGCAAGTTTCACGACGAGCGGGCGGACGATCCAGTCAATTTCTTACGGATGCGAGGAGCAAAAAATGAGGACGAGGGGATGTGGCGATGATGGCATTTTCACTTCGGTCATTCGAAACGGAGGCGCTTGGGCTGCGGACAGAGACATGATACCGGATGCTAGGCAGTGAACGTCATACACTTGCTTGTCCGTACACTGGAGTTTGATATTTGATGTGTTGACTTGGATGCCATACTTTATGCGCCTGCTCGATGAGAGCAATGAAGCTCCCGTGTCTCATAACTCATGGTGGCCTAACTCCTCTTCTCCGCTATTAGGAACACGACTTTAGAGTAACCGATGCAGCCTTTACCACCTGGCTCGCGCCATCAACTGTCTAGATATTCGTCGCAAGCTGGAACTTCGGCCGCTGCATTCAATTAGCACTCTCCAATCCCAAACTCCGAGACACTGCACTCACCATATTGGTATCCACAACTAAACACCTCTCCTCCGCCCTTCCCAACGCCTCATACATCTTCACCCCCTCCCCATCCACCCTCAACACACAACTACTCCCCGCATACCCCGTCTCCCTCTCCCTCCCACACCGATTCGCCAGCACGATTGTCACCGCCGCGCCCGACTCCTTGCACCGATCCACCACCGGCACAAACCGCTGCACCCAGTAACTCAGCGTCGCGAAATCCGGCTCCCTCGCTGTCCCTTCCGCATCTAGCTCATCCGGCTCCAGCGCCGAGATCCACGCCATACTCACGCATATCAGCGGGGAGCGCGCAGCTAGCGCGGCATTCGAGAACTCGTATGCTGTGAAGGGCGCGAGGAACTTGTGCGGGTTGATGTCCATGCAGATGCCGTGCGTGACACCGCCCAGGTTGCCCAGGGAGCCGGAGTAGAAGGCAGAGCCGGGGAGGGACCAGGTTTCGTCGGTGTAATAGAGGAAGGTTTTGCGGTAGTTGAGGAGGACGGTACCTGAAGGGGAGACGGTAAGGGTGGCGTTGTAGTTCCTGAATTCGTGGGGCCCTGGGGAGGGGGTCGTGCTGGTGGGGAGCATGGGGGCGGGACTAGGGGAAGGGCTAGAGAATGGTTCAGAGGAGCGCTCTGGGTAGCCAACTGTTACGTGGCAGTGGAGACGCTGGGCGGTGCGGATGGCCCATTGGGCGGTTGGGCCTGCGGCGGTGGGTTCGAGGTAGGGACGGATATGGTCGAGGGAGGGGAAGTTGTAGCCTTGATTATGATTAGATGGTTAGCTAGGCGTATTGAGGATAGAGAAGAAGTAGATGATGGCGGAGAAGCTTCTTGGAATAGACTTAAAAAATGATACGAGCTTTTATTAATTCATGAGGTCTGATATCTCGATGGTGCGCGTCCATATGACACTGTTCCACGTCCTAGCGCGCTTCCAGAGCTGCAAAGATGACTCAAGAAGAAGAAGAAGGAGCTTATAAATACCTGTGAACGCGCATTCAGGCAAGATGAGCCAGTCCAGGTTCGATGGAATATTTGTGTGCGAAAGGATCTCGTCTGCTCGGCGCATATTCTTCTCAACTAGGCCCAGTTCGGCTGAGAATTGGAGACATGCTATCTTCATGATGAATGAACAAAATCTTAGGACCTTGAAAATTAACAAGTGAAAATAAGACGAAAAGAGTGCGACAATGACTACAGAAACTTTGAATATTGCTTATTTCAATGGTATGGAACGATTGGCGAGAGCTTATGGCGAATACATCTCGATGTGATCTTACTGGATGTATTTGAAGTTAGGGTTAGTGGTTTTGATACAACTGTAGAAACTCTTCATCATATCCCGTTGATGCAGCGGCGATGGACGTCTGAGGTTGGGCCTAGATGCCGATCACGTGCGGTACCTTTTCGCGCCTAAGCTTCGATTGGCGATGACGCTTTCGTCTTTCAAGCTTCAACATTCGATTGTATCGTCCGAGTGCTAATTATCTAGAAAAATGTTTCGAATATCATAGCCATTGGCACCAGCTCAATGGCAGGCCGACGGATCATCGACGCCGCGAAGTTGTTCAATGCCTCCAAATCCGTAGCTAAGCAGCATTTGAACCTCCGCTCGCAGCAGCTAGACGCATTCAATAAGACATCCACACTCGCGAAAGCCATCAAGGACCAGACGGATAGGATAACCCTCACCGCGAAAGCTGCGATAGCATTATCCCAACGCTTCAATGAACCTCCGCCTTCGTATACCAAGTCTACCGCATCGGACGAGAATCCGCCAGCACAGGATGGGAACATTGCGAGGAAGGAGATGGTAGACGGAGAATGGGTACGGAAAGATATACAGAGGGAGTCGGAGCAAGACCGTTACTATGATCAGTCTGCCCAAAATACACAAGCGGAACCGCCAGCAGAGGACGAACTAGAAATAAAGCAAGAGGAGGCACAGCGGCGCCCATTGCCAGATGGAACCATACCTGTACCGTCCAAGACCTCGGGATTATCTTATGGAGAGGCCCGCAAGCTTCAACGGGAATTCGAATCGCAAATACCTTCAAGAGCAGGTGAAACACAACCTTCGTTACGATCTACAACGGAAAAGCTGTCCGAGGGACACGACCGTGATGTTTTCTACGACAGATCTGCGGAGACGAAACCGGAATACTCCTCGTTGCCGAGATCGAAGATACCGAAGCATACAGAAGACATACAGGGAAGCGACGAGCACGTCCGAGATGGGAGTTTGAACCAGGACGTGTTTTATACTACTACGCCACGGCGGGCTCAACAGGAGGGACAGAAGGAACAGATTCCGCACCAAGCGGCTGTTCCGGAGCAAGATCACGTGCCGGAGGGAATCAATACAGATGTATTCCGTACACCAAAAGTGTCAAAGATGTTGGGCGGGAATCCCTACAAGGACAGGCCAAGTCTAGATCTGAAAGACTCTCGGAAAGCACCAATTGATCGTACCAAACTTGCCTCTGCAATGGATCAAGCTACGTTCAATGTCCGTTCATCTCAAGAAACGAAGCCTACGGTACCAGAGCAGGCCTTGAGTAGTATTCAAGCAAATGCGGAGAAGGAAATGCATTATTTTGCCTCTGAACTTGCCAAAGACGCCGAAGTTTCATCTTCACCCACGCCACAGGTAGACCCAGTTGAAAAAGCGCCTTATGAATTACGCCAGTCTCGAGTGCCTTCCTCGAGGTTTGGTCGGCTCTGGCAGTATGGTGGCTTGGCAACTAGTATGGCATTTGGTGCTGTGGGAGAGAGTCTCAGACGCGTGACTGGTACTGCTGCTGCAACAGGAGGCTCTCTTATGCTGAGTCCGGGTAATATGGAGATCCTAGTCGCAAAGCTCTCTCGTATGCGTGGTGCTGCACTGAAGCTGGGGCAAATGATCAGCTTTCAAGGTAATGAAGTTTCGATCAATGTTACCATGCTGTTCTTCTGACGCCAACTAGACATAAAAATGCTCCCACCACCAATCCACGAAGTCCTCCAGCGCGTCCAAGACAGTGCAGACTATATGCCTGCCTCTCAACGTGATAAAGTCCTCGTTGACAACCTAGGACCTACTTGGCGCGATCTCTTCTCTTCCTTCGACGAGGTCCCTATGGCTGCCGCTTCCATCGGCCAAGTTCACAAAGCCGTCCTCCGCTCCACAAATCAAAGCGTCGTAGTTAAGGTTCAGTATCCAGGAGTCGCCTCCTCCATTTCCTCAGATCTCTCCAATCTCTCCATCCTCCTCACCGCCTCTCGCCTCCTTCCAAAAGGCCTCTACCTCGACAAAACCATCGCCAACGCACGCACTGAGCTCGGCTGGGAATGCGACTACAAGCGTGAAGCCGAGTGTCAAACTCGCTTCCGCGACCTCCTAGCAGATGACACTGAAGTGTTTTCTGTCCCTGCTGTAGTCGCTTCTGCCTCTGGTCCAGCTGTTCTTACCGCCGAGTACATGTCCGGCGTCGGGGTTACCAAAATCACAACCCTCTCACAAGAACAGCGCGACTTCATCGGTACCCATATCTTACGCCTCTGCCTGCGCGAGATCTGCGAATTTCATTTCATGCAAACGGACCCTAACTGGACTAACTTCCTCTATAATGAAAAAACCCACAAAATCGAGTTGCTCGATTTTGGCGCATCCCGAGATTTCCCAGACGAATTCATAGATCCATACGTCCGCATACTACAGGCAGCTGCCCGCGAGGATAAGCCTATGATTCACGATCTCTCCCTTACCCTTGGCTACCTTACCGGCGGCGAGTCGCCCGCAATGCTAGAAGCGCACACCCAGTCCGTCCTCACACTCGCGGAGCCGTTCAAAGAATCAGGACCGGACGTGTACGATTTCAGGGACCAGACCATCACGGATCGGGTGCGAAGCTTCATTCCGGTGATGGTGCGGGAGAGGCTAAGTCCACCTCCCGAGGAGACATATAGTCTGCATCGGAAGCTGAGTGGAGCGTTTCTGATGTGTGCAAGACTAGGTGCGCAGGTCAAATGCCGAGATTTATTTGAGCGCGCGGTAGAGGCGTACGAGGGCGGAAAAAAGATGGGCGGGGAAAAGGGATTCGGGTCATGATGTAGGTTAGTGTAAGACATGTATAGTACCAAAATGCGCATCACACTTCGTTTTGTTCCTCTTGTCTTTCCGTCGCACGAGACTAGCTTGTTCTAGCAGGACATGTGACTTCACAAGTGATGGCATGGTATAAATTCCTCTCCCCCTTCACGCAGGAGAACTTTCAGTTCAAATGAGCAGGGTGATTCAGTCTCATTTTCAGCAAAATCCGGACGAGATCTGCCTCATGTCGCGATTTTAAAGTTGGCGTTGGGGGTTCAAAAGTCCCGGTGCAGCACATCATGGCTGGGGATCTGGGCTTCGTCGCTGGATCACACGCATCATAGTAAATCGCCGCTGATACTCTTTACCGAACTTGTCTCATGATGCCATTTCTTTCTAGATACTGTGGCTGAATACCACCTAATCACTTGAGAATGCAGAGCATCATCATTCTTGAACATTTTCGAACAACATCGAATGGTGGCTGCAACCATTTCGCTTCTTCCCATGTTGACAGCACAGCCTTTGCAGTTGAAGAGCACGAGGTTTGATCCAGCACTACTCCATCACGAGAAACATCAGCGTGTATTTCCACCGCGCAAGAGCCATAGAGAAATAGTCTATCGCGGGTTCGAACATGCAGAGGTAGACATTTTGATCTTCCACCCCTTCCAGTCCACATTGACTCTGATAAGAAACAAGAATGAGAGCGAGTGGATTATGTTTTTATATCCTGAGAATAAACAGGTCACGTGGGTACCAGGTCTATCAAGGCCTACCTCAAATGTTGAGGAATGAGATATCTGGATATACGAGTTCTATATGCCATCCTAAACTATGCTGAATACCTCTGCAATAACCCTTTAGTATCTTCAACCATCCTCACCATCCCCTCCACTCTCTCCCTCACAGAATCCCACATCACGTCCATCAACCCTCTCCCATCCTTAGCACCATCCCCTAACCCCATCCCCTCCCCCACTTGCCCCCACAACTGCCCCGCCAACATGGTGAAAACAAGCATATACAACGAACTCTCCGTTTTCGACACAAGTGGCGTGTCATTATCCACCCGCACGGGCGGCGACGCGATCGAGCCAACTGAAATTCGAGGCAGGATGATCGCCCAGTCGCGGCCTATTACTGGTGTGGCGGAATGCTCGAGGCAGAGGTATATTTTCTCGAAGATGGAGGCGTAAATGGTAGCTAGGCGGGTGAGAGAAGAGGAGAGGAGGAGGAGGGTGGGTTCGTCGACGTGGGCGAAGAGGGCGGTGGGTAAAGAACTTGGGAGAGGGGTTGTGTTGGTGCTGAGGGATGGGTGGGTGTATGTGACGAGCGGGAGTGATGGCTGGGTGGAAGGTTGTGTTAGATCTGTAGACGATAGAGGAGGGTTTGCCGTGGGCTCTTCGACAGAGAGGTCTTTTACGACCTCGATAAAGTCCGTCGTGAGCCGGAATAGTTCGTCGAAAGCAAACACGGTTGCTTTCTGTGATTTCCGGGGATCTCCTCCGGCAGATATGATGCCTTCTTTGCTGACAGATGGAATCTGAGCGGCGCATTCGTAAAGTGCGACGTTGAGGGCTGCTAATTTGTGAACGGCGGAAGTAGGAGAGGTCTTCGGGTAGTCTTCCGTGTTTTGATACTCGATTCTGGAATCCGATATGGATATTCGAGGCGAGGGACGATTCCCTGCGTAGATCATGGTGTCTTCGTTGACATTCGTGAGGTTTGCATCGGCCATTTGGTTCGTAGTCATCATATCGCCGTAATTGGTGGACCAATCCATATCTAGTATACTCTGTTTTGAAGGTCCACTTCCATTCGAATAGCAACTATCCGGATACATTGTCCCTACGACGATCAAGTTACTTCAATTGTACTTGAGCTTTGACAAGAGGGAAGTAACTAACCTCTTCCTTCGGCGAAACTCGTTTCTACCCTAAAAGGAGACAGCCAGTCATCATCAAGCATGTCACCGTACATAGCATCTGGATCTACGTTCGGTGTTGGCGTCGATGCAAGTACTGTAAGCGACTGCCAGTCCGTGATTTGTTCCGGAGGCTTCAAGGATGAACGAGGCGCACGAGGGCCATATCGGCATGCCGTCTTTAGTCTGGAACACCGCTCACAGATGTCGGATCCTGGTTTACGAACACATCGAAGCTTCTGTGAATGGCATCGGTTGCATGCTGAGCGAGTCTTTGTGGACCGGCTGGTGGAATTAGAGGAAAATTCAGATACCGCTGACGCCGAAGCCGCAGGAGGATTCGTAGCGAGATGCATGCTCAGAAAGGGTCTCAAGACCAAAGAATGAGAGAAATAAAATGGAAAGACCGAGAACGAGAAAGACAACTACGGTTGGTACGTAAGAGCATATTGTTGAGCTGGAATCGTTCTAGTATATGCAGGTGCGGCGGCATCATGCACGTTCGGTGTTTTTAATAGAGAGCTTAAGTGGTGTGGACCCAAATATATCTCCTAACCACACAGTCCCCTTTACATCGTCCGACTTTATAAGCAGTGGTAAGTTCTCCTAGAAATAATGTCCCCCATAATCTTCCGTTCAATTAAAAACCCTCCCATACCAAACCTTCCTATCGTACTATCATTTATTTGAAAATACTCCTTCCATAACTTTTCCTTCCTACTCAAAAATGGTCTCCCTCCCGGCAGTCCTACGCTCCAACTCCCTCATTCCCTCCACCCTCCCTCCCAAACTCGTCGCCCTGTTCGTTGGCGCCACCAGTGGCATCGGCGAAGCCAGCCTTTTAGCCTTCGCAAAAACCGCCGTTAAACCACGCGCCTACTTCATCGGCCGCTCCCAAACCGCCGCCGACCGCATTCTCGCGGAGTGCAGATCCCTAAACCCAGCTGGCGAGTTCATCTTCATACAGAAAGATGTGAGCTTGATTCGCAACGTGGATGAGGTGTGTAAAGAGATCAAAGCGAAGGAGAAGTTCATCAACATAATGGTGCTAAGTGCCGGGGTACCGGTAATGGATCGGAGATGTAAGTGAACTCGCAATATGAAGGTGCTAAGTTAGATTTGGGGACGTTTAATTAACCTTTCGTGCAGTGACGTCTGAGAATCTTCATCTCTTAACGGCAACGACATACTACTCTCGACTCCGCTTCATTGCCAATCTTCTCCCGCTCCTCAGATACTCCCCTTCCCCTCTCAGTCACGTTGTTTTTGTTGCAGGCGGCGGTAGAGAAGGGCCTCTCGATTCCACCGATTTCCCCGCTCTGCGCGTTCCGCTGCTTCAGATCCGAGGGCATCTCACGTCGCTGATCACGTTGGGTCTTGAGGCCGTCGCTAAACTAGCGCCCGAGGTGACCTTCGTACACGACTATCCAGGCACCGTGAAGACGCCGCTGATGGATCACATGGATGGCTTGCATGGATTTGTTATTCGGACGTACGTGGCGCTGCTTGGGAGGTGGGTCTGTGTGCCAGTTGAGGAGAGCGGGGAGAGGCATTTGTATCTGGCGACGAGTGCAAGGTATCCGCCGGCCAAGGGCGGGGAAGCGGGGATTGGAGTAGAAGAGGGGGTCACTGGGGTGGCGGTAGGTAGTACGGGGGAGGTGGGAAGCGGAGTGTATTCGGTGGGGTGGGATTGCGAGAGTTCGGGCCCGCAGGTGATTGAGCTTTTGGCTGGGCTGAGGGAGAAAGGCATGGTGGAGGAGGTTTGGAAGCATACGGAGGGGGAATTTGAGCGTATTACTGGAGTATCTAAGGGGATATAGGTGCGAGGAATAGCCTTTGATGATGATCGCGTTTTCTAGAGATGCTTCACATGCTATTTGTTGGCTAATTTTGCTCTCTGCGTGATAATTTTTCACTGTCTGCGGTTTCACAACCAGTTTCCAAAATTCTACTTGAGGGATCAGTTCATCATCTTCCAAGATGAGCTAACTACCTACCTCTGCTGCAGCCTGAGTAGGGATAAAAAAGAGACAATAAGCCAACTCCTTGGCTTTGTACTGTCAAATACACCCAAACTTATATACCCTTGTACACTGGCATGAGAGCATTGGAAGGGTCATCTGAGTCGTCGCTCTCTTCGTCAATTTCGCGAGACCACTCCCAATTTGGGGGTAAAGTAACTTCCAAAGCGACCAAATCTGACCCAAGCAGGAACCCTTTTTGACAGCATGCTCTCATGAGCGTGGACTCCGTCATAGATTCCCATTTCCATAGATCCATTTGAGCCCCATATTTGTCCACTGCAGTCTGCCTATACAGCGAACCATTTTGTGGCAGCTGAATGATGTGCTTTCCAAACTCAACGCTGCTGGTCTTTTCAATTACGTCTTTTAGTCCCAGCTTCCGTCGCTCTCCATCGGTACCTTCGCCCCGAGGCAATCGCATATGGTTATATCCTAAAACCCATGTCGAAAGCCCCTCTTCTATTGCGTCGTCCGCCCAATACCGATTACGGAACATATGGTCTTTACCGGCGGTATCCCGCAGGACCCACATTTCTAATTCGTCGCTCCTGACTGGCCATTTGTACGGGATGAGTGATGTGGTATTAGACACGATGTCGCGGATGGCCCATGTGCTCCAAGTTATCTTCGTGCCCCATCTAGGGTTGTGAGTGAGTATGTTGAAGGACTGGAGATGCGGGAAAGTCTTTAGGTTGTAGAAGGACGCCATTTGACGGATGATATCATCGTCCCACGTTTCCGACCATGTGTTGTCCTCGGGATGGATAGTAACTTGACGTAGTGGGTACGATATGTTCACGGCGTTGCCGGTTGCGGCTAAGAACTTGGCGCAGATGTGGGATACGCAAAGGCGGAGCGTATGTAGGCGTGGCAGCAGTACCCTAAGAGCGACGCAGAGATCGTGCTCATCTGTTCTGTGCTCGCTGGCGTCGCGGTAGTCTCTGTTCCCATCCCAGATGCCGGAACGAAGCTCTATGTTCACGACTGTTTCTGGGAGGGCCAGAATGATCTCAGAGAGTATGGCACTAGGCGTGTGTACGTAGTATAGATTTTTGGAGAATTTTGACAGTGAAATTGTGAGAGAGAAGTTCCGTAGAGTAGTCATATGGGGAAGGAACTCGATGAGTTTGTCTCCCTTGAAGGGGGATTTGGGCTCTTTGCTGAATAGAGTGGGACAGACACTGAGGGTGAGTGACTCTACCTGCTGGACTCTGGTAGCTTGAATAACAAAGAGTCGAAGAGGTGAGGTCACTCTCAGGCGATGAGTTAAATATACATGGTTGTAAAGAATGTCCACGACGATGTTGTGCCAACGACGGCAACAGCGCAGACACGAGACCAAGTCGCGGCGAAAACTTAAGAGCATGTCGAAGATGTCTAGCGAAAGCTCGTTCGGGAGCTTGGCTAGTGGACTCGCCATAGTGCCGCACCTGGGAGACGAATTGAAGGTGATGTTAGAAACTGAGTTGGATATGGCGAGGAGATGGGCACCCTGGCACCTGCAGCTAGACGCTGAGAATCGAATCGATGCCCGCTATGGTGCGGATCCAGCACGTGACTGATTTCCAAGTGTGCCATCCGGAAATGTTTGTGCGTCTTAAATCATAGGTTGCATTTGCGTTATAGTGTCCCGGTCTGTGTAAGTTACACAATGCAAGGGATGAGATGTTGACGTGGGTTCTGCTTACTAAGCCGAACGGAAAAGGCTCCGCCCGTCTCAATGTTTATTCTATCGCCACTCGACGTCCTTCCCTCGTACCGCCTTCTGAGCTTGAAAGGCTACGTAGAATCAAGGATCTTCTAACGCAGTTAAACTTGAGATCGCTCCTCATTTGGAGCAATGACGCTGCGTTCAAAGCAACAATGAGCGATTCGACCACATCCAAGAGACAGTTACCGTTGGATGGGCTATCTGGCGGCCAGTCTCCCAAAAGGCAGAGGACGACCAATGCATCTTTGGCGGTTGCAAACACAGAGTCCGTGAAAGACGGAGTTTCTCCCGCGCAACCTGTCACGAACCAGGTCCGATCGATCAGAACCGGGTCGATGTCAGACCGGATTCAGTAAAAGATGGAGTGAATTCTGACGAAAAGGTATCAATCCTTTATTTCATCTCAATGAACAGAGAAGCTGACCGTAGAAGGATCTTGAGATTGTGGAGTTTAACGAAGTATTCGCCGAGACGGATGATGACCTCGAATTCTCCCATACCAAGGTCATAACGCAGCGCAATGGCCAAATTTTCTCTGCCACGATCAAATCCCGAATTCAGAGAAAAGAAGAAATCGATACTTCAAGGCTCAAAATGACTCCAATTCCCCAGGAGCACGTCTACCCAATCCTTCCTACTCAGGCTCCCAGTTCACTTTCTGTCGATGTCTTCATCAAGCGACCCAGCATGATCTCTTATGCCGATTCGAAGAGCTTAACAGAAATCAGTAATCTCAGCATGCATGAAGCACAAATGTGCGAGAGAATATAGAGATCGCCGCATCCAAACGTCGCTAAATATTTTGGTTGTCATATCGACGAGCGTGGCTTGATTATTGGTCTATGCTTCAAAAAATACAACAAAACGTTGTATGAGATGGTCAAAGGTCGCGATACACTTGATGCGCCCAAGTGTTTGAGCAGCATCAAAGCCGGTATCGAGCATCTTCACAGCTTAGGCATCATTCATTGTGATATCAACCCGCACAATATTTTCTTGGACACGTCAACCTTCGTTATTGGGGACTTTGACTCATGTACATTCGAAGGAGACGAGCTCGGGATGAAAGCTGGCACTGACGGTTGGACGAATGATGAATTCGAGCTTGCACAGCGTGAGAACGACTGGTTTGGTTTCACAAAGATTGAAGAATTTCTTTCCTCTTCGAAGGGACGCAAATGAACATGAGAAGGTTAGTTATCAACCGGGATCACTACAAAGGTATCGGATTGTCACATTTCTGGTTGTGGCAAGAAAGGCTTGATTGTTTTCTCGATTGAAAGAATGCATGTTGTATTCAACTCCTCCTGCCGACAAACGTTGACTTGCCTAGTATCGCTCCGAGACGGACTGCGAGAAAGTTCAGAGACACCACGACATACGAAGCCAATCCACCTATCATAATAATGCTCATTCTGCTTCGGGTTCATTGCTTCAAGCAGCGGGAGCAGCGGGTGGTGCGCACTTTACACACGCGCAATCGTCTGAATTTTCGGGGTTGTAGCTCGAGAGGTATTTGCATTTTTGCAGTTGCAGGTTGATATTTTGACACGGTATGTTGTATTATCCTTTCGCCTACGAGTGCGAAATTCACAGTAATTGACGGGATCTTCGATTTGAACCGCTGCACTCGGGTTGTAACAGCTACAACCTAGGATCAACAACTCATACGGTTCACGGTCACCTACGTACAGGTACTCCCCCCCTTCTCTCTCCTTAATTCTCGTTCTTCTTCATTGATTGGTTGCTACTAACGCGCACTCAGCGTGGCGAGGTCCTCTGTTCAGCTACAACAGGTTTCTCTCAGCTGGATTCGTTTCTTTCAGCTGGACTCTATTCAGCTGAGCTGATAAGACCTAGGGGGTGGGCCATTTCCTATTAGTATATATTCGGCCCGTACGGCCACTACAATACAAGCAGAGTTCACATCGATTTCAACCTGAGTGCTGCCATCCTTGATACCTGTTAGCGCTACCGGTGCTTCCGCCTACGACGGAGATGCTTACTTTGGATGGTGCTGAGAGATTCTACTTTATGCGGAGAGCAAGAATTTATGGGATTCTAGCTATACACACTCGTCTATTCAAATCTAAAATAGTTGGGCTTCTTCCCCGCACTTTAAATCTATGGGAATAGAACCAGGCAGCCATAAGGTATTGCTCGTCGAGCTCACCGGAATATTAGTCGCCGCATGTGAGATGTAGATGCGTCGCACATCTTGTTATTCGACGAGACTGAGGAAAAGAGGTACACAATGCAGCAAATAATATATCACTGGAATACTAATCGCCGGATAAGGCACGTAGATGCGTCGCGCATCTTGCTATTCGACAAGACTGAGGAGAATGAAGTTACACAACGTAGAAAATTCTCACCGGAATACTGATCGCCTGATAACGCAGATAGATGCTATTTGACAGAACTGAGGGAAAGGGGGTTACATAACGCGGCAAAAAGTCAGGAGACTCGGCTGGCCAATATCTTGTAGCTCATACTTGTTTTCTGCTGTTGTGTTGGCCGGTAAGGCCTCCTCATCATGATCGGGCTGAGCCGTTAGGCTGACTTAACTTTTGCTATACGGAATCTCGGGGAATAGCTTGTCGAACAAAGGGTGCCGGAGAACTCGACGCAAAGTACTTCAGAAGCGAAGCTCTTAGGGCCCAGGTAAGTGATAGAGTCAAGTGTGAGGGGATAGACCGCCGATCATCTCTTCAAGACCAAAGAAACGGGCACGTTTGGCGAGTCCCAGGGAGAGGCAATAGTAGTAATGCACTCAATTATGGGCGGTAATTGGCTGAAAAGCGCCACTTCACAAAAGCAACGTGACCATCGCCTTCGAGTCCTGTGTTGTGGTATGGTATGGAAAGCTCCACAGAACCCTGCTTGATAAGTTTCAAGTTCGGGAGCTCTCTAAGCACGGTGGAATTAAATCCTGCATAGAGGGACCATGGGTGCAAAGGTCCATTGTCAGTTTCAAAGGCACGCTCACGCCGAACGAGTCGAGACGATGCACTGCTGGACAACCCGCTTGTCTCTCGACGATGTCGCTTCAGGCAGACTCTCGAAGGGACAGGCTCAATTATCGCCGAGCCTTCCGTTCTAAGAGGGTAACGGGGCTAGAGTATCAGAAGGGCTATGTCACGAACAAGCAAAAACAGGAGCCAACGGGACGAAGCAGCCAGGAGGGATGTGAAGGTCGAATGGCACACGGACTACGATAGGTGACACAGCGATCCGCGGGGCAGAACATGTGACACCAAGAAGGTACGTGAAGTTCTCTGCGTGCTCTATGTGCTCTATGTGCTCTATGTGCTCTGTGTGCTCTGTGTGTTCTGTGTGCTCTGTAGTCTTGGCAGACAGAAGACAGAGAAGTTAGAGCCAGGCTCAATTGTATAATAGACGGAAGTATATGATTCCTGGCGGACGTGTCAAGACTTCGTAAGATAGATTAGATTGAACTTGATCTTGTATTGAGGTAAATAAGTGAGCTTCTATGTGTGATAAAAAGAGTGTAAAGTGACGTTGAGAGTTCCTCCGTAGCTACGTAGGACGGAAGCTGATGCTGCTGCAGTTACGAGCTCATACGTGTGAAGCTCTATAGATCCTCTCTCGCTGTCACCCTGTGAATATGCTGTAGATGTAGATGCGGAGATTAGTGCCGAGACTATAGATAATATAGATCTACATAAGGATCCACAGGTCCAAGCTTGTGGGTGAAACCAGCGGACACCTCGACACACTTTTGAGAATCTGAACACAATGTACACTTATGGTCTTGAACAGTGTACGAGCCCGCAAGGCACCTCCAACAGCGCTATTCAACCTCATTAGTCCATGAAAATTGCCTTTCGCTTTGACCCTTTTGCCACCTGCCCACAGGCCCCTGTCCCAATCCCATCCTAGTAGAAGCTTGACCTCAAGGCACTCTCTTGATGGCCCCACGACAGTGATAGAACTGAACTGGATGGATTTAAGCTGGATATAGATAGTTTAGATGGGTTGGAATTGGATGGGCTGGAGCTGGATGGGCTGGAGCTGGATGGGCTGGAGCTGGATGGGCTGGAGCTGGATGGGCTGGAGTCGGATGGGCTCGAGCTGGATGAGCTAGATCTAGAGCTAGATGGATTGGAGCTGGATAGGGTAGAGGTAGATGGAGGCCCTGGAGCCATGGTCGCCTTATCATCGCGCTGTGTAAATCCTTCCCACGGAGTATATCAAATTTTGTGGTGTTGTTTATAACATCTTGAATGATGTACTTATGCCAACTTGCGCCAGGCTGGCTATCTTTAAGCTCGATGAAAACGAAGGACTGGAGATGGGGAAACCGGCGTGGATTGTAGAAAGGTGATATCTGTTTGGCTAAGCCGTCGGTAAACTCGGAGCGGAAACCAGCACTATTATTGTGTGGAAATATGACGGCATGACGGAGAGGATATATAGTAGCTTGATGGGATGTTTCTCCGGATTTCTCAGAGTTCTCTGTGCCGCTAACCAAGTCGGTGAATGGAGCCACGGTATCTTCGCAGATATGAGCTAGGCCGAGGGCAAGTGTATGTAGACGAGGCAGCAGTTGTGCGATAGCGTCGCAAACGCCATTGCACGTTGTCTTGCTAGTGTGGTGGGCATCTGAAGGGATCTCCTCAGCGCCTTCTAAATCGAGCTCCAGATTGACGACTGTGACTGGGAGGACCAAGAGGATCTTTTGAATCACGGAACCTGGTATGTCTTGACGAAAATGTGCTGTGGCTGGCTCATGGTCCATTGTAAGACTCAGGTTGAAATTGATGTGAACTCTGATTTCTATAGACGTCTAGCTAGTTGTATATATACTAGGGGAAGGAAGGGGGCCACCCCAGGGTGGCGCGCTAGTAAGTTCAGATGAGCCCTGCACAGCTGAGGCTTCAGCTCGGTTCTCTACAGCTGAGATTTCAGCTGTGTTCTCTACAGCTGATGTTCGGAGAGTAGCTTTCTGGCATATGAGTTGTTGATCCTAGGTTGTAGTGCTGCAACCTGAGTGTAAGCGAGAAAGTTTCGAGCCGCTTCATATCGGGAAGGACGTTAAGGAGCCCTTCCAAAGATTTTTCAGCGTTCTTGTGTTTGATGCGCAAGCCACCGATCAAAGTGGGATGTATGGTCAGGTTGAGAGAAATGGTCTGGTCGAATTTGCTGGATTTTAGGAAGCGGGGAACCGCCGAGGCAGCCTTGAGCCTGTAGAGCAAGGAAATTTGCGTATAGAGGATGTCGATGATAAGGTCGTCCCAAAGGTGGCGGCAGCGCATGCAGGACACCAGGTCGCTGTTTGGCGTAGTTGAAGTCCTACGGAGCTCGTCGAAAATCTCGACCATGAGCTCGTTCAGGAGTTTATACATCGGAGGCACCATGATCAGAGATTTCGACTGATTACGGCTCTCCATCACCGGTTGCGGTTCTTCAACATACTCCCGTCAGTCTAGACGAGCTATAACGTCGTAATTTTTGAACTATTGTCACAGTACTAAGACATAAGTTTGAGCACATGGATATAGCACCGCTGTGGCTCCACACTTGCTCAATCGACATCACGGTAAGGGCTACTCTATGTAGAAGGCATTAGCTTCGTCGAGGGGTAGTCTAATCTCCACTACGTTGCCCCTTACATCGTATTTAGAGTCTTAAAAGCCTATCAGGGCACCCAAAGCAGCTGCAAAGAAGTGCTCAAACTTCGGGCTGTAGACTCGCCGCGGTTCCTCGAGCGTCGCCGACAAAGTGTAAGCAGAATGATGAAAAAGCGGAGATTGGCTGATTCTTCTATGCCTACGTCAGCCCCAGGAAAATCTATTCAGTGGAGATGACTTGCTCTACATATCATCCATCGCAGCAAGTGCTAGCCAATTGTGGGATTTAAGAAGATTGCACCCATCCAGTGCTCAACGGCGGGAACATAGTGCGAGCTCGCTAGGTGGCCCACTATGACACCTGAGCAGAGTCAGCTCCTCAACGGACTTCTGTTGGAAATCTTCGAAGAGCTCCGCAAAAGTACTCAAGTCATGAGAGGGAGCACAGAAGCTAAAGCAAAAAAGGCGGGTGTAAACAGGGTTGAGCAGGGAGGAAAGGTGGTAGAGAAGGCGGCAGGTGGAGTTAGGTACGATGAGGTAGGCGTATACCATATCTCGAAGCTCGCGGGGGAGGTCGAGGAAGCTTTTGAAGCCGGGTTCTATCTTCTATCTCTTCTAGCTCCTCTTCGTTGGCATCTTCATTAGGTGACTTTGCTCGAGAAACAGGTTGCCTGTCAGTGTATATTAGCAGATGTGCATAAACGTTTGGCGCTATTGCCGCCACTGCTTGGGGTGCCCCAAGGGGCTTTTGTAACTCCATATGCGATGTCAGGGTCGGTGCAGTGGATATCAGGCTGAGTTTTGACTCAATGACTGCTTGCTAGCCAGGGCAAGCCCCATAGTGGTATCGAAAGAGCAATATTGGAGTCAAAGAAGTGAAGTATAGCGATTCCTAGCTTGCGAGTTACCCCACATAGCAGAGATATCCATCAGACAGTCGTCTTCTGAGCCTATGTTGAGCTTCGAAACTGTTTCGGCTTAGCTTACTGGGCCTGTAGCGAGTTAAGTGTTTTCAGCTTCGGGACTCACGAATAGAAGCCCGACCTCCATGTTCAATTGAGATCGGATGTTACGTCTAAGGTCGTACATTTCCCGGAGAACGCTAGTGTCGTCGAATCCCATTTACCCTGTCTGTCAGCACGCGGATACGTTTGCCAAACTCATCATTCTCACCAAAAGCGGTCAGCTCATACTCAATGTCCTTGAGCAAACCGTCGTGATTAGGTCCGCCCGGAATTCCAACGAATTTGGGTTGATATTCACTTTCAGGGGCTGGAATGAACCAACATGTGCTCATGGATTTGACTTAACCTTCGCAGAATGGTACTTCCTTTTTGGACGACCTCGAGATCTCTGGCGTGTATCGCTGATCTTATAGAAACGGGTATATCTCTCTAACAGTCTTTGATTAAAATTTCCCGTAGTTTTAGTACCAATGTTCATCGATGCATGAACACTCACAGCTTATTCTGAAACTGTCTTTAAGATATTAAAGCCACTAGCTTCGTTGGAGTATCTTCAGACTTCATTTTAGGTTTCGTGCTAAAACCCTCTCACCTTACAAAGAACCAATCTTTTCAGCTAATATCCTTGAACATCATAAAGCTTATATATGATTCGGCATAAGATCGATCGAGATTTTCACTCGCGGCCGGAGGGGGCTCCCACTAACGGTGGCGCTGAGACGTAGGCGCGTGGTAGGGAACGTTCCTTTCGATGTCTTTGAGATTTTACTTGATGTGAAACTGATCGGAGGTCAGCGAGGAAAAGGGATTGTGTCGTATCAAGTGACCTTACAGGGCGCTGGTTCAAAGCGAGTTACTTTGGGATATTGTCCGGTTGTCTATGCGGACCTTGTGAGCGAGGAAGACAATTGGGACAATAAGCGGACTAAGACATCTGCATCTTTGATGGGGGCTTTCCCCAAAGGGTAATGTATGGCCAACGCGGCGTATATAAAATCCATTTCCTGGGCGAGAAATGAAAGGCGGAAAGCTCGAACTTGACAAAGCTTCCGTTGATTAGCAAATACGCAAAGTTTCCGAAACAACGCACTTAGCGGCGCCTTACTTGAAGTAGCCCTGAACAATGCCTCGACAGAACCGACAGGAAAGGGAAATCTAAGACTACGTCGAAAACATCCAGGTTGAAAAATTGACCCCGATTTGGACTCCGCCAGGGCAATGGCGCAATGTCCACAGTGACAGGCGCGCAAAGCTCTACACGGAGACCATGGCCTGTTCTGATAACAGGGCTAACGACGTTCCTAACATCGCAATTGATGGTGCCTTGGGCAGAGTACCTAACAGGAGAGAGGAGAAGGAAAAGGTACGAAAGCAGCGAGAGGAGCTTGAAAGGAAGGCACAAGAAGAAGCTTATGAGGAGATGGCTGAAAAGCTAGCCAACAACAAGGGTAGTGAAGCCGACAATGACGGTGATGAAGCTGACAACGAGGGTGATGGAGCCGACAAAAAGGCTGAGACGATAGTGCACGAGACGTGTGACGAGAAGCTCGGACAGAACACTAAGAAGGCCGAGGAGAAGCCGGGTGAGAAGAAAGATGATGAAGCCGACAACGAGGGTGAAGAAGCCGGGAAAAAGGCGGAGACTATAATGCACGAGAAGTGTGCCGAGAAGCACGACAAGAGCACTGAGAATGCCGAGGAGAAGACGCACGATCAGAAGACCGAAACGGACACAAACAACACCATAGACAAGACCATCGATGAGAAGACCGAAAAATCCAACGTTCCTCCGCCTCATAATAACGCGCCCAAGAAGCGGAAGGCCAATGACGACGACGAAGAGACTCCTCGAAAGCGATCCCGAGAGAACATCCTACAGAAGCCGAAGCATGCCCCGAAAGCTAAGCCACGAGAGGCAGAGCAGAAAACCCCCGAAAAGGCACCCGAGGAGAAGAAGATATACAAATGGCAGGTAGTCAGACAGGGGAAGACATACAAGAAGGGAAATCAGAGAGAAATTATCTGTGGGCCATACGATCTGCCACAGCTTTCGGAACCTCCTACAACGTTGAAGCTTCTCGAGGAGATGAAGAGGAAGACGAGGGGAGACGGTGGTGGCGATGCATGAGGAGAGCTCAGAGGAGTAGTATATGCAAGCAACGGCGGTGTCTTGAGCTATATTGGCTTTGATGGTGGTTCCTCTACTTGTCCTTGTTAGCGTCATCTAGTTCACGGTTCTTGAAATCATGTCCATACCTGTAAATATGCTTACCTCCAAACAACACATTCTCTCCGGAATTTCCTAGATGAGTGTGTAGTATACGACACGAGCGATTATAACAGAGTGAAATAATGAAAACCATGACTTCGTTTCTTCTAGTCCAGGGTATCGAGTCTATCTCAGCCAGCCACCCCCAATCCCAAAGCCCAAAACCACTACCGCAATGTCCATGCGTGTAAAAAAAGCAGAAAGCGCCCTTGGTATGAATGCAATGCAACCCCACCCCCAGGCTCATTAGAACTAACGGTCGCCCACCTAAGCAACACCCTATCTACCTCACCCAAACGTGGTAACCTAGACGACAGGAGCGAATCTAGTATCCGAACGGAGAGCAATCACATGACGATACACTCTCTATCCGGCTGTTTGCCATGGTGATGGCGATGCACCTTCTCCCCCTCTCCCTTCTTCTTCTCCTTCTCCTTCCCTCTCTTACTCTTCGATCTCCCCATCCCCGTACTCTTTACCGCAAGCGTCGCCGCAGACATCACCTTATCAGGCGCGGCGGCGGGTTTAGTGGGATAATCGTTTGTGGAAACCTCCTGAACAACGACAACGGGGTCTTCCGAGTTATCGGGGATCTGGAGTTTGTCCTTGCTACCGCGCCCTGTTAGTCGCGACATTGTGAGACTGAGTCTGCTACTGCTCTCGCCGCTTTGGCTGGTAGGACGACTCTTACTACTGCTTTTCTTCCCGGATTTGGAGGCTGACCGTGAGGCGGAGAGAAAGCCTTTGCGCTCTTCAGCTGGAGTGGGCCCGGGGGTGCGACCACGGGTGCTGTCGCCGTGTTCAAGCTCATCGAAAGAGATACTGCGGCGGTTGCCACCTGAAACATCGGTGCTGAGACGTTGCGCGGGTGTGGTCTGGCGGGAGAGTGTGATGGCTTCGACACGATCCCATTCCGTGCTGTCGTCTGTGGGCTCAGATACAGTGGTAACAAGTGTCTCTACGGACGGATCTACGGTGGAAAATCCAGACTGTGTTTCTGAGTAGCTTGGTGGATCTCCCCGAGCTAGGTCTTCGTCAATAGGCTGGACCTGGTAAAAGAGAAGATAGGGTGATTCGTCCTTTAATGCTTGCTTGATGTCGACATCCGTGACACGTTCCTTGGCAAGGTCATCAAATCGCATCCATTGGCTGGGAGCGTCGTCAGAGGAGTAGCCGCTCCCAGGCCGAGAGTCCCCTAACTTCGATTGCGATGATAGTGTAGGTACATTCGCCCGAACCAAGGCGACGTAATGACCGGAATCCACTGAGACGCCCCGATGGCATACGACGGATTGTAGCACCAGCTTAAAGTTCCCGAACAGAGGACCCTCCTCGTCCATACGATCGTCTGAGATGAAATGAGGCAGGCCAATCTCAAGGGGTATGTCGATGAAAGTGTGTAGGCGCTTGGGAGTGCCGTTAGGGAGCATTGTGTATCGTTTCAGACAGATGCCCAAGACTGGTCGCTTCGCCGAGAAATGAGCAGCGACCTGTGCATCACTCGTTGGTGTATTATCAGTGTACCAAGCTATGTCATGGTTAGTAGAAGACAGAAGTTAAGTGATTATGATAACTCACGAATGAGGCTAAAGAACTGCCAGGCTGGCATCATAACTTCTTTGCGTAAAGAGCCCTCGCGTGGTCGAGAAGTAATGCCGTCTTTCGCAAGTTCATCTGTAAGAGTCTTATCGGAGGATTCGCTCGTCTTGACATATCGCTCGCTGAAGATACTATCCGCTCTTCCTCGCCCGGTTACAGGTCTCATTGGAGATGCTGGGGTATGACTAAAGGTGGGAGTCATGGGCGTCATGACAGCTGGCGAGCTTGATCTCGAGGAGATTTCAACAGTCTCGATGTGCGTGCTTCCAGTCTTTTCTCCGAAGTCCATGGACCGTACAGACTGTAGGGTAGTCCGGCGCTGAAGAATGCGTTTGACCTCGATTTTGTTGTTGAAGTATGATTCCAGGCAGTCTTCTAATGTGAGAGTCTGTCCTTCCTCGGCTTCTGGTAATGCTACTTCGAGCAATCGCTCGTTCACAAATTTATGGTCATCTTCCTTCTCTTCCTTACCGGTATGATATATGTCCATCTTCAGCGTCAGCAGAGGTAATTCGAGTTTTCCAGTAATGAACGTGAAGGCCTCAGATGCATCCTGTTGGCGGGCCTCGCATGCTTCTTCCCATCCGCAGTCACCAATGGCTGCTTGTACGTGGCCCACCTGTATAATTAGTAAATGTGTTGGATGTGATGGATGGATTGGCGGCTTACGAGGTCGACTGTGATCAGTTTGCCGCTGCGAAGCATATTGACCCATAGTCTGAGCATCCCAGATAGCTTTTTTCGCGGCTCATCCTCAAATGAGTTGTATAGAATCGCCTCAAAGCTATCCAGCCTTGCAAACATGGCAAAGAGCAGCGCGTCTAGGTAGCAGGTGACGTAGTTCCTGTTCTCCGCGCCCAGCATCTTTACACCAGGATCAATATCCTTCAATATACCCTCGAAGGAGTCTTGAGCTAATATAAGGAACTCGTATGCTCGGTTTGGGTCGTCGGCATGTTTTGCGAGAGCGTAGGCGCATTGTTCTTCCCCGAATGTTGTAACTCCGATCTTGTTGAGCCGCTGAATCAGCGCCTTGACCTTGGACGCATAAGCTCAAGTTCAAGAGGTACGGGAGCCTAGCCTACCTTGTCGTCGCTGTCCTTCTCAGTCTTTGTACTTGCTTCGTTTGAAAAGATGGTGTATAGGTCCGACGGGACGATCTTCGACTGTAGAGTGATTCGGTCAGAGCTGAAAATGGTCGAAGTTTGCGCAAAGAAAGCCGAGAGCTGAGTACAAGCAGGGAGCTTGGGTGAGAGTTTGCGAGAAAGAACGTTGGGCATGATGTGCGAGCCTAGACTTAGGATACTGCTTGAGCGACGAGTTTTCTTTCGTTCTGGCTCAGACAGTCCTAATGCCTCTGCAGAGGAGCCCAGAGAGTACGAATCGGAGCGAGATTGAAAGAGACGCTTATGTACTTTACGGCTGGCGCTCTTCGACCGGCGCTTGTCATGGTTCTTCTCGCGACGGCTGAGGAACCTCGTCATCCCCGACATGATATTCCCCCCCGGGGAAGACATCCATAGAGTATGTGCCTGCGTTTGGCTGGCTAGACTCGAAGGCGGGATCTGCGGGGTAGGCGGCACTTTCCAGGCCTCAATGAAGGGTGGGTGTGTAGAATTGCGAGTTGAGGATAGGCGACGAGAGGGACCACACCCAGTCAAAGGATTCAAGTAGCACAATGCGCAATTGCAGGGAGAGAAGGAGTTGTTGTGTCACAACTGCAGATGTTTGGTGTTGTATCGGGCTGCAAGGATGCGGCAGGGCGGAGAGCGGGAACGACTCCCGCGCCCTCATTGGCCGCGCTGTTGCTGGTCTTGGCGAGAATCTTTGACCGCGATCGAACCCATTTCTACATCCGCACCACATTCAGTCCATCGCCAGCAATGGCTCTCAGGGAGCTCCGGTCAAAGGCCGCGTCGACACTGTGGAGGGACCTTCGACCGTGCGTCTCCTCTGCGAGACCGAATGGCCTCCGCCATGCATCCAGCAACCCCCTAGACGACCTCGAATCGTCCTCCTCGCTCTCAGCACCTCCTCCATCGAACGACATCATAAAGAGCTGGGATCCGGTAGTACGGACAAGGAGTAGGAAGACTCAATTGCCTCCAAGCAGGTGTGGAAAGCTCATTTTGACCCCAATACTCTTCATCACCTGCTCGAAGCGGGCCTACCTGTCGCAACACCAAACTAACTAGCACAGATACCAATTTCGCTCCCCAAAGTTCTACCGCGGCCCTCTCCACCCTCACCAACCCCCGCCCCCCTCCGACCCTTCTTCCCGCCTCTTCCAACCCGGCCCCTTCAGCCTCCCGCGCCTCGAACAAACCTACGAATCCACCATCGCCCCCGACCTCCTCACCATGACCTACGCCCACACGCCCCCCGGCTGGGTGAAACCCCCAAAAGCGCAGCGCCTGCGTGAATGGGTCGGTGACTCCCCCTACTTCAAGAACCGCCCGCTGCGAGGGCCTCGAGGTGGCGCCCACCTCCGCCTCCTCACGCCGCCGCGCAACTTCCGCACCATTCCTAAGCTGACGGGCGTCACGGTGCATTCAATGGTGCCGGCGGCGCAGGACGACAGCGCGTATATGCATGTTGCGGGCATGATTATCCAGGCGATTACGAATGTGAGGGTGACGACGCATCGGGCGCGGAAGAGCGTCGCGTCGTGGGGGCTGCGGGACAAGAAGTTTGTGTCTGTGACGGCGAAGCTGGAGCGGGAGGATGTGTACCATTTCCTGGGTAAGCTGGTGGATGTGGTGCTACCGCGGATCAAGGAGTGGAAGGGGGTGAAGGGGACGAGTGGAGACAGCAGTGGGAATATTACCTTTGGGCTGGAGCCGGATGTTGTGGCGTTCTTTCCGGAGATTGAAGTTAATTATGACGTGTGAGTATTTGCGAAGTTTGAAGGGGGTTTCGAGGATTTGGACTAATCAATCGCAGGTATCCCCCGAAGATGATTCCGGGGTGTCACATCACTATCCACTCAACTGCCACGAATGATCGAGACGCGAGGTTATTGCTGCAGTCCATTGGGATCCCGTTCTATGGGAAGATGGTAAATTAGACAGGCCAGGGTTTGGCCTCGTATCATTTATTAGTATGTACAAAAATGTGTATTCTGGAGTAAAAACAAGTGTCAAATGAGACCTTTCCAAATGCTCAATTACCATATGCGCTTACAATATTAAGACATATAGACGTGCACTGTTTTCTCCCACTGCTTGTAAACTCTCTTCCAGTTCGTAACAATAACCCGAACCACCATAACAGCTGCGAGACAGATCGATAAAAAGTGCTTAAAGCTTCGCTAAACCGCGTTGTCTTTCGCCAGAGCACAACAGACAGTGGCACATAACTGTACCCAGGCTCACGTTTCAGTATTATAGGCGTTCGCCCTAGACTTCGAATGCCCCACAGCAGTCAATCATGAATACAAGGTTCTCACGAGTGAGGTTTGCTGGGTTAGATGCGGTGGAGAAACCCCAAAGGAAAAGGACCCGACCCCTCTAAATTAGGCCACAGGATTAAACTTGATGTCTATGTCGCGAGAAGTGTTGGTGGAATTTGGAGTCCGTTTTGGCATGTTATTGCTCGACGCTCTAAATCAGGCCACAGGATCATGGCTGATTTCACTGCCGTGAGAAGTACTAACGGGAGCCAGTCCGTGCGATTCAGACTCGATTTCGGCACGTTATTGCTCGACGCTTTAAATCAGGCCACGGAACCAGGCTTGATGTCAATACCGTGAGAAGTGCTAACGGGAGCCAGTCCGTGCGATTTAGACTCAATTTCAGCTCGTTATTGCTCGACGCTTTAAATCAGGCCACACAGTCAGGCTTGATTTCAATGCCGTGAGATGTATGAACGGGAGCCAGTCCGTGCGATTTCGACTCGATTTTGGCATACTATTGGCGCGCCCGCTGAGTCAGGCCCTAGTCAATAAGGTATCGTTCGGTAGATAACGTGATACCCCTCGTGACAAGACTCGAGAAGGGGTATAAAGGATCAATCTTCAGCTTCGGTACAGCACATGGACGGGGTGTTGGACACATCAACATGTGCGATGGACAGAGCTCATGCCTCTGGGTTGGTGTGTCTAAAAAGCCAACTCGACACAAACGCATGGTGTGGGAGATCGATAGGCGTCTGGAATCTTATTGATGGAGAATCTGGAGGTGTCAGAAAGAGCTGATGGAGTTGCGTCTCGACTCTATCGTCGATGCTGCTTAGCATGGAGAATGAGTGAAGGTTTACCTTGCAGACCCCATAGTACTCGTTATCAACGTAAGGAGAAGATACGAGGTTGTATTGGAGGAAGAGGATGGAGATTATCACTGGCATTCGAGGAACAACATCAGCCGCTAGGCCATATGGTGATTTGGTTGCCTTTTTTAGCCACTACCACACTCTCGCCCTCCCACCACATGTGATGTACGTATTTGCCATTTGATCCCGACCACTCCCCACCGCATGGTCGGAGACTTACGGTGCTGTTGATCCCAGAAACCCCATCGGTATCTAGACGTATAGGTCTGAATCAAGAGCCCGGTCCAAAAATCTTTCATCACTTCTTGTTGATCCTCCACCCAGTCCACAAGGACGACGCTCTGAGGAAGGAAGTCCGCAGGCTGCAGCGATGGCTTTATATAAAAGAAAAGCTGCTGTCACGTGAATAGGCAGAGTCCTACGGCGCCATCCTAACGTTCCCCTCGCCGTGTGGAGGGATGAAAGGGCGGAAATGGAAGGTCCGCGTCAAGCTAGCTATATGGCTCCATGCAGATATTCGTGTAGTGTTTCAGACGATGATGTGGATGTATTTCTAAGCCCGCCGCCGTGCCATAAAGCCCAGGAGAATTTAGGCACTGTCTGTCCTCGTTAAAAGCACGCCCTACCCCAGTTTAACCAGTTGCAGTTGAGGCTTTGCAGCATCCCATGCTGGGAGGGACATATGACCTACGGCGACCCGTTCGAAATAGTGACCGTAGTCCTCCACTAGCAAGAAATGGACATGAGTCTCCTGGTAATTATGGTGTGGCACAATCGAAATGCCGATAAGCTTGAAGCGGGAAGCAGATAAACGCGTAATTGCGGAATTGTTGACAACGGTTACGCATGACGGCTGCTCTGCCCTCTCAAGACTATATTTACCACGGAGAACACCGCACACTTCCGATGAACTGCCACTGGTAATAGAAGTACAGTGGTCTGAGGTCATGAAAGAGAATTGGTCGAGGGAATCAACCGCCATGGTCTTGAATAAGAGAAGGTTTTGGTTGTTTGTGGGGACTCCAAGCTGTTCTGATGAGGAAGTAGGTCCCTCTTCGTGACGTGCGAGGATGTTCGCGACAGTCCGCGATCTGTCAAAGTGCGCTTTCAGCACTTGCCTACCTCTCCAATAGCTGCCTTGTGGCCGTTCTGGGTCCAATACCCTCAACACGCCGTTTTGCCACTGCTCGTAGTGATCAATCATAGAGACGAAGAGGTCTAACTTGGTCGCGATATCGTAGGCCGAATCATCATGCGTATCCGTACCCATCCAGCTCGCCCAAGACGAGCTGGGAAAACTTCCTGGGCGACGCGTATAGGACGACGCAAAGTCAGTATACGTAGCCGTACCTATCCAGCCCGCCCAAGACCAGCTAGGAAAACTTCCTTGGCGACGAGTATGGTATAGACTAGTTGATCCTTGATTCCATAACAGCGCTAACGTGAGAGTCGCATGAGGCAGTCCTCCCACGAGTTTCCAGCCCTGCAACTCTGCGAAGGCGGAACTGACGCCTGAAAACGCCTCCAGTATGTCCGATGGGTACGTCAGGTTGCGACTAGTGTAGTCTTTAACGGCTTCAGCATAGATTTCGAAGATTATTGCATTATATCCGTCTCCCAATAGACTAGGTATTGGGTTTGGTTTCAGAAAGGCGGATACATATGGACGGTCGCCAGCGCGGTCGCGGTAGAGTTGGAAGTAGGATCGACAAAGGAACATGACGAATTCCGACGTGAGGTATAAACATCTTTTGGAAAGGACCGTTTCTTGATACGTCCACCCCCTGGCGAAATGCTTCGTATGCTGGAGTTTTTCTGACAACGAACTCGCCGCCTCATGCCATTCGAATTCCAACGAGTGCGTAGATTCCTCAGAGGCCACTGAAAGTCCATGGCTCGCGTCATCGCCCGCAACCGCCATTACTGTCATTAGAGCATTGCTGTAGACGTGCCCCATCTCTGATATTTGATCGTGCTTGATGTCAGCATCTTCCCGCCAAATGCATAAGGTATCCACCCATAAATAGCGTTCTCCAATTACGGTGACAAGGTCCATGGCATCCCTAATGGTTCGTGGTATGAGCTTCCGTACACTCAAGAGAGCACCACGTTGGAACAAATGACCGGCATTATCGGTAGTAAGGTAGAGCTGAGGCACTTGGCCCCAGCAGTAGCTGAGAGTGATATATTCAGGGTGAGGGTTCAGCTCTACAAGACAGGCGTCGACAACATCTACGAGCACTAATTTCCTGTTTTGGAAGGCACTAGAGTTGAGTTCCTCTCGATGACATTGGTCTTCATGTTCACCAATGCACTGGGCGAGACGCTCTTTAACCCAGGGTGCAAGGCTGGATAATTCGGACTTAGAGTCACCTGGCTCAGAGTAAGCTGACATGGTCTTGAGTTTACTATAGCAACTTACCAAACGCGCCAGGTGAATCCATTGTTCTGTAGAATGGAGGTGGGTGTTGTGCCGCGGGCGTTCGGACGGCAGCCTGGGATGATAGATTGAGGCTGAGCGGTGGCTACAACGATTGGACGATTGGTATTAGCGGCGGAGCTGCAGGGACACAAAGCCGCTTCATTTGCATTTCGCCAAGGTCGCGATATTGAGGCCTCAAATTTATTCTACTGGTGATCTGTGTCACAAATCCCAACTCGAGGACCTTGACTTCATATGCGTGGCTATGATATCATGAACTCATAGCGAACCGCGTAGAGGTACGTGCTTGTAAATAAGCAGGTTTAGGAGCACATTTCAGATCTTAATTCTGATCAATCATACTCCGTATTGCCTTGGAGGCGGCTTCGCGCCCTGAATCAGGGCTGTCTCCAGGAAGCTGTCTCGACTAATTCGGCTTGAAGTATTACCACTTGGTTTCCTACCTCGCAAGCAGATATACTGCGTCTTGAAACCAATCACAAACATCATGAGAAATGACGCATCATGCAATCGAGAAACGGTTGTGCTCGGGGGGTGTTCGGCACGACTTGACTATCGAGAACGTGCAACCGGATGTGGCGTTGCGTACTCAGATCAGCATCCACAGTGGGCACCATGCGCATACCAACGACCCAATCGAAAGAAAGTAAATCTTCGTAAAATTAGAGACATTCAATGTCGTAGAGGCAGTTGAGGGGCGCCTGAGCAAACCTGGGCACGCATCGAACACAAATGAAACATCGATACCCACCATTGATAATTCGCCTGGACTGGGCATAGGCTTATCAGACAAGGCATCCGTCAGGCTCTGTTTCGCGGCCTGGACATTGTGACACCAAGATAATCGTCTAACAATGGGTGAAGGAACGTTGACCGCAGCGTAACACGTGCCCTTCAGCGCAGCAGCGTATCGAATGACCTCGGGTTGCCCTGTAGAGATTGGCCACTGTATCGCCGTGGGCAGAGACATATATAGATGTCTTAATGCCCTGGCCCTTCTGCTGGATCTTGCTCTTCATGAGAATTTGTTGAAAATGACACGCATCGACGAGAGAACCCCCCTGCTGCCCATCAGCGTTGTGGAAAAGGAACCTCATCTGGTGGACGACGACAGAAGCTATTTCTCGCTGGATATTTGGGAACCGAAGAAGCTCTCTCGACAGGAATCCGCTCTCGTTGTCGGCATTTTGGCTTTGGCTGGATTCATAGCCTCAATCCTCAACTTATCCATCAAGAATCCCCTCCTCCTTTGCAGATTCGGCCTGTATCAATTGGCGCGCTTATTGCCTGTCTGTCTGTACATCGGCACCCCCAATTGTGTGGTGTTCCTCATCGCGGCACCGTTTGTCGTTCAGAGCAGCCAAGTGAGGTTGTACCGCTGTGGAGGAGTGTTCTGCTACCTGCTGTTCTCGTTCTGTGCAGCTTGGGCTTTAGGCGCTAGTGTCCAGACAGGGCATAGCGTCTGTCGCCGATAACGCAAAGGGCGTATCGTCACGAAACCATCGAAATTTTTACAAGGCCTGGAGCTATATAGCTCCTCAACTTCCATTCTGGTGTGGGCTGTGACAGTCTATAGTGGAAGAAGAGACAGGCCCTTGATTCTCGTAAGTCAATTGACTTTCAGAATATCCATATTCTCCTATGTAGCCCCAGAAATCTCACTTTCTTCATGACTCTTCTGCAAGGCGAGAGTCATAAGAGCTCCCGCATTGACGCTTAAATCTTCCAAAACGTTCCAGTGTATGATAACCGATAGCTGATCAAGTCACCTACAGCTTCACTATGGCTCTCAATACTCGGAAAACCTCGAGGCTCCTCACTCCCTTCGCCCAACAGATACGCCGATATGCTGCGCCTGGTGAAGGGACGGTCCCTCCGTCCAAGAAGAAATACGTACCCACAAGCGGAACCTATCCCGTCGGATTTGTGGTTAGCAGCACACACGTTGGCGTCAAAGCTTCCAATACTAGATTCGACGACCTGGCCCTTGTAGCCTCCGAAACACCATGCTCGGGTGCGGCGGTGTTCACCAAGAACAAGTTCCAAGCGGCCCCGGTCACAGTCACAAGGGATATGTTGAAAAGGAGGGGAGGCAAGGGGATCCGAGCTGTAGTCGTGAACTCGGGTTGTGCCAATGCCGTCACAGGGAGGGGTGGGATTGAGGATGCGGTGAAGATGGGAGAAGAGACGGATAGGTGGTTTGATGGGGAGAAAGATGATGGCTTAGGGAGCCGGAGTGTAGTCATGAGTACGGGTGTAATTGGGCAACGGTAAGTCATTTATGTCCCAACTTTTAGCCAGAGGGTTACAGGGTCGGTCGCATCGAGCACTGCTAATGGCTGTTTAGACTACCAATTCAAAAGATCCTCTCCAAGATACCAGCAGCACACAGCACACTTGGTTCCGACCATGATCACTGGCTTGCCACGGCCCGTGCCATATGCACCACCGATACTTTCCCCAAGCTCCTCTCCCGATCATTCACTCTCCCTTCTTCACCGAATACTACATACCGTATGGCAGGCATGACAAAAGGCGCAGGCATGATCCACCCCAACATGGCCACACTTCTGGGCATCTTATGTACCGATGCACCTATATCACCTGACCCTCTCCAATCCCTCCTCACGGCCGCAATTGATAAATCTTTCAATAGCATATCAATCGACGGCGACACGTCCACTAACGACACCGTTGCACTTCTCGCCAACGGCGCTGCTGGAGGGAAGCCCATCGTAGACACCTCGAGCCCGGACTACGCTGCCATGCAAGAAACTCTCACATCGTTCGCTACCGATCTAGCAAAGCTGGTAGTCCGCGACGGCGAAGGCGCAACTAAGTTCGTCACTATCAGAGTGACGAATGCCGCCTCCTATACTGATGCCAAGCGTGTTGCATCAACCATCGCTCGTTCGCCCCTCGTCAAGACTGCCCTATACGGCAAAGACGCCAACTGGGGTCGTATTCTGTGCGCAACTGGTTACGCAGAGGGCGTTGACTCAGTAATCCCAGACCAGACGAGTGTGAGCTTTGTCCCAACAGACGGCTCACCAGAGCTGAAGCTGCTCATACGGGGAGAACCAGAAGCCGTGGATGAAGCGCGGGCAGCGCAGATCCTCGAGGCCGAGGACCTGGAGATCTTAGTCAGGCTCTCGGAGAAAAAGGGAGAGGAGGCGGTGTACTGGACTTGTGACTTTAGTCATGAGTATGTGACTATTAACGGGGATTACCGGACTTGAATTAGATGTTTAATGAATGCAACGAAATAGGAAAGATATGTTCATGAGCCTTCTCAGGTTAAGAGCTCGTTCCAAAAGCACCGCGACAATCAACCGTTCGAAGGTCCTTACTTGTGAGATTCCAAAACTAATGAACATGACCCACGGAATCAACGAAGAAAAGCTGCGCACACATGCACCTATTGTTGCACCTGGACAATATTTTCGTGTCCCTCATATATTGATGTGTGCCCATCTGAGCCTATTTGGTAGCTCTAGATGACCTTGGAAAATGCGGAGATCAGAGTACACAAATTTAGCTTCTGCTCCTTAGGATAGAGTTCGGGCGGACCCGAAGGTCTGTTGAATGTATGAGCTTACCTCCTAGGAAAGAGAACTCTAACAAAAGCGTGTGAAAATCTGTGAGGTAAGACGTCTTTGTCCCAAGATCAAGAATCAAACCTGTTCTGCAAGGCTTCTGGCATGTTATAAAGTGCCCTAGAAGTGCTCCCGTCTCTTTACAATAACTTCACACATTTCATCAGACATCACGTGCCTCTTATAAAAGTGGACCCTTCCCCAGATTTCTGACGCGCGCCGTCCCTGACGATCTCTTGACCCTTTTTCCGCCTCAACTCACCTCCGCCAATATGCATTCCACCCTTCCCACCCCCTCTCCCCCCTCTCCCCCCTCCCGCCGCGTCCGACAATGTCCTACGCGCCCCTCCGCGACTCGCTCGACGACGAACCGCGCACCACGGCCGAGATATTCGACCACCGCTTCAATTACCTAGACAACGACGAACATCGCCCTCTGCAACCCTCCTCCCCACACGCGAAAGCCAACGGGCGCGCGCCCTACTACTTCCACGGCGATGCCCTGCACACCGCCATCTCCGTCGCCGCGGGCACGGTAATGTGCCTCTTCGGCTACGAGCAAGGCGTCTTCGGCGGCATCATGGTCGGGCGGCCCTTCCTCGCCTACTTCCACGAGCCGTCCCCGGGCCTGCTCGGCTTCGTGACGTCGGTGTACGACCTGGGCTGCTTCGGCGGCGCGGTGGTGTCATCGTTCGTCGGCGAGCGGCTAGGGCGGCGGTGGATGCTGCTCGTCTTCACCGTGATCATGACGGCGGGGATTGTGGTGCAGACGCTGGCGCAGAACATGCAGTGGCTGATCTGGGGCCGGCTGATTGCGGGGATTGGGAATGGGGGGAATACGGCGACGGCGCCGGTGTGGCATGTGGAGTGTAGTAAGGCGGAGGAGAAGGGACGGGCGGTGGTGAAGGAGATGACGGTGAATGTGGGGGGGTTCGTGATGTCGAATCTGATTACGCTGGTGTTTAGCAGGATGAGCACGGAGGCGCAATGGCGGTTTCCGCTGGGGATTCAGCTGTTGTTTAGCGTGGTGATTCTGAGTATGGTTTGGGTGCTGCCGGAGTCGCCGCGGTGGTTATTGTTGCGGCATAAGGATAAGGAGGCGACGAATGTGCTGGCGGCGCTGAGCGAAAGTGCGGAGGAGGTGCATGAGGAGTTTCATAAGATCAAGGAGAGTGTAAGGATTGAGCAAGCGACGAAGGCGAATTGGAGACAGGTGTTTAGTGGTGGGGTAGCTACGAGGCGAGTATCGTTGGGAGTGCTTCTGCAGATGGTACGTACTTTTCCCCTCACTTCTGACTTCATGGTATACTAACGATATCTAGGCTCAGCAACTCAGCGGTATTAACGTGCTCTGCTACTACTTGCCACTCGTGCTCCACCGCTCCGTCGGCCTCCCAGAACTGACCTCCCGTGTCATCTCCACCATCAATGCCATATGCTACATGTTCGCAACTTGGTCGTCTCTCTTCGTCATCGAGCGCGTCGGCCGCCGCCCGCTCCTCATGAGCTCTGCCGCGTGCATGGCCGTCGCCTTCCTCGGTATCGCCGTCTCCGTTGGCATTGGGCAAGCAAACCCAACCAGCCGCCTGGTTCCTGGCATCATTGCCACAATCTTCATGTTTCTGTATTTCACAGCCTTCTCCTTTGGCTGGATTACCGTTCCGTGGCTGTACCCGGCTGAGATCAACTCTCTCAGCATGCGCTCGAAAGGCGCGGCGCTTGCCACAGCCTCAGATTGGCTGTTCAATTACGTCGTCGTACAAACGACGCCGATAGGCATACATCATCTAGGGTGGTACTTGTATCTCATATACGCGGTCCTGAACCTGTTGTTCGTGCCGTTCGTGTACTATTTCATCGTCGAAACCGCTGGTCGGAGTCTAGAGCAGATAGATCATTGGTTTAAGAACAATCCTGGCTGGCGGGTTGACAAGGCGGATCACTCGCCGGGATTCGAGAGTGACGATAGTGGGCCTTCTACTATTCGAGGAGACGACGACCGCGAGGAGATGTTGAAAGATTTCGAGATCGGGGATGATGAGGATGATGATGATACCACTTTTAGAACCCTTTGAGAGAGGGTCTTTGTTTTTTTCAGTTTAGGACGATGTGTTTGAGAGTCTCGTCGTGTGTTGACCATAGCAATTCAGGAATCGTTCCCACACCGATCCGCTCAGCATAGTGCCCTTTCCAAGCAATTTGCATGAAGCAGTACTCTTTACTCAGGACTAGGTGGGATACCATGACAAAATCGTATGCTCCTGTATCCCAGTCGGAAGCACACAAATCGCTATTCAACGCAATCTTGTTGCACCAAGCCAAGTCTCGTTCATTCCGAACTGTTCGAGGGTAGGACTCGTCGGCGTAGGGGGCGCCATCTTGAAGGCTATGAAAGAGGCCAAAAGCGCTAGATGGAATGGTTCGAGCATAAAAATGAAACATTCCACGAACGGATTCCCAGTAGTTCGTAGTCATGTCTGCAGACACTGAGATGGAATAGCTCCTTTGAAGGTAAGCCTTCCCAGAGACAGACAGAAATAGCCTTTTGGTCAAACGCCAATGCATGTATTGTCTCATCTGTCACTACGTAACCAAGATCACATCGCAGGATTCTGCTATGAGCAGGATCGAAATAGTCGAGACGGTCTTCATATGTGACACCTCCGATCCATCCAGCCCAGGACCAGGAAGGGAAAACTGGTGGTTGTCGGCGGAGCGTTGTCTTCTTGGGAATCCAGAACAGGAATTCGTAGATATTGTGCTCTGGAAGGCCATATGTGATAGTACTAATGCATCCTTGGTGTTCTAGAGCCTGTTCCATCAAAGCGGCTATTCCGGCAAACGCACTCAAAATGTCTCCTGGATAAGACAATTTGCTTTCGGTATACTGTTCGACAACTGAGCGATATGCTTCACGTATCTGGTTCTCTGATATTTCGTTTCGTGGAAGAGACAAGAGAGCGTTTAGCGGGCGGACATTACTTGAGTCTCTTCGATCCATATCGGTCACCCCAAGACTTTCTATGCCCTCTCCATCGAACACCGAACCACAGCAGAAGAACGCTTCTTCTGCGAAGAAGTACAGACATCGGCGCGATAGAAGACGTTCTTGATAAGTTCAAGCACGGGTTTTAATCTGTGATCGCTCAAATAACTTCATGAAAGGCGGCGAAGAGCGCTGGAACCCGAAAGGTTGGCCGCCAAGATCAAGAGCAGAGTGCGTTGGAATGCTACGCGATCCGTGGCGTACACCGGGAAGACCTGAATTGGCATCTGCCCCGGATGCAGCGATGATGGTCATGCAGGCCTGGCTGTAGACAATGTCCATCTGTGCAATTTGTTGGTGCTTCTGCTCATGGTCGTCCTGTATGATACCCAGAGAATCCACCCATAAGTATCGACACCCCGAGTCTCTTGTGAATTTGATGGCGTCCCGAGTGGTCAGCGCAATCCCTGGATTTTGATCGGAAATAGAACCTGGTTCCTGCAGATCTGAGAAGTTGTCTTTCTTCGTCTGAAGCATGGATATTTGACCCCAAACGTAGCTTAAAGCTAAATATCTGTCCGAAGAACTTCCCTTCACCAGCCGCTATTCAAACACATCGACGAAAATAAGGTCAATGGAGTTCATGTATCTCTCGTTGGTGACTGGATGGTTGCAACGCTCTCTGTGAACATTTTCGCACTGCCATAACCATTGCTGGACACGCTTGACGGATAATGGTCGGCCTTCGATGATAGTTGTGGGGGCCCCAGTTGGCTCAGCTTCATCCAACACGGCAGATTCGTCGACTCCTTCAATGTGGTCGCCAAGATTCGTAGGCATAGGCAGAGGAGAGTCTCGAATATGGGCATGCCTGAAACCCAATGGGCGTAAACGAAATTCTGCTTCTTGCAAATTGGTAAGCCCAAGATCTCTGAGTGTGTAATGTTCTTGTCGGCGGCCACCCCACTCAATGGCTAAGAAGGATCCTAGCCAATCTTCATCAGGGCGCATAGTGAATGTGGGCTCCCAGAAATCAGTCTCACTAGGATCGATGCGTGTGTAAGAGGCATACTGGGCGGCTGCCTCATAATCTAGAAATTGACCTCCATTCTCTCGAAAAACCTCGTCATAAACATTCTCACATAGCGTACAGAGAACGCAATCCTCCGCATGGCGACCTTGGATTACTCGAGGCTTTGCTTTGACACTACTTTCTTCGTTTAACAGCTTCCACACATCGAGCTGCTGACAGAATCTGCAAAGACGTTGGCCCACTTGCAACTCTGACGGACTAGAATCTAACGATGGTAGACGAAGCTTTTGGGAGAGTTGCTTGCTTGAAGATGGAGAGATGGGGTCATTCATGATGAACCTGACTCCCAATGTTTGGACGAAAAGAAAGGAATTGATTAAGTGATTGATAGAAGAGGATCACATCACTAGCCTTAGACCTTGAAATAATGAGGCAGCAATAGCAAGGCTGAGACACACTAGCGTGTTCTGGCTTGCATATGCATTTTCCAAGAGTGTTCCACGAATTGAACGTCAGGCGCCGCGTCGCGTCAAAGAGTGTTTAAGCTCGAAGGCGCCTTCGAGATGGTGTCGCTACGATATAGCTGTTCTTAGTCCACTCCCTACCTAGACCATGTACGGTGACAAGGTCTCGATAACTAAGCGTATATAGGTTGAATCCATAAAGATCTTGGATGCTGCTTCTGTTCGGTCTCTTCCCTTTGCATTCACATAGCCCCAAACCGTGACCAGCTCACTTACCAGGCCGGGTTTGGGCTCAAGTGCGAGGCCGAGCATAGCCTCTTTTGAGAGACCATCCTTGACATCGATCAAAAGGCCGAGGGTGGGCTCGATTGAGCGACCGGCTGTCTCCATTGCAAGACCAAGCGCGAGCTCACCAACAAGACCATATATCGCAGCTGCATCCTCATCCAGAGCTGCCGCGATTGTTCCGATCTGCGAGCTGTCTAGTTTGCTCTTTAGATATGTCGTAGCTCTTTCGATAAAGCCCTTTAATCGCATTTCCAGATCAGAACAATGGTCAATTGGGCTGATTTACGCTTAGTATCGACATGAATATTGCTGCGATTGACAATGAAACCAATGACTATAAGAGATAATAGGATGAAATAGCGTATATGGCCGGCCAACTTATCTCCTCTTGTTTCCATTAAGTTATGCTTGTTTATAAGCAAAATTACACCCGGCTCAACTTCTGCTCAGCCGCTCTCAGGTTACACTGCCACATCTCAGGATACTCACCTTCAACTCACTTCTCTGTCTAACTCCATTAGACAGTCCGAACTATCACTCACACAGAACTGTTCTTGTCAAGTTTTGGGTCAACTTTACGCAAAAGACAGTTTCAGGGATAAGGTAGTAATGAGACCTAGAACAAGGCCAATGTATGTAAGTAACTACAATGGCCCAAAAAAAGCCACGTTTCAAGGCCATCTACCCAAAGGACCCCTCTCGCTCCACCTCTCATCACGAACGTCGTCGTCGTCTCTGTAACCGTGCCTTTCTGGAAAAAAGCCATCCGGCCCCGTCCGCGGCCTCGACTTCTGCCCTCCCCAGCCGACCGTCTCCACCCACTCCGCGCCCGTAACCTCATGATCCTACGACCTGCGAACCCGCATAATGACCTCCTCGCGGTCCGTACCCAGCACACGGCGCACAAACACCTTAAAATCGCACCTGCAGCCCCATATGGCGCGCCATCTGAAGCGTTGAGACCCTGGGACCCTTTCCGTCTCCTGATCCTGGCAGCTCCGATTCCACGAGTCCGACACCTACGCCCCTTGGGCACGGGTGAAGTCCGAGTCGTCTTTGCGCTGGTGCCACCGTAGACAGGGGGTCGACCCTTTGCCACCGTGGACGCAGCTGCATTCTTCCGATCGACGCCATTCCAGCGAGCCGTTTTGCCGCGCTGCAACCAGCTTGCTGACCAGACACAGGATGATGGAGTCGTTAAGACTCAGATGCGTGCAGAGCGGCTCGCAGGATAAGCTCGGTGGATCTTTGAGAGTAGACGCGGCGATTGCGATGCCTCGGGGTGCGCTGATGATCGAGATCCAAGACCTGATCTCGATATGATTGCCCCAGCGAAAGGATTTTTGGGTGCCACCGGTTTGGCCAGTGTGCGATGCGGTGGCTGGCATGTTGGCACCGGAATGGGCCGGTCCAAAGACCATGGGTACAGACGTCGATTTCGGAGAACGTGAGGTTGTGGTGGGCGCACACCCTGACCGCTTCGACTGCCCTTACACAGCGGCGTTCGAAGGGAGGAAACGCCCTTTGCAATGCGGAAAAGAGCTTCTCTGTATGTCGGGTTCTATACGCGCTGCACCAGATGCGCATGCCGGGCATGACCGACTGCTTTGGAGCGTTTCGCTTAGTTGTTGCGCTGAGATGGTGGTCTCCTAGCTATGAAGCGTAGGAAGACTGCTTCTGAGCATCGTGATCGACTGTTGAGCCGAGAGGGTGGTTTTCCAGTAACGAAGTCTCTAGATCAAATTCGTTCAGAGGGAAGAATCCAGGTGGCGGCGCGAAAACATGCAACGCTTTCTGGCACGTCTGGTGCAGTACAAAGTTGGAGACCGGAGACAGATAGGCGCCAATCATAAGCAGGATCTCGTTGGACAGTCGATACATGGCGGCCTCGGTGGCATTATGAATAGCTGCGGCCTGTTGTTTGCGGTACGCTGCCGGTTTCGCTACGGGCAAAGGAAGTGGATTCGATATTCCCGAGTCCTGTTGGCTGCCGTCTTCTCCCGGCCTGATTATGCAAAAAGAACGGAGATCTGTTCTTTCGGAGGCTTGTTGGTTGCGGTACGCTTCTGGGCTTATTAAACGAACAAGAAGCTGATGGGATTTCTCTGGGATATGTTTCAGGAAATTGGACACCCTTTCCTTGATAGCGGGAGTTTCCTGGTGATGGAAAGTCAGGATCGAAGGGGCTTGGTATCGACAGAATCTGCGAAGCTCAACGCTGAGAAAGGTGAAATCTTCGTGCCATTTTGCTCGAAAAGGCGATTGCCATGTTGCGTGTGTTTGCACGTTCTATTGATCGATAGAAACGTTGCGGTGGGTAAATACTCTGTGCTTAATGAGCGAGGAGCCAGGTGGAACGCTATGGAGCGGTTGCTTCCGTATGTTCAATCGAAAGCTCGAACCATGGTTCCGCCGCCCCCCATGACCTTTCCCCACTCCGGACATTCTTTAAAATCTGGCATCCATGATGTGCTGAAGTATGTTTTGTTGTCCCTACTGGTTTGTCGTTCTGGTTTATTCCATCCTAAAATTTCATCTGATTATGGAGTTCCATATTTGGTGTGCTCGAAAACAAGCTTCGCAAGCCGAGCTTACCTGGGTACTGATGCGTGATGACTTGGTTGAGTGGTCAGCGATATTGATTTAAGCAACAAGACTAGAAACAAAGACTAACACTAGAGACAATAACCGAGTAAGACTGAGCAAGCATGAGTTTGGTTGGTTTGCAGCCACCTCCAGGTGAGAGTGACCTCCGGTTGTACATGAAATTTGGGAGACTGGAGATGGGTAGAGAAACCGGACAAGCATAGACTTTGTCGGTCATAAAGCGGGGAGGTCTTCGAGCAGCGGAGTACAAGTCGCAGCCGGATCATGAGCGGCGGAAAAGCCAGCAAAGCCATATTGCGGTGATCGTGGGGATTGTGGAGTGTTGCTATCCGATCGGCGTGATGTGCTTCTACAGTGCCTCATCATAGAAATCCGTACAATCGTTTACCACTGTGTGAGGAACTTCATAGCCATTCCAGCATTCCAAACAAGAGAGAAGTTCGGTCTTTAGACAATTAGTGAACTCGCTTGGCTACCTCAGACAGCGCCAACAAGGTGTACGCAGATTGGAAGTGTATCCGCTACCACCGGTGTCTATTAGTTCAATATTATGTGCTCTCTTTCGAAGTGGTTTATCGCTGTGTCGCCGCATGACTTGCCTCAAAGCCTCCTTGGAAAGACGAACGAGACGGTTTGTACGTCCCGTTAGACTTGTAGGCTACCTCAGACAGCGTCAACACGGTGTGCGAAGATTGAAAATATCCGCCGCCCTCGCTTTCTATTAGTACGTTGGAGACCCACAGACAAGGCAGAGAAATGTACGGATTTCTATGGCAAGGCACTGTATCGCTTTCAGGCCCTTGCGCTGATGTGGATGGGGTTGCTTGAGCTTGAGTAGACAGATTTGATCGAGTTGGAGTGCTAGTATTTGCTCGAGATGAAGCGAAAAGGGTTGGTTAAATGAGAGCCGGAGTAGTTGCTGCAGCAGGGCGTCGAACGAGCGTCAGCACTTGAGGTGATCCCGACGCACGCTGATAGAGGGAGCTTATACAGTAAACGTTCGTTATAATGTTGATGCTACATACCGTCAATATACATTATATCGTTCAACCTTCCGATTACCGGTTTAATATTTGGCGGAGAGTGACATTTGATATAATGTTCACACCCCCGGAACATTACGTGAACGGTATAACGAGTTTTTACTGTAGTAGGATCAGTTTTGCCCCAATAGACCTCAGTATACATTGGATGCGAACAAGACGGTCTATGCCTGGACCGGATTAGCTACTCAGGAAATCATCCTCGAGAGCAGCGATTCACTCAAACAGAGCGCTTCGACACGCAGTCCAGGGAAGCCTGAAAGAATGATGAGAAATGGGTGAATTCAGACCAATAATCACGTTAGGGATACCGATGATAGGAAAAGGGATACCGATGGGCGGAGGTTGACGGAATAAGCGGTTCTAGTAATCACCAGCGCACCCGTGACGTGGCGAATCAATGCACCTCGGCGCTGGCAGGGAAGCATCAACCACCCCGGATGTCGCGCGCCTCTTGTTGAACCGACCAGCAATTCTTCCCCCATGACTTGAGACGAACACACACCACCCACGGCCACCATGATTGCGTCCTCGCGCAGGTGGCTCCGGCGCAATCGGACCAACTTTGCCATCGGAGCGGGCGTGCTGGGCGCTGGCTATCTGGCCGGCCAGTATGTCCTGGCGAAGGTGTCCGAGGCGCGCCAGCGCATGAGCGAGGAGCGCATCGCGAAGGAGAAGTAGGCGCATCTGCGCTGTGTGTTGTTGTATAGGCCGGTATGCTAACCATGTCCTCCCAGCCTCCGCCGGCGGTTCGAGCAGAACCAGGAGGACTGCACCTTTACCGTGCTCGCCATCCTGCCGACCGCGACCGAGAATATCCTGGAGGCATTGCCCGTCGAACGCACGCTGAACGAGCTGCAGAAGCAGAAGCAGGAGCGGCTGGCAAGAAGTGTAGGCCCATCAGAGGTCACCATCTCGGACGTGCAATCGTCGCCGCGAAGCGTAACCGACGATGACGGCAAGAGCTTGACCAGCTTTCAGAGCGAGAGCTATGTGCATGCCAGCCAGGTGGCAGAGAGCAGTGCTGCCAATGGCGACGGCAGTGGGGAGACAGGGCCCCAGACATCGCCGCGGCCGAAGAAGAGCAAGGCCCAGTTATGGAACGAGATGAAGATAAGCTGTGAGTGGCATAGTCGCTCTGATATACATCCTCTAACGTGTGCAGCCATCTCGAGAGCGTTCACATTGATATATACCCTATCTTTACTTAGCCTTCTTACCCGCATACAGCTCAATCTTCTTGGGCGGCGAAACTACCTCGCCAGCGTTGTTTCACTCGCAGCACCTCCCCCCCAAGAGTCTAAAATCAGCCTCGAGAACAACGACGATGACAACTTCGAGCATGCCTACGGCAATGACTTCGAGACGAACCGCCGTTACCTCTCCTTCAGCTGGTGGCTCCTCCACCGCGGCTGCATAGACATCATGAACAAAGTCACCGCCGCCGTGACCGAAGTATTCGGAAGCCTGAACCCACGCGAGGAAATCACCCTCGAGCGCCTCTCCGAACTAACCCTCGAAGTCCGCAAGAAAGTCGAGGGCGCCACCGAGTCCGACAGGAGGTCAGTTCGCCCACACCACCCACCCCCTCACACCCCCTAACTCATCTCCCAGAACCTGCAAATGGCTCCCCTACCTCCTCCCCCCGCCAGACCAAGAATCCTACGTCCTCCAAGAGTCCGGCATGAACCCCCCCACCACCAGCACACCCCCCTCCCCCTCCCTCCGCCGCCTCATCGACGAAACCTCCGACCTCATCGACTCCCCCTCCTTCACCCACGTCCTCACCCTCCTCCTCGACGCCGCCTTCTCCCTCCTCATCGACTCCAAAATCGCCACCCACGCCTACAAAATCCCGCCCACGTCCGCCTCGACCGCGCGAGTCGTGGAGATCGTCGGCGCGGACGCGAAGGCGAAGGTGGCGGTGAGCTTGGCTGTGTTCTGCCGTCAGGCACACGCGATCGGGTCCGGGTCGAACAACGAGTACCTCGCGGCCATGGAGGGCGTGCGGGATCTGGAAGCGTTTGCGGCGGTGGTGTACAGCAGCAATTTCGAGTTTGAAACGCCGGAAGCGAATGCGGCGGCGGAGATTGGGAGCGATACTGTGAAGTTGAGTCGGCCGAGTACGGCGGATGCTGGCGAGGGTGCGACGATTAGGGGCGAGGAGAGCTTGTTAGGCGCCGAGAGTGGGTTTGAGTCTGCGTGGGGGAAGGCGCTGGGGAGTCAGGATGGGAAGAGTTAGGTTAGGGACCTTGATGCAATTACACTCTGGATTGGGTGGGCAGGTGGGAGTATGGTTGGTTGGGACGCCTCATAGCGAATTTTGGGTAAGAACGTGTATGATATGCAACGCCTACTGCTATACTCGGGTCAAGATCATGAACGGCCTCTAATGTAGAATCAATCTCATTGCTGACACGAGCATGATGTGCCTGTCAGGAGTTGACAGTACCATACTCGGCAACCGTGCTCCACTTCAGATTCGTAGATAGGAATCGATCCACCCAACGTCACCAAAACTAATTTCCCTTTTAACGAAATAATTACATGTTTTCTATTGGATGAGAGGAAGAAAGTAACGAGAAGTTGCAAAAGAGCGTTTAAGATCTTACATGTAGGTTGCCTAAGGACCCTATTATAGATACAGATGGAGGCACATTCGTATCATAAAAAAACTCTCGGTCGCTTTACACTAGCACCATCAAATCAAAACCTCACACCATTCCCATGCCAAACATACCAACCACAGCCCCCAGAAACAATTGCAAGAGAAGTTCCTAGGGGTCCGTGAGCTAACGAGAAAAATGGTATATGTAGCCTCACGATGAACCACGGAAACGCACTCCCCCCAAACGCGTCATGTCCAACCAGCCAGGGCTCTCCAATAGCCTCCCCTCCTATTTCAACATCGCATTTCACACGCTTCAACTTTTCTAATCAACAATATAAACCCATTAATTGCTTGGCTCCTCCAGGAAAGTTGCTCAGTCTATATTACTATATCTACCCAGTGTAAACTGAAATGTTCTTCGGAACCCTTTCCTTTTGGCTTCTTGGGTTCGAGGCGGAATGGTATCGAGTTTTGTGGGATATTCTTTTTTTTTTTTTGCGATTGTGCTGCTGATAACAGCGGGTTTGTTGCAAGATATTGGTGAGGTGGAGGGGGCATGAAAGTCCTAGTACTACTGTAGGATAAAACACCTTTGGACAAAACAATAGAGATGGAAATCCAGATGTGGAAAAGAAGTCCTCTTCGCTGGTGTACGGTAGCGCCGCTGAGGATCAAGCCTACCAACGGATCGGGATGCCTTCAAGGTACCTCAACTCGAGGCCACGGACCCCATGCATGACTATATCAGCCATCTTCCTAACCCTCTCATTTAGGTTGCATGGGTGGCTCTGGTTGACGTATCTTATATCAGTGTAGGTGCACCACAAAGGCGACTTTATGTTGCGCATTTTCGAGTCTAATTCCCGTAAGCTCATTCCGGAGAAAGGTGCCACTGGCTGTGGAGCCAATAATTCTAAGGACTCCATTTGCTTCGTTAGTGCACCGTAGAGCATAGACCCGCACTCGAACGAATAACCGTTTCTTGGACAAGAGTAATCCGCACTATGGTATTCATCGAGGAGGCTATGTAGTTGCGAGACAAGGGCATGGATCGCGTGGATGCGGGCTTGATCGATACGATCTGTTAAGAAGTTAATCGCCTGCGATCACATAATGCGACTAGTAGGCCTTACCAACGAAACCTATAATCGGAAGACCCAACGTGGACAGCTCTGCCTGTGTGCTCTGCTTGATTGCGACAGCCGTCGTCTGTGCGAATTCCTGTGGTAGTTTCAACACCCAAGCTATACACATCCACAGCATCAGGTCCCGGCAATGCGTCGACGGAACGGTGTAGTGTCCTTGACACGATCGATCCATCGCTCAGTCCACAGCTCAGCGGCCTCCGCACAGTCGTAGCAGTCGACCAGGACAGTTATTTTGGCGAGCAGTTCCAATGACACTGACCGCGGTACCTTGCGGTGGTGAAGATGCAGCACATTGAGAAGAATAAGAAATGCCTCGCTGTCCCAGTCCTCGACGGAAATATAAAAGCGACCATCTTTCTCGTTAGGTATGCCTTCCTTCCAGTTGCTTCCGGAAAGCATGCTTTCGAATTTGGGCGATGCTAGTCTTAGATGGCTCGAAGAGACGCGGTATTTCTCCCATGCGGGAGTGAAATATTCCCACAGATAGGGCTCAATGACAGGCTCTTGCACAACAGACTCTTCCACAACAGCCTCTTCAGCAGCAAGCTCTTCAGCCGGAGGGTCTTCGGGAGCAGGTTCTTCGGGGGCAGGTTCTTCGGGGGCAGGTTCTTCGGGGGCAGGTTCTGCCGGGAAAGGGTCTTCGGGGGCAGGTTCTTTGGGGGCAGGTTCTGCCGGAAAAGGGTCTTCGGCAGGAGGAGGAGGAGGAGAACAGTCCTCAAAATCATGCGGTTCATCCCAAACAGCAAAATGAATGCCTGGGTTCTTCAAAGTGATGATAGTATCCCCATTAGGGTCGATCTCGTGAATGGCCATAGCGGTGGTCTTTTTTTGAGAAAGTGAGAGGAACGGAAAAAGGAGAGCTTCTATGCGAGAGTATAGAAGGTGCGAGTGTTCGCTCACTATGCGAGGCGGCAGACCGCAGCCATTTATTACTCTTGTGCCACCCCCGCACGCGGCACAGCACGGTGTGCTGTCACAACGTCGGCTGTGTCATGATTGGGGGTCTTAATGAGGACAAATGAGCGTCTCTGAAGTGTGTCGATATGCAGAGTTGCCCCACTCTAGATCGAACATGTACAAGAACTGCATAAAGTAGCTGGTTTGACTGCTTGGCGGGCTGGCGAACGTTTCTTATGATCCAATGGTTTCCAGACGGCACGAACCTATAGTTATCTCGCAGGCAGCTTTCAAGAAAACTTGCCGTGTATCAGAAAGCACGCTTATGAAGAGATAAGCTAGGGTAAGTGTAGCTGCCTTGGTCCCAAACGCTTCCAAGGGGAAGAAGCTTTAGCTTATACGAATATGAACATTAATGACTCCTACTCCACTTCCTAATCCTGACCTCTGGAAAGCATGAGACGCCTCCCTCCTATTTAGCCATCACGGTTCCATAAACGACCGTCCTGAGTTCTTGATCCCGCCCCCTCGACTCGCGTGCACCTTCTCTCGCAGCTGCTTCATTCGTTCTTCCTCACTGATACCCTCCTCACTAGTAGTCCCTTCGCTCACTTCCTCGGTCTTCTGCTTAGTTTCGGCCGCGTCTGTGGTTTTGTGGTTGGTAGCTTCTTGCGTCTTGTTGGTGCCGTCTGACGAGGAAGGGTTGGTTGTAGACATGGTGAGGTAGGAAGGGTTCGATGTGATTCGATGTAGAATGATGTGGGTAGGCTAGGAATGTGTTTGTGGCATAGGTGTATGGATGAGTGAGGTTGAGGCTGATGGCGGTGAATGATGTCATACGTCGCGAAATCAGGTGACCTACTTATTCTCAGAAAAGAAGGTGGTTTGAGTAATTCTTGGCGGCTGATTTATTCAAGAGTGTGGAATCTAACTATAGGATACTGAAAGGCTTCGGCTCTTTGAAGTCTGGAGCTGCTGATGGCGTTGTCTTCGGGAAGGGTGGGGAGTGGGAATCAAGCCTCTGGAAATAGGATGCATAACACCTGGGAGAATCGGGGAAGGTTCAGATTATATTTTTCAAATGACAAGAATCAGGCCCGGTATACCTAGGTTGAAGGGTGCTGGAGTGGCTTTCATATGGTGCTGCAAACCCTCACAACCCCTCCCGAAAGACCCCAATCACTTCCCTCAAAATAAATAATCACCAATCCAGTCCGACATTGACAATGAAACTCAAGAGTGGGTATAATATTATTATGCACGTATCCAAACCATCTATAGCCCTCCTTTTTTGCCCTCCGAATTTATCACCTACACGTTTTCGTCGCCTTGTAGGTCACCAACCCCCTACCCCCCACCACCCTCTGCAGCGTCGGCCATACGCCATCATCCCCGAAATCCATATCGTCGAGATTCAGATGCTGCCGGTAGCTCCAGACCTCCTCTAGCTTCACCTCTGTGCTAGCATTGGGTTGGGCGTACGGTTTTAGAAAGTATGCGGAACGTGGCGCGACTAGGTAAACGCTTTTCTGCGAGCCAGCCAGACGTTCCAGAAGTCCCTTTCTTTCGCATGGGGCGACCTTCGAAAGTTCCTCTAGCATTTTAGGCCCTGGCATCCCCATCAAATCTCGAGTATCGAGGTTCTCGTTCTTGCCGTTGAGCAACCAGATGGGCGGACTGTAGGTCTTCCACCATAGGACGTGGCTGAGGGTCTCGTTAGAGCGGGCGAGGTAATTCTGCGTCGGCACGATGCCGCCTTGGTGGTAGACGCCCATTAGAACGCCTATAGCGACGTTAAAGATGACCCATGATGCTATCCAAGTGCGAGTATAGCTCTTTGGGAGGCGGATTGAGGAGAGGAAGAGTGGTATGGCGGGAATTAAGAAACGGGCCTCTTGGTGGGGAAATAAGGAAAGGAGGAGGACGCCAGAAAAGGCGGAGAGGAGGCGCATGGTTGCTCTCCAGGACGGGAAGAAGATGAGTGGGAATGCGGGGCCGAGCAGCTGGGGGAGGTTGACCAGGACGTGTTGGTAGAAGGGATGGATGCCATGTTGGGCGAGGTTGGCGGTAGATGAGTTGTATTTGACATTATTGAGCGGCGTGATGATGGGGTGTTTCATCAATGACGTGAATTTGAAAGGACCGGATGTGTAGAAGGCCGTATCTACACAGATGGCAATGAAAGTGGTGATGCTGGCGAATGTAATTAGGAAAACGAGAGAAAATGGTCTAAAAGAGGTGTCAGTGGCGTATGCAGGGTGGAATGCGGTTGACAGACTTTCTCCGGAAATGTGGGAGGAGGCGCAAGGCTGGTACTAGAAGGAATGCTGGGAACGTAATTCGGTTGAAGACGCCAACGACTGCCACAAATCCAAGGATTGAGGACGCGAAAACTCCAGAGTGCTTCTATATCGATTGTCAGCCATTGCTTCAGCCACGCCCAATGCGTAGTGACGCACCTTATCTTCCACAATTCTCCCTATCAGCACCAGACTCCATGCCACCAAGAGTGTTTCCAATGAGTTTGAGAAGGTATGGGTCTGGAGAGTCCAGGTCACGTAGGATGATGCGACCAGCGGGACGGCAACGCGCCTTTGACGAGGTGATTGTACGAGTTCCTGCACCGCCCAGTCCTCGAGCACGATGCTCAGCGTGAGCATCAACACGCGCAGTGCCCAGTATACCACCGACGGCGCGACCTCTTCATATCCAAATCCTTCCCAGAGCCACCGGAGCAGGTACATTGGCGACCCGTAGGCGAGCCATAGCGGAAACGAGCTGCGGATGGGATTTTCAGAGGTAAACTCCCAGGTGAGGTGCACAGGATATGAGAAGACGCGGCCTGGTGAAGCCAAAGTGTCAGCGATGTTGCACCCAAGAGGCGCATCTGGTTAGACCTACCTGCTATGACCTCCGGGCCCTGGAAGTTCTCATCTGGGTGTAAGTAGCTGGGGGAGAAGGCGAAGTAGATGCGCACGAGGATCAGCAAGAAATAGAGGCGCCTCCACATGGCGGCATCAAGATAGACCGTGGAATGATGTAGCGAGGGTTGCGCATTGGCATGGCGCGCAGAGTAGTGAAGGTTGGTAATGGGGTGATTACAGATGGAAATGGACTGAAAGCTGGTGCCACGCCGTCCGATGAGTGTCGTCACGATAGGGGGGTCGATTGGAAGATTTGCTTGTAATGGCAAGGGCGAGCCAGCTCAAAACTTCTACAGGCGCAATAAATAGGTATAAAAGGGCTGGTAATGAGGAGAGTGCTGGGGCAGATAATAGCCGCAAGCAACAAGATGCCACCTCATCGCGTCCGCAAACAGTGTCGGCTAGGCATGCTGCACGCGGGCATCTGAGACCTTTTGGAGGGAGCGTCACTGGGTCGCATCCTTTGAACAGTTGCTGGCGAGAGTCAGGCAGCGTGTGACTATGGTTGGTATACTGTCTCGATTTGGAGATCTAGGTACACGCAGAGAAATGCGGAGGAAGCCCCCGACTGATGCTCAAGCAAGGGTCTCAAGATTGTCTTGGCACTCTCGTCATCACGTGATCCACTTCACCAGCAGAAGTGCCCGTTCCAGCTACACCTTTGGTGTACAGGCTCTTCCTACGTCCGGTGACCCAGCGCTAAAATCAAGCCACAAAATTACCGTATAAGGTGGAATTTCCGGACGCCTCTAGGAGGGAATAGCAGTCTCATAGCCAATCAGTATTGCGGCTAGTTTAGCATTACCCCAGAAAAGGAGGTTGACCATGGTCGACTCAGTTTCCGCGCTAGGTCGTCGGACGCAAAGAGAGCCTGTACAATATACGGAAGTGTGGCGCAGAGGATCGGAGCTATCAGAAATATGACAGCGGTAACAAGGCGCCAAACTACAAAGGGCGATACAATGCCTTGCTGCCTGGCGCCGTCACCTTCAGACGACATGGATATTGCAGCTTCCTCTTGCTAGCTTTGTAGCTGGGTTGGGCAGCCTCGACGGAGCTGAAGGGCGGAGGCGGTTCCAAGGTTTGCAATATCGGAGGTGCTTGCTAGGAACGAGCATAGCCGCCGCACAGAAAGCTCACTGCGGATTCCCCAGAACGGAGGTGGTCCACCGCGGGTGGAAGGCGGAACAAGGCGGCGGGAGCCATTGTTGCAGCGCGCACAAAGAAGCTTCGAGAATGGCGTGTGGACCAGGCGGCACAGCTATTGCCATTCCTTGCTTGCTTGTTCGCTATTGTCGCGCACAGGGTGCACCAAAGGGACAACCGGTGCGCTGCCATCAGAGGTCCCGGGGCTGGCAGCCTTGGCTAGGCCCCGATGGGGCAAGGGCGGCATCGCCTCACAGCTTGCTGCCTTTCACTTGTGTGCTCTGACACCCAAACCCTCCACCGAACATCAACTGCGCCCGCCATTAAAGGCTGCCCGTCCTGCTGCAAACCCAGCCCTCTCCACAACACCACACACCCGCACCACCACCAACCGCACTCCAAGCTCCCACACCCACCTTAACCAACTCACCAACACCCCGCATTCAGATACCATGGCTGCCACCACTTCCATCGAGACTCCCCAGAAGATCCTGCTCACCACCTCCGACAATGTCGAGCTCAAGGTGGACCGTGACGTCGCTGAGCGATCGATCCTCATCAAGAACTTGCTTGAGGATCTAGGAGGCGAGGGCACCGAGGCCATTCCTATCCCCAACGTACGTTACTGCCTCTCGCTGTCGACTGCATCACTAACGCATCTCTAGGTCAACGAGGCCGTCATGAAGAAAGTGCTCGAGTGGTGCGAGCAGCACCGCAAGGACGCCCCCGCGACCCAGGATGACGACTCCGACTCGCGCAAGAAGTCGACCGACATCGACGAGTGGGACCAAAAGTTTATGCAGGTTGATCAAGAGATGCTCTTCGAAATCATCCTGGTACGTCATTCCGACACCAATTTGAGATGCGCATTGCTAACGTTCGCAGGCCGCCAACTACCTCGACATCAAGGCCCTTCTCGACGTCGGCTGCAAGACCGTCGCCAACATGATCAAGGGCAAGTCGCCGGATGAGATCCGCAAGACATTCAACATCCAAAACGACTTCACCCCCGAGGAGGAGGACCAGATCCGCCGCGAGAACGAGTGGGCCGAGGACCGTTAAACGTCTTCTGCTTCATCTCGCGTCCATGTTTCTGCTGGTTTCGGGCATCATAATCTCCACACCACACGGCGACCGGCATGACCTTTAGGTCTTCATTCACGTGCATACGATAGGAAGGATTTCGAGATGCGGTGTTCCGGTGTTTTTCATTTCTTTTCTTTTCATTAGTTTTGGAGGAGAGTATGCTTTTTCTGGAACTTCTCTGCCTCTGCATCTCTCTCCCATCGTCCATGCACGCAGCAGAAGCTCTGCCAGATTCCGGGCTCAAGAAGGTGACTTTCGGTTATCTTCAGAGTAATCCTATGGTAGGATGCGCAAAATCAATATAAATTAAACCTCCACTATTTTCTTCTACCGTGATTCCTATCTTCTCTTCTCGTTGCTATGATGTGCCTACGTGTTCTGTTCTCATTTCATCTTCGCTACCAAGTCTTCATTAGTGCGCAACCGGTTACCGTGGTACTGCACATTGTACGCCCGTGGGCGCGTTTGCGATCTCGGACTTCCGCGACCTCATGTGCTACTAAACCTTCCATAGACCCTCCACCACGGCAACAAAGTAACTCGCTATAGTATGACTTTCCCGCGTCCTAGTCCCCAAGGCATCGCCCATTTTTCTCTACGCATCCACGCTGGGCGCGAAAAGAGCGACACGCTCATCAAGTACTCTGTCCTGTGTGTACACCTGTCTGCCACTGCTTGAGCTGCTTTACCAAATTTCCACATATCCCAAGATGAAGGGCTTCTATCTCCTTCAGATTTTTGAAAATGCATTGAAGCACCCCAAGCAGTGCTATCCACGCTCACACCGAAACGCACCTTCTGCGGATGCCGAACTGCTACTTCTACCGCTTCGCTCGGCTCGTTTCAGTCTCCAATTCCAAACACAGCTCACAACTAAACATTAAACCACTGCATTCCATCACAACGGCATCTCTCGTTTGATTCGACATTCTCGCATTCAGCCAACTTTACTATTAGACCGCTTCAAGGCCCATCAAGTAGGTACTCTCCTACCCATTTCCGTCCCTACCACGAACTTAGTACCAAAGCCCCGTCATTCCCACTGAACGTTCTAACACTGCTTTGATATAGCATCACTCCAAGGAGATGTCAGGTTCTTTGACGAGCTTCCGATGCTGCGGTCGCGAGTTTATCAATGGGCACCACCTCGACTTTCACCACCTGGTCGACTGCGAGATATACCATCCTAGGACAAGAGCAGAGGCAGAGGTACGCGAGGAAGAAGCACGACACCAACGGGTGGAAGAATACGGCCAGCGACAAGTAGACGCATCACGCCGGGCAGCTACAGTACAACTTCGAGCTCAACAGCTGCAGGCAGGGGAATCAACCCGCCGAACTTTAACCCGCCGGCGAATACAGCAATTCATGCGAAGTGTAGCGCAGGAAGCAGCCTCGCGAACTCGACAAGCACAAGATGCTCGGCAAGCCGCGCCGGTTTCCATACCAACACCGAGAGCCGAAAGCGAGGATTCTGCTATTCCCTCGCCTATTTCTTTCAATGACTTTAGATTTACGAGAATGCAGCCGCCGAATGGACAGCTGCTCCTCGTGGATACCGTGAGAAGGAGACTTGTGGGGCAATTAGATCACACTCGGGGGCATTTTCGGATCCGTTGGAACCGCCGGGCTTTTCTAAGAACCCACGCCCGTCTTAATCCGAGAGTCTAATGCACACCCGCTCACCACCGTCAGGCTGCCCCCAACACCCTCCAAATTCCACGCCTAGGATGCAAAATCCCAGAGACCAGAAATGAACCCGGCGCTGATTCAGCTCCAAGACACTGATACAGTGCTAGGTCATGAGTTTAGGCACGCGGATATGTCGCTGGTCAGGCTTCACTGTTGCTCACTCCTTACCACGGTAAGGAGTACCCCACCTAGCATGTCTTCAGTCGGTCAAATGGTAGCCCTATTCCCACTGCATCGACACTCATGTTGTATGCAGAACATTAAAAGGATATCTAGATACCCGGAGCAGATGTCTAAAGTGCTTAAACTTATGATCTAGCACTGTACATGTATACCAGCGCGCCTACAACGCCCCCCCAAGCACCCTCACAACCCACATCGCCAACCGCACCGTCACGCCCACCCTCCGCTCCGGCTTCTCAAACTCCTCCCTCCCCACCGTCTTCGCGTGCTCCTGCAACCACACCTCCTCCTCCCTCAGCTTCCGCTTCAGCCCCTCGTCGCCCGTCACGATCGCCACCCCCGCCTCAATATCCAGCTCGTAGCTCCGCTTCGTGTAGTTACTGCTCCCCACGACGCTCACGCTCGGGCCCACGCCCTCCTCGCCCGGCAGCGTCACCCAGATGCCCTTGGCGTGGTACGTCCACCCGCCCGCCTCGCTCACAACGCCCCGCTTCCACTCCCGCAGCTCGATGCGCTCGCTCTGCCCCGAGCGCCGCACGTAGCCGAGGAAGCGACGCGCGAGGAGGGTGTACGCGGCGGGCAGCATGCCGGACACGCCGGGGGAGTTGTAGAAGCCGTTGGCGTGGGGGTGGGCGGCGAGGACGGTGCCGTGGGCGGGCCGGGTGGCGAGGAGGAGGCGGCGCAGGGCGGGGGTCATGTTGAAGTAGCCGGCGGTGAAGGTCCAGCGGGAGTGGGTGAAGGGGGGGGTGGAGAGCAGGCGGAGGAGGGTGTGGATGGCGGGTTGTTCGGTGGAGGTGTTGGGAGAGAGGAGGGGGGTTAGTTGGAGGAGGGGGTAGATTAGGGTTTTGGAGGGGGATGTGGGGGATGAGGATGTTGGAAAGGGGAGGGATGGGGAGTTTGATAGGGTTAGGAGGGGGGATAGGGTGGTGGTGGCGGCGGATTTGAAGGCTTTGGGGTTGTCTAGAGGGGAGGGCGAGGGGTTGGTTGTTGGCCAGGCCATGGTGTAGCCTGTGGGATCTGAGGACGGTTCGATGAGGTAGCTGAGACTGCAGACGGTGGAGTGGATTTTGGAGAAGTAGGAGGTTATTTCTGCAGAGGAGAAGACGTGGTAGCGGTCTTGGCGGTTGGTGAAGTAGTCGTCTGAGAGGTTGGCTCTGGAGTGGGATCAGTACGCGGTTGATTTAACGGTAAAAGAGTATTTGAAATGGAAGCGCGCACCCAGACATGATCAGTTCGTCATCAACGCCGTAGAGTTTCATATGCTGAAGACCCCAGCCTTCGTTGATTCGACGAGGTATAACCTGCTTCCGCACACCAGTGAGATTGGGAGTGTGGAACATCCGGATCTCCACTCTCTTGGGGCCAAATTCAGCCACAAGGGGTACGAGGAGAGAGGCACATGACGGCAGTGGTGTTTCTCGAGTACCACGTAGAGCATCCGTTAGGAACGAGACTTGAAGGTCGGGATTTTTGATGAGAGCTTCGCGTATTGTGGAGATCTGAGTTCATCAGTCGAAGCAGCGATGAATGAAGGGGAGATCATACAAGCTCATGCTCAGTCTTTCCAATGTAAAGTGTGGAGAGGTATATCCTTCGTCGTGCTTTCAGAATTTTGGCCTGGTATGATACGTTAGATCCTTAAGAATTCAAACTCAGCGAACGATGACCTGGCATGAGTTTTTCATGGAACCGTATAAAGGTAGCGAAAAGTTCGAATCATCTCTACGAACGAATTGAAAACACGAGCTGTTTCATCACGGAAATGAACCGCTGACTTTATGGAAACATGTTCTTTCAGGACTATAGGGGTTTGATATGTTGTAGATGAAACGGGACTGACTTTGAGAGTTTCGTAGAATTCAGTCGGAGACTTCAAAATCTCCATTTGAGACTGTTTAATCTCAAACCTAGGTGATATTTTGTCTAGTTCTGTTGTAATAGCTCCTAGTAAGGACGAATTGGACTGGGGAGTTGGTGCTGCCATCGAAGGGGCGCTTGATGCTGAGAATTTTCTCGTCGTTACTCCTCGACCCGGCCTCCGATACACAAGAGCAAGCAAGCTCCTAGGGCGAGAGTATCTTGTAATGCTTCGAACTATCATTCTTCAGAATCAATTGCATGTGTTCTGCATAGGTTCTTCATGAGACGGGATGGATCCATTTGTTTTGGCAGGGAGGCGAGCTAGTCCCGTTTCGACAGCGCTAGTGAATCCTTGGCATTACGGACAACATCGTAAGAGCTTCACGCCGACATCTAGAGCAACGTCAAGCCATGTCTACCCTACTGAGGACGTTGCGGAACCTCCGCAAAGTTGGCATCAAGGTATATATTCCCCAATTAACTACCTGACATCCTATCACTGACACATATTTCAGGATTATGCCCACCAGCTTCAGGTACCTACCCCTCCGTCCACGATCATTAGGAACAATGGCACTAAGCAGACCTTCGCGGACATTTAGAACATCGGTGGGTGATATATGCATCATTGGGTTGGATGGGCAGAATGGCTGACCCAGTCCCAGGCGACACGAAAGCTGGAACCTTCATTGCCAAGGACCGCTACGGCAACAAGTACTTCGAGAACTTGGAGCAGGAACTTCCCTGTCAGTATATCGAGCACCATACGGAGAACCTCAATTGACTGTCGGATGCAGTGAGAACCCGATGGGTGGACTACAAGGACAAGGAATACGACCCGTGAGTGTCAAGTACTGGAACAACAGAACGGCAAAGGCTAACCCGGTATTCTTAAGGTCACAAATCGAACCGGGATGGTATAGATAGCTTCACTACGCCGATAGTCATCCTGCTTTGTCTAACAACGCTCTCAGGCACGCCTGGATGTCCTACATGGTCGACAAACCCCCAACCGAAGATCCAATTCTGCAACGTCTAGTTCGCGACTGGGAACCCAAGGAGCACCGGCCTACGTTGACAGGGAGTCGCTCGGGATACAAGCCGTACAGCACGTATGTGACTCGAGCGGACGATACTATGACACATAACTAACCTCTACAGAGTCAAGCCCAAGTACTCTGGGTGGACGCCGGTTGCGAAGGCGCGGCAATAGGCAGCAAACGTTGGAGCTGGATAGCTGACATCTGGTCATGTAAATAGCAGCAATGCATACTCATTGGTCGAAAGTCCGTGTCCTTCCTTTTCTGACCCGACGGGTTCGGGTCGAGTGCGGCTGTGATCAGCACTACACATATGGTGGCTCTGCGCCGTTGAACGCCCCATCTGACCGGTGAAAATTGGGGCGGCTTTACCTGCTCCTTGCCAGTAGAGAGTTTTATGATGATGGTATATATATTTCTACAGAATAGGTTCTCCGTGAAAATCGGGCAGCTCCTCGTGAAAAGCACATCAAACATCCCAGATGATTCGTCAATTCCCGCGAGAACGACGCCGGGGCCTCGAGAACCAAGCTAACCCAATGCGGACAAGGTGAGTGGATACTGATAGCAATGCAACCTCCAAGTCTGCATGCGTCCGTCTAACTCTTTACGAATATCGCTCCAGGGTCTCCCATGGGGTACATCCGATCACATCGCAAAAGTTCCAAAGTCCTTCAGGAGTTCTGTGGGCCTTCAATTTGGTTCGTGATAGCTTGAGTGCCCGCAACAAGTCAGCCTACGCTACCGTCGATCAGACTGTCCTGGAAGCCGTATACAAAGGTAGAAACGGTTCGCACCAGTATGTAGTTAGCTCTGCGCGGGAACGACTCCGCTACAATACATGAATGGCATGCGCCACATGACTCAGAAAGCGGTGTGCCGCTCGGCTCGCAGTGCCTGCCGGGGTGAGAGATGGCGATACGAAGTCTGCGGATGTGTAGTCCTAGTGCCCGCACCTCAACTCTAGTGACTCAGGGAGAAGTCCATAAACTGCTGGTCGCCGTTGAGAAGGGCGTTGTGTGACCATTGACTGCTCCTTAGTGTACCGTGTGACAGCCACAGCGCGTGGATTTCGTTACGAACGCGGCAGACATCCGGACGAGGTTTCTGCACGTGAGCAGCTCATAATCCTCAGCCTTAGGCTTTGCTGGACATCGAGAGCTGATTACGGTGAATTACGGCGCAGTGCTGCATCCCTCGAGGTCTGAATAACGTTTGAGTGCTTGAGACAGAACGCCCAATCCCTCGGCAACGGCTAGCTCTGGACGGGAAAGACGTCACGGTTCTTGCCCAGCAAAACGACGGCCTCTTCGCTCGAGCGCAAACACCACACTTCCTCTCCCGCTGCATCTACACGCGCCCCCCCAGTCGCAGCTTTGGCCGCATTTCCTCCGGCACATTGATTATTTCTCTAATGCCATCCCCGCCGAGTTTATGACCAATTGCGAAAACACCAGCTTCAGAGATCTTCTGCCCCGCTGAATAAGAGCTCTTGCTGGTGGCCATGTTCGCCCATTGCAAAGGCCCGACCTGGGAATCCGATGACTTCTCGAGGTGTTTTGAGCAAGAGTATGTGCGCTGTCACCAATAGTGCCCCAATGCTGATACGGTGCACCTTTATAGCTATCTCCAAGCCTTGTTTCCGCTCCTCGTAATTGGAATATCCGTCCTTTACCTCTCCTTACAAGTATACCAAGTGACCAAACAATCCAGGCACTTGGCCTATGAAAAGATCCAGAATCAGTACAATGCCTGGGATATACCTGCTCCTGCTACCTACGGAGTCCACCCCGAATCCGATGAAGACACCGATACGGACAGCGAAATCGAGCGCAACGAGCCTCTCGGCCTCCATCCAACCATCAGTCGAACAGCACGATCCATCGTGAAGGTTGACAAGCCAAGGGGGGAGGTATTCGTGGTTGTTCTTGAAGAGTTGACAGTACTTGCAGAACTGGGAGTCCATGTTGCGGTCCTGGTGACTGGAACCTGGGGACATAAGGGGAGGGTTTCGGCCATCTCTAGCGTTGCTGTATGGACATACGTTTCTGTGCTTGCTTCATTGCGCCTGCTATTCTCCAGCTCTAGTCGATTTTCATTCCCTCGGCTTTGGTATCATACGGCTTTTATCTACGGCTTCCAATGGATTTTCACAGTATTAATATTCCGCTCCGCCATCATACACCCCCGCTCGACCCTCTCACAACATCTCGCATTTGCCGACTTTGCATTGACGACTTTGCTGTTCTTCATCGCCTTGACATCGAGAAAGGGAAACAAGGCCGTGGAATTAGAATATGAAGGGGATATCAAGCCTGCGCAGGAACCCAGGGCGAGCGTGCTATCGTTGGCAACGTTTGCATGGGTGGACTCCATTGTCTGGGTGGGATATAAGAAAACGTACGAACTGGCCGACGTCTGGAATCTCCCTCCAAAGGACAAGGCTGCATCGCTACTCGCAGAATACCGACAAGTCAAAAAGACGTCAATCCTTGCGTACCACCTAGTCAAATACTTCAAGCGAGGTCTTATCATCCAGGCAGGTTGGGCCGCTATCGGTGGCTTTCTGACATTTGCGCCGACGCTGCTTCTGAAGGCTATTCTGGAGTACATGGAGAAGCCGGAAAATACCCCTCGGAACGCTGCCTGGTTCTACGTCATTTTGCTTTTCGTTTCTGGGTGCGCTTCAGCTTTGGCTGATGGCCAAGCGCTTTGGTTGGGGCGCAAGATCTGCATCAGAATTCGGGCTGTAATTATCGGAGAAATATATGCGAAGGCTCTGAAGCGAAGAGCTGCTGCAGGTGCCGACAAGATTCTTGGACAGGAGAAAAAGAAAGAGAAAACCGCTAGGCCCAAGGCCCTAAAACGAATGATGACGTTTGGCAGGCGGAAGAAGAAGACTACGGAAGATGTCAAATCCCAACAGCCTGACGAAGAAAAGTCCGACTCGCAAGTCACCACCGGTGCCATCATCAACCTTATGGCAGTGGATGCCTTTAAAGTCAGTGAAATCTGTGCCTACCTTCATTTCCTATGGGCAAATACTCCAGTGCAACTCGTCGTGGCTATTGTTCTGCTCTATCGTATTCTTGGATACAGCTCAATCGCTGGAATAAGTACAATGGCGCTACTTCTACCTGTCAACATCTGGATCTCAAGACAGTTCTCGAAGATGCAGAAACTTATCTCCGCTGCGACTGATGCCAGAATCCACACGACTAACGAAGTTTTGACCAACATCCGAATCATTAAGTACTTTGCGTGGGAGCAACGATACATGGGCTTAGTCAATGAGAAGCGCACTATCGAACTGAAATACCTGCGTCAACGGTATATTCTCTGGGCATTGGCTGCTACAGTGTGGTCAGGGGCACCAGTACTCATTACATTCTTGTCGTTCATGGTTTTCACGATGATTGAAAAGAAAGACCTCGTTCCATCAGTTGCATTCACGGCTTTGTCACTATTCCAAATCCTGAGAATTCCATTGGACCAGCTGGCAGATATGCTTGCCCATGTTTTAGAGTCGAAAGTGTCAGTCGACCGTATCGAAGAGTACTTGAGTGAGCCTGAAACGGACAAATATGTGCAACTCAAAAATGAGGAGAAGGATGACCATGACCAACCAGTCATTGGATTTGAGGATGGCACTTTCAGCTGGGGAGGGAAGGATATGGAGAACCAGGGCGCCCAGGACGCCTTCAAACTGATGGACTTGAACGTTAAATTCCGCGTCGGGGAGTTGAATGTCATCGTGGGGCCTACTGGATCCGGAAAGACCTCCGTTTTGATGGCGCTTCTCGGAGAAATGACAAAATTGAAGGGTGACGTCTATCTCCCAGGTGGTCGAAGCAGAGAGGATGTTCCCTCGGATCCCGAGACTGGTCTTACGGAAACAGTTGCCTACTGTGCTCAGCAAGCCTGGCTGGTCAACGCCACGATCAAGGACAATATCGTCTTTGCCAGTGAATGGGATGTAAAACGCTACAAGGATGTATTAGTGGCTTGCTCTCTTCAGAGAGATCTTGAGATCCTAGACGCTGGCGATCAAACTCTCGTGGGAGAGAAGGGCGTCAGTCTTTCGGGCGGTCAGAAACAACGGATATCGCTCGCTCGTGCGTTGTACAGCAAAGCTCGTCACGTACTCCTCGACGACGTTCTAAGCGCCGTGGACGCTCATACTGCCAAGTGGATCTTTGACAAAGCGATTATGGGCCCACTCATGTATCACCGCACTTGCATCCTTGTCACACACAACGTGAGCTTGTGCCTACCTCAGTCCGAATTCGCCATGTTAGTGGATAACGGAAGGGTGACCGCTCAGGGCACTCCGAAACAGCTAGTCGCCTCTGGGAAACTCAGCGAAGACATATCCAAATCCATGCCGGCTTCACGGGCGGCCTCACGAATCCCATCTCGAGTACCTTCTGATGTTGGCGGCGAGGAGGCCAATGGTGAAGTAAACCATAAGAACGGTGGAACGAATGGATCCGCGAACGGCTCAGCCGGACCGAAGAAAGATATTCCCAGTAGTAATACTCACGAAGAAAAAAAGGCCGAAGGTGGAGTGAAGCTCGGCATTATCATGCTTTATCTGCGATCTATGGGAACTTGGTACTACTGGCTGGGCGCTGCCGCAATCTTTGTAGCTCAGCAAGCGTCTTCTGTGGCAACCAATGTTTGGATCCGGACATGGGCGAATGCCTACAACGAGAAAGAAGTTAGCTCGATGCACACAAATCATGAATCTCCACTCACCCATGTCAACGGCATTAGCGGTTTAGGCACTTGTCTTAGCAGCGGTACCTGTGCCTGGCCTGTACCATTCTCCCGGTCGAACCAATCGAAACATCAATACTCAACTCAAACCACTCAAGGTTCGATGAACGTCGACGCAGGATATTACTTGGGTGCATACGCTGTGCTTGGATTGGTCTTCATGGCCATCACAATGGTGAGAGAAGGCGTCCTCTTCGCCGGATCACTTTCTGCGTCTCGAAGGATCCATCAGCGACTCATGGAATCTGTAACTCATGCCAAGTTTCGCTTCTTCGATTCCACACCGCTAGGACAGCTCATGAACAGATTCTCTAAAGATATTGAATCTGTGGACCAGGAGATTGCGCCAGTAGCCGTAGGAGTCGTTCACTGCTTGTTCTCTATCATCACCATCGTCATCCTCATCTCTGTCATCACACCTGGCTTCCTCATTGCTGGCGTATTCATTACCATCCTCTACGTATTGATTGGCAAGTTTTACATCAACTCCTCCAGAGATCTTAAGCGCCTCGAGTCGGTCAACCGTAGTCCACTCTATCAGCAATTCGGGGAAACGCTGTCGGGAATGACAACTATCCGAGCCTACGGAGACGAAAGGCGCTTCATTCGTGAAAACCTTACCCGTATAAACACTCAGCATCGACCGTTCATCTACTTGTGGGCAGCTAATCGCTGGCTTGCTTTCCGTGTTGATGTGGTTGGTGCCTTGGTATCCTTCTTTGCCGGCATTTTCGTCATCATAAGCGTTGGCAAAATCGATGCTGGTTCTGCAGGTCTCGCGATGACATACGCGGTGACCTTCACTGAAAATGTCCTCTGGTTCGTGCGGCTGTACTCGGCCAATGAACAGAACATGAACTCGGTTGAGCGTATCAAGGAGTATCTCGATGTTGACCAAGAGGCTGCGCCTATCATTCCGGATAACAGACCAGCTGCAAATTGGCCGAGCAAGGGTTCAGTGGAGTTCATTGGATACAGCACAAGATACCGGAAAGACTTCGACTTGGTCTTGAAGCAAATCACTTTCAAGATCTTACCTGGAGAGAAAGTTGGTGTTGTGGGACGTACTGGAGCTGGAAAGAGCTCTTTGGCACTCGCGCTCTTCAGAGCTCTTGAAGCTGAGGAGGGCAAGATTCTCGTTGATGATGTAGATGTCGGATTGATCGGACTGCAAGACTTGCGGGAGAATATTGTTATGGTACCGCAAGGTAAGCCAATCGAATCTATTTCTAGAACCTCCTTTCTAATTCTTCTTAGATCCGACCCTGTTCACCGGCACCGTGCGCAGCAATCTTGACCCCTTCGGTCTTTTCACGGACGAGGAGATCTACACAGCTCTCCGCGAAGTCCATCTAATCTCCGCCGCCTCCATTTCAACCACACCCGTGCCCGGCAGCCCTACCTTGGGAGACAGCCCAAACAACCTCACCAAGTCCACCGCCACTACCGACTCCTCCGCCACCCTCGTGGACGTCCCTAGCGCCGCTACCACGAACCCTGGCAGCATCATGGCCAGCACCCAAGCCTCCGAACCCTCCGACGCCACCATTACCATACCGAACGGCGACAGCCCGTCTTCTCCTACCAACGCCATGACTGCCGACAACAAAAACGTCTTCAAAAACCTCCACTCCCCCATCGCCGAATCCGGCTCCAACCTCTCCCAAGGCCAGCGCCAGCTCCTCTGCCTCGCGCGCGCGTTACTCAAAGCACCCAAGGTGCTGCTTATGGACGAGGCAACCGCGTCCATCGACTACGCCACCGATGCGAAGATCCAGGAGACCATCCGCGAGATCAAGAACACGACCATCACGATTGCGCATCGCCTGCAGACGATTATCGATTACGATAAAGTGCTTGTGCTGGATAAGGGCGAGGTTATTGAGTATGGGGATCCGTGGGATTTGGTCAGGAGGGAAGGTGGCGTGTTCAGAGGGATGTGTGAGACGAGTGGGGAATTGGAGCAGCTGGAGGGAGAAGCGAGGAGAGCGTGGGAGGGGAGGAGGTTGGTGGATGATAGTTAGGGCGGACAAAATGAGCGATGGACGTTGCTAATAAAAGGTGTGAGAGTTGATAGATTAGGACATAGGGATGGGGTACGAGAGGTGATGCATACTTGTATGTACATACGGCGTTTTGGGGTATAGACTTTTTCATTATTTGAGGCTTGTGAGTTGCTGTTGGGGCTTTTGTGAGAGTTTGAGTGGGTTGATGGAGTATGACATATACAGTATTTTGGTAATTATACTCGCTGTATCCTCTGTATGACTTCAGTGAGATGCACGAGGACGGCTGTTCCAGATGTGCTCGTACTGTATGTGGCGCTTAACCACACATGATCAATTCACCAAGCATACTCTATAGGTCCATGCGAAGCGAAGCGCTAAATTTTAGAGATGGGACGCGCAAATAAACATCCCCACTCATCCACCAAGCTTGTGTAGCTATACAACCTCCACTGTCCAGCTATGGAGGCCATCCAAGAGAAACACCAGGGTCTGATCTCCGGCCTAACGAAGTTGTACAACCTACTCATCTCCATGCACTACATCTACCCTGGCGATGTCATTTATCTCCCGCAAACCGAATCGATGATCGACGTACAGCGCCTGCACACCTCGGGTTCAACGGCGAGGTCATTGAGGCTGCCAAAGTACTGCCTGTATTACGCCACGGCGTCGTGTGGGGTTCGGGGGATGTCCACACCGAAATCGGACCCGAGAGTCGGGCAGTAAACTACTTCAAGCATAGCCACGATGCCGCTGCACCTGGTATCGACGACAACATAATGGATAGCCTGCGGAGCCGCCACTTCCTAGGAGATGATGAACTGCCGTTGTGGCTACTAAGAATCTCCACAGAGGGTAAATTGGATGGAGTGAATCTGCTCTATGATCCTCAAGATCGTAAGTACAAGCCTTTTCTTTTAGTCCGAGACTCTCAGAAGCGAATAGAGGTAACTGACTATTTCGTATAGAGACATTGAGGGAGTGGTTCAGTGGCACACCATGGGTTGACAGCCCTGCACGACCGGCTGCTGCAGTGCTCGCTGAATGGTACACTATGTTCGACACCTTGGAGTGGGTTCCCTGGTACAGTACATCACAGCGATTCCCGCCCTCTCGAACCGTGCTCCAAAACCCTGCTGTCCGCAATCAAATGGCCTCGGGACCAGACATTGACAAGGCGCTTCGTGAGGCGGAGTCCTGGGACGAGGAATGGCGTACCTGCTTGAAGCGATATATCTGGGAGTGGAGAGGCATACAATGTCCCTATGGCTTGTGTGGATGGGGCCGCGAGGGAGAGCTTGAGGAGATGAGTTTGAGACGAAAAGGGCTTCTCTGGAGGAGGCCTACTCCGGTGTGGTCCTCAAAATTAGACACAAGCAGTTTTGGGATCAGTGGGCTATGGAGAACGGGGTTTTTCTCTAGAATGAACATTGCCGACACGCTATCTCTTCTAACTGCAATTTGAAGTAATTAGCGGGACTATTAGCATCTTTCAGACTGGCAACAGGGCTGAGCAATGAAGACCATGGTGCTTTGCTTTGGTTCAAATCCACCGCTTTTGCTAACAAACCTGAGCCAATCACAGCAGGCTGTGGCGCATGGTACGGAAATATCATATACCACGAACAGTGTGAAACTGCTACACATGAGAGAGATAAGACGGCCACTCCCCTTTCTGGTAAAAGCTGGCCGGTACATCTCTCGATCCCAAAAAGATTTAAGTAGGAGGTAGAGGCGTACAAGCAGGTATATGAGTCCGAGAGACCAAAACATATACCTCTGGGAAATAGGGGAAACCATTTATCCGGGACCCGGACCTTATCGATAGGCAAGTAAGTCAGTGTTGTAAGGGTGGAACAAAGAACACTTGATATTCTCCATAGAATCTGCTCCGCGTAGCTTGGAAAGTGGAAGTTCCAGCCAGCAACGTGGCACGCGCCGAAACGAACGTATACGTCGGAGAGAAACCCTACTCTGCTTTTGGTCCCGTCTTTACCCCATTAGTAAAGATCGACAGCGCCTTCGTTGTCCATGTAGCGATCAGGGGGTTTGGTTGCAAGCTTGATCACTAGGCTCGTAGACGCTCAGGGGTTTCGCTCACTAAAGAGCGTATGTAATGGCCACACAAGAATTGATTGCCGTGGCGAAAAGCTCGAGCGCCATGACAGGAAGGCGTGAAAAGTACGGCCGACAAGCTAAGCTAGGAACCAAAGAACTTGCATGGATACTAGCGTTTCACAACTCCGTCAGCCATGCTCTTATCGCTAATTCCCCACGTCATCCGCATTAGGCTATACATTCAGTTCTTCGCTGCCAACAGAGGAGTACTTACGGCGTTGAGCGGTGGTTTACACGTGCGGAACGACGTCAATACTATCAACCATGTTTGGAAACATGAAGAGTCGCCCATTCCCATTTCTATAACTAAGGAGCCTACACACCGCGAGGGGATGGATGTCTTGCAGTGCTATTCTGCGGAATGGTGTTTTGCTTAGAGAGAAACATAAGTTAGCTAGAATTTATTGTTTTTGAAATTAGATAGGGGAAATGCTAGTTCCATTATCCTGCCCCTAGCTTCTTCTAGCTAAATAGACTATTCCGCTCTTTTGCTCACCAAACCAGACCTCGGATTCAACAGACGACCCTGTCGGACGAATTTTGTATCTTTCCATCAATGTAACCTCCAGAGGACCATCTTTCCACAAGAATGGGGACCCCAAGCCAAGCAAGCAGCCAACTTTAGCAGCTACTACTGTCCCTCCGGACACGTAATCCAGTATGATGTCATGGACCTCAATAGGCAGCGATTGAAGAGGTGTAAAGATCCTAGGTCTGGCGGAGGCGGTGGCCCAGATGAGATAATCTAGTGCCAGGTCCGACGGAGGTCCAACGCCATAATCGCCATTGAACAGGGGCTCTGGAACAGTATACATAAGTGAGTTCGGACTAGTTGCGTGACAAAGCATAATATGCTTGACTGATAGGATCATGTAATGTGCCTGCGGTTCGCCAAAGGCCGTCGTGCTAGGACTCTCAGTGGTGCTAAAGTCCTGAGATGATACGTGTTGTTGGGCCATGGACAGCCCTTCTTGGATGGCTTGGCAGAGGACGACGTAGACATTACCAACGCGCACAACGTCGGCGTTGAATGGCTCCCAGGCGGGCAAGTTGGTAATCCATACATGAACACCCCGCCGGCTATGTCCCCCTGTGTTGGAGCGAACTTCGAAATCAAGCGTTGAAAGCCGGATGATAGCCCGTGCAAGTACGCGTAAAGTCATGGAGTTATAACGATTTCGAAGAACGTGCCTCCACTGATGATGAAAATCACGGAGAAGACGGTGTGTAAATGCACGCAGTCTGCTGTCAACCTCAACTTGCGGTTTCCAGTAAGGCATTCTGAACTGAATGTCGGCTCCAAAGGTAAGGGAATAGGTCCGCCGAGTGATTCCATATCAGCTAGACTCACAACACGCTCTCGAAGAAGCGCAAGTGGTATCTGGCTACAGCCGTGGCGACTGGTGTAGCGCAGTACGTCGTTTTGGGTGTCGAAGGTCCAGAGGGCGTGGTACTGGAGCTGTCGGGGATCGCCGAACGGATTTACGGTATCATATTTCTCGTCATTATTCCACATGAACGGAAGACTTTTGTGTAAGGCGTCAAAAGTTGCATCTATAGGTGTCAATAGTGCCGTTAGAAAAGCCATGGGCGGGACCCGGCGCTCACCCACCCTTTTCTCGATTAAGCAAGATGTCAGAAAAACGCTGTAGGTATTCCTCGTCTCCTTCTTCGGTCGTTCGGCTACCAAAGAGTATTCGGGCTGTTCTGTGATGAGAGCTGACTTCTGGCAACGCGGACAGATGCGCCGAGAGAAGATAGGCCAGAATATTCATTATGGTTGTCAAGAGGGGACATGCGAACTAAAACGGGCAATCTAGCAGCGACCTCGAGTCCTTAGTACCTGTTGAGGGAAGAGAATGGAGCAAGGGTATCAAGTGATGAGGGGTGTTCTGCGGTTGTTGAAGAGCTTGTCGTATCCCCAGGAAATTCGAGACTGGGGAACAGCTCTAATGCTCGAACGAGTTTCTTCGGAGCTATTGCAATACCATACCGCATGGTAACCCGTGGACTCTATGCCACTCCCTCTCTACAGATTGCGGTCGAAGCTGGGTGGTGGTACTAGCTGTTTCACTCTGGTGAGACCTGAGGTCAAAGCAGGGTGGAGCTAGTGTGCACCGGCCGCTCTGTGTGGCGTCGTTTGGGCTTGGCATTCATGACTTCACCCAGGCGCATTGCCAGCTCGTCGGCAGTCTCAATGCGCAAACAACCCGCTGCGGAGCTGTCTCTGCTTTAAAACCCCAAGGCTCTCCCTCTGTGCTCTGCACTATCTCCGTTACCATGGACGAAAACGTCGCCTCCCTCATAAGCATCTGCGGCGTGACCGATGCTGAAGCCCGCCAGCTGCTTAGGGTGCGCGTGCCTCCAGTCTTTCGCAATACATATATTTAGCCGCTGACTGAGTAGGAAAACAACGACGACCTCAACAATGCGGCCTCACAATTCTTCGAAAAAGGTGCACCCACGGGCAACGATGTATGACACCAGATATGCAGCCTGTGCTTCTCTCGCTCACCTCGCCTTCTAGCCTGATAGGTATGATGACAGCCTCTTCGCAGCTGACCGGGAGGGTTTTACTGATGGATCCCGGTCCAGTAAGTCTCTATGTCCTAAAGGAACCTATCTCAGTCCCCGCTAACGCAATACCCAGGGCCTTTCCACATCGACGGCGGCGTTGTTGGCGACTATAGCACAACTCCGACAAGACCACCCTCCCGAATTAGCGATCGCTCCATGGCAGACTCCGGGATGGAAATGTCAAACGTGGCAATAAAAAGTCAGTCGCATACGCTTGGGTTCCCATAATCAACATGGCGAACCGGAACGCTCATACCGTGTCTAGGTGTAGAAGGGCCCGGTCAGGAATCTGGTGTCATAGGTAATAGTAGGGCTGTCTTTGGCCCCGCGCCCAAAGATGCACACTATGATGCTCAAAGCTGGGCTATGACATTGGTAGGAACGCAGGAGACGGTGCTAGACGTTGCTGCGGATCAGCGAAAGCGGGAAGAGGGTGGCCCCGCCTTTCTCAAACCGATGGCAAACGGAGACTACCTTCCCAGCCTAGTCACGATGCTCTCCACTATCCCATCGATCAGAAACCTACTCCTGTGTCCAGCGCATGTTGCCACAGACTACGAGCGAGAGGAGGGCTGGTGGAGGGGCACCCCTATAACTCCGCCAGCACGAATCGCAGTAGATGGCGAGCTGAGCCAGACCGATCAGCTTGAACTAATTCACGAGGTGCAACGGCTTATGGCCTTCCTCGACCGCACGGATCGGGCCTACGGCAGCGCCGAACCCCTGTCTAAGCTAGAAGCTTTCACCAATGCCATTCCACAGGAACCTGAAGCCACGAGTCTCGAAAAGTTCCTACTTGGGTGGGAACGTGCCGTCGAGGTTTCGGGACTGCAAAGCGGTTTGCAGACTTCTCTGCATACTGAGGTGATAGCTAATGGCACAGTTCAAAACTCACACTTCCTTGATGCCACGGTTGTACACAATGTACCGGGCGAAAAGGTCTCACTCTATGACGTTCTGGATTCGCACTTGTTCACCTACACCGCCAGCGCTTATGTGAAGACCCTTGGTGACGTGATGGTCATTAGGCTGAGCAGTTCCGACGGCTCCGCGACAAAGTTAGATGTGGAGATACCTGGGGTCTTCTATGCAGACCGATACATGGCCTGCAATGAGGCCATTGTCTCGCAGATGCTCAGAGATGCTGCACAGCATGAGTTGAAGATTGCCGACATCAACCGCAAGATTAACAAAATAAAGTACCACCACAGCAAGAAGACCGGCAAGTCTGTGGAGTCCCTCAAGCTGCTGAACTCAAGCATGAAGGCTTTCGGGACTTTGGAAGGACCTGAGGGACAGGTTGATGATGCAAACGTAACTCTTCAGGAGCTTCAAAAGATATACAACAGCATTAAGCTCAAGCTAAAAGGTAGTCTGGGTTGGATGTATACTCGTATTCATCGCTAATATCTAGCAGAGCTTGATGAACAGAAGACGAAGACCCGTGAGATTCTCGACGGTATTAACAGCATCTTCAAACCGCCTGTCGAGAAGGCTAGCCCTGCTACCAATGGCGACACTATGACAGGTATCGAGACGATCGATTCCACGAATCCCCTCAAGGAAGAGTTCATTCCGAAATACAAGCAAAGGCTCTGCGCAGTCTCCACTGAGCCGAACACGATATACCTCCGTAACGCAGTATCCGCGCCTGACGACAAGCGTTGGTGGCGGATTCAGTACCAGTACGACTACGACAGCCCGTTGATACTACGAGAGGTAAACCCATCCCTTGCTCAAACTTCTCAGCATACTAACAAACCTGACGAAACAGCAAGTAACCGAAGCAGTCGTCCTCAAACGCGTTAGCGACGAGCATAAAGAAGCTCTTCTCATTTACGCCAGCGACGAAGCCACCAGCGAGCCTTTCCGACCACTTCCGAAACCCCTCGCAGACTTTGTCAAGTACGACAACCTCCAGTTCATGGAGGAGCTGCAGAAGGTGTCGGAAAAGCCCGGCTGGGATAACAGTGGCAGCACGCCGCCCCACCATAACACTGTTATGTGGGACGGTCCATTCCACTCAGATGATGCTGATGCCGATTTTTCTAATATGGGTGCTAGATCGTGGCTTGAGAGTACTCATCAGAGTAGCACGACGCTGACGCCTGATTCGGAGATGACAGAGACGAATGGGGAGGTGAGGGAGATTGGCGCGAAGGAGATCGAGCATATTGAGGTTTTGCCTAAGGAGTGAGAATGATGATAGAGCATGTAGCCTCGGGGACTGGTAGTGGCGATCCTTGTGGACTTCATTGCACTCTCACTTTTGCTTTGGATGCGTATTGGAGTAGGTCAAGCTTGCATGGGCTAATAGCGGTACCGGGTGTAGCTTCACAAAGCAATAATAGATCTTAAGCTCTGCACTCTTGGTGTCTTACCATACCTGCATTTCATCACTCGTACCTAGGAATGTACTCTCATGTCCGCAGGCTTTTGAACCGCTAATAGACGCAAAATCACACAGACAAACATATGTTGCCGTGTCGAACACCTATGCACAGACTACCATCCCAAATCCTCAACTAGGCCCTTAGTTCGCCGCAACACCCGCACCCAGCCCCTCCCTCAATTTCAAATACTCCCGCCTATACTGATTCTCCTCCGTCTCGCTCCCCCGATTCAGCGGCGTCCACTTCGGATCCTCCTTAAACAGCCGCATGGCCTTGGTATACTGTCACCCCGTTAGCCCTGGTGCCCCTAAAACTCCACTTCCCCCCGGAACCCCGAACGCCCCACCCCTTCCCCACCACATCAACCAGGGATTCTAACTCACATTCTCTGTATCCGTAGTAAACCGATGATAAATCCCCGCGGGCATGATCATCAAATCGTGCTTCTCGAGCTTTATCCGCACCCACTCATCCCCCTCGCTGCGCACGTCGAAGTAGCCGCCCCCGTCGAGGATGTACCGGATCTCCTCGTCCTCGTGCAGGTGCTCGTGGAAGAAGTTGCGCACTTTCTCCTCGTAGGCGGCGCCCATGGTCGTCGGCGAGATGGTGATGGTGTCGCGGTTTTTGTAGTGGCGCGAGGCCGCGAGGGCGTTGACGTCGTCTTCGGAGGAGTAGTTGAAGTGCAGGATGCCCAGCTTGGAGAGGTAGTCTGGGGAGACCACACGCCCGGAGTCGTGGGGTTCGCGTTGGTCGCCCTGCGGTAATTCGTCAGTCGTCGGTCGCGCATTCGCAATTGTGGAGGGGTGGAGGGGTGGAGGGGTGGCGTACGGGGAGGTTGTCGAACCAGTATGCCTTCATCTTTGCGGATGTGTTGGAAGGCTCAATAGGGTTGGCAATGGGCTTTATGAGGTTCTGGAGGGGTTTATGTAGAGATATGGGCCGCAAGGGTACGATGGCGGCGTGAGATATTTCATGGTTGTGAGCGCGATGAATAAGGCCGATGATGCAATAGGCCACCACTCGCGGCATTTTCCGATTTAAGCTCTTTTTGCGGCGTTTGCGGGGCCACTCATGCATGGGCCGCCGGGGGCTTGGGGTATCGTGAGAACATTACCAAACTTCGATGGTAAGTGCCTTCGTCAAATGTATTCCAACGTGCTTTCAGAGTGTTGATGATGATCGTTTTGGAAAGTCGCTGCACTGTCTCAGATGCTGCTTTCGCAACGTCTCTGTCCATGCCCTAAATGCCTTGTTTTCAATATCTTAGAAACCAATTGGAGTAGCACAGACATATCACAAGGCATAGTAGCAGCTTCAGTTTTGAATATGGGCAACCCATCATTGTATTGCTGATTGGAATGATACTAGCCATGCAGACTTCGCCGAGTCTGAGGGCTTTTCACCAACCCCATCCGTAACTCCAACCCAGATAAGCAAAAGTTGGCCGAAGTATCCAACTTCAGGTCAACCAAAAAAATCAAAAGATACCACTCCAATCAAGCAATCATAGCATCATTTTTGTCTCTTTCTTCATCTGTCTTTGTTAGCATCATTTTGCTCACGGGGTATTTCAGGCGGTGCCAAACGTACTTCAAATCCGGCATGCAAGTGGCGTCTGAGACTATGCATGGAGCTCAACGGCACGCTTGCCATTGGGACCGCACTCAGGATAGCAGAACGGCGCACCACACCAGCCGTGGTTGCACTTCTTGTCGGCGGTGGCCTCTTCACGAGCCTTGACCTCAGCCAAAGCCTTGTTTTCACAGCCATTATCGCACTTCAGCAGATCAGTCTCCGCCTGACGCTTCTCGATCTCGGCCGTGTCCTTTTCCGCCTTGGACCACTGGATCATCTGGGCAGCAGCCTCGCGAGCCTTGAGCTTGGCCTCCTCAGAGGGCACGCCTCCACTAGGAGCGCACTCGGGATAGCAGAACGGGGCGCCGCACCAGCCGTGGTTGCACTTCTTGTCGGCGGTGGCCTCATCAGCCCGCTGAATCTGACGCTTCTC